CGTTCACGCAGGGTTCGGGTTCGATCTATAACTCGCCGCTGTTACTGAACTACGGTGCTGAGGCTGTGAGTGTGATCATGAATTGATTTCAGGGCCTGAAGCGAACGACAGCTGATAAGATAAGGGCCAGCCCTTCGTCCTCGTCACGGTCAACTACCGGTTGGGCATCTTCGGATTTCCGATCGGGCAGGACGCCAAAACGAACAAAGCAGGCAACCTCGGTTTGCACGACCAGATTGCGGGTTTCCGATGGGTCAAGGAGCACATCGCGTCCTTCGGTGGCGACCCGAACCGTGTTACCGGGTTTGGTGAGAGCGCTGGTGCGATCAGCCTAAGCTACCTCATGTTCAACGAGACGCAGGACCTGTTCTCGGCCGCGATTCTGCAGTCTGGCGCACCGTCGACGACCAACACCCCACCCTTCGGCAGCTGGGACACAGAGTATAAGACCGTGCTCTCGAACGCCGGCTGCCAGGACTGGGAGTGTCTGAAGCAGATCTCGGCTGAAAAACTGCTGAACGTGTCGAACGAGGCCAACGTCTCCCCTGCGCTCGTCTTCACGCCGACCCAGGACGGCGAGCTGATCACTGATCGCCCCTTCGAAATCGTAAAGCAGGGCAAGTTTGCCGACATCCCCTTCATCAGCGGCAACGTGCAGAACGAGGGCACGCTCTTCCTCCCGCCGAACATCACCATGGACGAGCTCCGCACCTACTTCAAGAACACGGGCGACGCCGCCATGTCCAACGAGACATGGCAGAAGATCCTGGACGCCTACCCCGCCAACGGAACGTACACTTCCAGCGTCAACGTCAGCACGAGCAGCACACAGGGCCAACAGGTCCAGGTATCGTCTGATTTCCACCGGGCTGCGACACTGTACGGCGACAAGAGCTTCGACTCGCGACGCCGCTGGATGATGCAGCACGCGCGCCACCAGAACACGACCGACGCTTTCGAGTTTGCGGGCCCGTACTCTGCCTTCCCTCCTGTGTATGGCGTCGGACACGGAAGCGACGTCTTCTACCTCTTCGGTTGGGTTGGCATCGACCCTCGTAACCCCAAGGAGCAGGCTGCGCTCGGCTATCAGATGATGGCGTACTGGTGAGTTGCAACCTTCCCCTCTCCACTGGATACCATCTTCTTCCTCCTCCAGAAACGTAGAGACCGTGTCCGATCGTCGCAAGTCCAAACGCTGCATGTCAACATCGGGACTCGCAAAGTTTCGATCTTGCCACGGGACAGGACCATCTACTGTCTCGGTGACAACGTCGCCGTGCGACCGAACCGTTGAGGCACGTCACGTCGGAGCCATGATCAGAGTACGCAGCGGGGGGACGTGGTGTACGACGCCGGCAGCTGGAATCGGGCCTAGAAATTGCGACTCGCATGTGCGCTTGAGATCGCCTGAGAAAGTACCGTTCCGGGACCTGGTTGTGGCTACGAGAAGCTTGCGCATATTAGTGCGTGGACTCGGTATGCGTCGCATGCGCTTGCGCTGCATATGTTTGCATGCGCTGGCGAATGCTGCTTGCGTCGGGGAAGCTTGTGCGGCGCAACCCAACGGGCGGAGTGCGACTCGCTGCAGCGTGCGGAGTCGGAGCAAGCGAGATTGTTGCTGAAGCTTGGTGAAAGGCGAGCGGCGCTCGCTACTCGCTGACTGTCAATCGCTGCCCAATTCCAGACATGGTTCCAATGTGTTCCAAACTGTGATCAACCTGCCCCTCCTCTCTGTCTGTGTATTCGATCAAACCAAGTCCACCAATTCCAGCTTGATCATGAGACAAGAACTAACGGCACCAGGATCAACTTTGCATACCACCATGACCCTAATGCGAAGCCTGCAATCAGCGTCGGCGCCAACGGCATCGCACAGGCAGTGCAGCAGACATACTGGCCGCCATACGGAGATGACAAGGCCAGCATGCTCCTCAAACCTGGCAACGTGACCAGGATCAACGACACCTTCCGCCCGCAGATGTCCGTCTTCGACGAGGAGGATGTGGCGGCTGCGTCCAACTTCTAAGCCCTTCTCCCTTCCCTCCAGACCATTCGACCGATCCGCTTCGTGTCCACAGGTCTGAAGACAAGTCTCAGCTAGTTGTAAGGTTTCGAGAACACGAGGAAGCGGATATCCAGCGTCGTGCCTGCATGTCACGCAGTGCCTTCCAGACACGATCCCACCGCTCGCAAATGTTTAAGTTTCTGATAATTTTTGCCATCTCCATCGCAACCTCCAACTTTCCACTCCCATCTGACTTTGACCTACCGCCCTGGCTCCATCAGTCGGGGGTGGGTCAAAGGACAGGAAAGACTTGCACCCAAGACCAAGTAAGTTTCCATAGGCAGTCCCAAATGTAGACGAGTACGTGTGCACGAACCACAGGGCACCTGAAAGTTCGGGTCAGACCGAGTACTGACCCAGAGTTTGTCACCTTGACGACGGCCGTTTCCTGGGACCCACTGGTCGTGTCTCCCTGAGTTGGAGCATCAGTGGCGCCGGACCGGCACCGGCACCGGCTGCCCCTCGGACGGTTCTAGCGACATCGTCTGTGCGCTTGGCACAGTCGGTGCAAAGGACGCAAGGACTGCAGCACCAAAAGGAGGACCGACACGATGGGAGGAGGAGATGGACGAGACCCGATAACGTAAGCTGATCGACCAAATTCGTCGGGCCTCTCGGCATCTCGGCGAAAAGACTGGACAGACCTTTCCAGACAGCCAATGTCGGGTCTAGAGTGGCCTGAACTGAGATAATATAGGCGCAGCAACAGCAGTCAGAAGAGCGTAAGGCTATGGCGAACAGAGTCTCAAGGAACTGCGACGTTCTCGTAAGAGCTGTTGTCGGGCAGTCACCGCGACCCAGAAACTTGGGGCCAGTGGTGCTCCCAGTGGAGCTGAGCCCAACAGCTTTCGTTGGTCGGAGAGAAAAGTTGGCCCTTGGAGCACGCACAGGAGTGGACCGTCTCAAAAGCGACGTCGGAGGGGAGCAAAAGGGGTATAACTTTGGTAACATGAACACGTACGAGCGTGCGCACGCCTCATCTGTTGTGGAGACGGCGCCAGGGATCGCTCTGGGTCAGGTCATCCAGGTCACTCCATTACGTCGGGCTGAGTTTCTGTTGTGCGACCCGAAGAAGGAGCCGAAGAGGGTGCTGACGGATCTGAAGATCCGCAGAGATGCAGATAAAGAGGGTGAGCGGCTCGAGGAATCGACGGGATGTGCGGAAAAGATCTTCAGGCGCGTGTGCCGCGTTTGACACCACGTTCCCGTAACATAGTATCAGCTGTCCACCTCTGAAACTTCTTACACTCGTTTCGCGTCAGCCTTATGTCGTCCCGTTCAGCATCGATCACCGAACTTTGGGCACACGGGTGCTCATTCATCACGCTGCACGCTGTTGGGTGCGGTGTTAAGTCGTCGATCTGAAACACATGCACATCTGGCGACTTGCGCCGATCAGTCAATAGCGATCGGAAGCCCTTACGTTGTTGCACGTGTGAGGTGAGACATTCTGAGACAACTGGGTCGCTCTGCTGGGCCAGTCTGACACGCTATCTGCCGAGGCTATCGGTACTGAAACTCCATCAGGACATGGCCTGCGGGCTGCGGGTCGGGGAAGCTAACAAGGAGCGAACACATGTCTAGACGGAGCGAGCACATGTTCAGATCGTTCAGACATGTGCAAATGCAGGTCAGACGGGAACACGTCCGATGGGCCGCACATGAGTGAGACTATTGGACTACTGATCGCTACGCATATAGTTCATCTTCCGCAGTGGCCACCTGCTCTACTGCGCGTCTAATGTTTTGCGGAGCGCGGCAATCTCCTCCGGCCCCGTCTTGCAGCATCCGCCTACAATGATACCCTTCCACTCCCTTCCCCTGAGCACATCGAGGACACCGCGAGCCCATTCATTCGGGGTGCCCGTCTTCTCCGTCCAGTTCTTCGTCAGTGGGTCGTACACGCACCCGCCATCGGGATACACAACTAGCGTAGTCTCGCCGTACCGAGGCTGGGATGCGAGCCTCAATGTCATCCAAGATCGCTGGGAGATAGGATGGGTTGGTGCAGTTTACGCCGACACCGTCGGGGGTAGCGTAGTCTGGCCCGCCACCGATCATCGCCGTTGCCCACTCAGCCACAGAATGCGGGCCGTTCGGCGCCTCTCCCAGCTGCCCAGCCGGAAAGGCAGAGCTTATCCAGAAATGTGGCTGGGAAGCTGCAGATCCATGACTTGCGGTATCATGCGTGGGCTGCAGGCCCCCGGCTCTAAACGGATCCGCAGCGCCACCCAAGTCTTCCGCACACGCCTCTGAACCTTCACCGCGGGCACGGGCATCGTTAGCCTCGCCGCCCATTTGGCGCTCCTCTCGGCCCTCGAATGGGCGCCCCACATGCTCAGGCTCTGGGCGTTCCTCGCCTCGACTCGCTTTTGCCTCAGAGTGACCCTCATTTCGCAATGTCGCCATGGCGCGGCGGATCGCTCTGATCTCGGTGAGGTTCGGAACCGTCTCGAACGCAAGCCAAGCGAGATCACCGAAACCCGTGGAGGTCGCATCCCGATATGCGTTCAGTCGCTCAAGGTGGAAGGCGTACAGCGCTTCTTCCGCGGGAGAGGCACAGGCGGTGTCCTGCTGTGCGGTGGTACCGATGCCGGTACCGGCTGGCGATGCTAGTTGCCCACTTCCCGTTCCTGCGGGCTGCGGGGAACTCTCAGTCTTGCTCGGACTAGCGCTTAGATCCGGCCCAAACGGCGGAGGATACACACCGGCGTACTCCTGCCCCGGCTTGAGGGTCGAACCGAAGGAGCCCAGCGACAGCGCGACAGCGCCTGCGTGTCGAGCCGCCGCTGAAGTCGCCAGACCCACCGCTGAGCGCATCACTGCTGTTCCACGACCGGGCGCGGCCTGCTCCAGCGCTGCCGGAGTCATCTGATATCTGGTGATGAGTCAGCGCAGCCCAGCTGGCAACTAATCTGCAGTGCAAGCGATTCGTAATCTTCGGTCATGTGCTGATCTCGGTTCTGGGTTCTGGCTTCAGAGTTGACTGAATTGATGGTGCACACACACACAAAGCACGGACAGGTCCAAGCCGAATGGATAGGATGGGTGCACTAACTTGCCGCGGCGGAGGCGCTTGCAGACGGAGGACTTCCGGCGAGCCGCGCGGCAAGAGCAGGCGCCGCCTGAACTGAGGTTCGCCGGATTCACAGCTCGAAGACTGCGCACAGGCCAGGCCCAAGGGTCCAAGGGCACATGGGCAGTCCATGATTTGCGAACGCCGAAGCATGAACTCGTGTGCGGATGTGCTGGCTGTATGTATTGTTTGACGGAAGTCGCGAGCGCTCAACTGAATTGATAATTCAAAGCAAACTTCACCGGATCACAACGGATGGAAGGACTGCTTCACCCAGCCAACAGCAGGTTCAACCTTTTTGCACAAGGCAGGCCGTACCTAGGACCTGGGATCAAGCATCAAGTGCTGGCAAACCTTATCGCACTTGGTGGCATTTTGTGCTGAGCTTACGCACTCCCTCCTTTCCTAAGGCGACCTGGGACCCAGCTCGAACTGCCTGAATCACTCACGTTGCGGTTTGCACAATATCCGATCCTGACTGGAAATAAGCTTCGTGAATATCTGAGATCACTGCAGGACGGCTCAGCACCAGCTCCGACCCCCACATGGAGCCGGAGACGTCGTAACCTTTTGCCTCCAGGAGGGTTCCCTGGGAGATGTAACGGTCGAAGATAGAGAGGGCGTGAACGAGGTTAAAAATTGCGTCGGATTATCATCACCAAGTAGTGGGATCACAACGGAACGAGCAGTCAGTGTTCATGTCCAGCCACGTCTCGAGTAGGTGATGAAAGGTGGGGCTCAGATGCCGTGCTGTCCGTCGGCAACGACCGATGCGGGGTCTGACGATGTGTCCACCGTGGGAGTTGCGAGGCCCGACTCACCATTCCCCCATCCATGACTTGGACATGCTGTGGAGCGGACATTATTGGGTTGCGGCTTATGCGATGAGGCTGTGGACGGTGGGTCCCGCGATTCGGATTGCAGTGCTTGTCGTTTGCTCGGGAAGGTGTGACGCGCGAGAAACTCAAGCAAACGGGGCGCGGACTGAGGATGTGGGGAGAAACGGGCGCCAAAGCGAGAAATCCAGGAGAAGGTAGCAGAGTCGAGGGAGATGCTGCGAGTTGTCGCAAGGATGTGAGCGGCAGGTAAACGAGACCAGACGACGACGACGTAACACGACGACGACCAACAGCAGCACCGAGCCATGACATGAGCGGTACGCTGCGGGACGCGGGGCCGGACGATGCCGTGGGTCTCCCACGGTTGTCATATGGCAGCGCAGCCATTCACCAGTCAGTCATCGGGGACCGGTTTGTACCAGACTGTGGGCAGGCACGAGTTACGACAACAGGACGATCCGCGTTACATGTCGCCCATCGTTTCCTTATTGCTCCTTACACGGATCCTGCAGGACAACAGGACACCTCTTGTGGCGCAGGAACCAGTGACATGCCTCCTGAACCTCATCGCACTCCGTCCTTCCTCTGTTCTTCCTCTCCTCTTCCCCCCTCCCAGTCTACCTCCCATCCCATGTCATAATCTCGGCCAATAACACACCCTCGAAAACATGACAATGGCCAACCACCTGCCTGCATGGGCCTGCGCTCGCTCTTCCTTCCCCATCCTGGGAATCTCAGGCATTTCATCGGCCCTCCACCACATGAAACCTTGGTTCAACCCCAATTGTTCCTGAACGTTATGCCGACACGAAGCGTCTCGGGGTAGTAGGGCCGCGCACTGTCGAGGGCCTTCACCAATGGGCGTCCTGCTCAGTCCATGGCTTAACGTTAACTCTCTTTCTTTGGGCCACTGTCGCTCAGTGGCCCTTGCCGTTAATCCGCTACCCCAAGCTTTAGTGCAACGCCAGGATCATCGCCGCGCCCTGTGTTCGCACTTGCACGGAGATCTGATCTGAACGAGACGGGGTCGTCGCAGTGTGCGCTCAGAAGATAAAGGTCGAAGACTGTCCATCAGACGGCGGTTTTGCACTGGAACAGACGTGTGAAGCATAGAGAGGCAGGAAAAGCGGCGTCAGAGGGTGCGACATGTGCCGAGCAACTGACCACTGGAGAACAAAGGAGAGAGCACAGGTACGAGAGGGTAGGACGTGAGGTACGTAGGATAATGATTCAAGGCTAAATTTCGGTTGGTCAGCCAGGCGACGACGACTCAAAAACATGCGTTTGCGTGTTTGCGCCTGTTCGCCTGCTTGCGCTTGCTTCCTGCGGCTCGCCCTCCCTCCCCCCCGCCCTTGGATCTCTGACCAGATGCTTGGATGCCGGGTCTGGGGGCAGGTTGAACGGGGTTTAGAGGAGTCGCATGCCACCCATGCAGTCATCCCTGAAGCGTACTACCGATGGTACCTGAACAGGCTTACATTGCGCGGTGTGTGCGAAGTGGATATGGTTTGCCCAAAGGTGCTTAGCATCGCAGCCAGACATGTCCCGGGTGCCCCAGTGCTGTGCTTTGCTCGCACTATCAGATATATAACTGCGCTCACCGCCAGGTAGCGTTCGTTGTTTTCCCCTTCCTGCTCAGAACCGACTTTCACTATCTCTCATCTTTCTCGCTCACCCTTCTGTTCAGACCTCTTCACCTCACACCTCACCCACAATGTCTCTCCCTGACCTTGCCACGAACCCCGACGCCGTTCTTGGCGACGACGTCGCCTGGCGCTTCAAGCGCGCCCCGGACTACTCCAAGACTCGCAAGTACTTTGAGGAGAGTGAGTATTTTTTGCGCTGTCTCATACGTGGACTGCAGGGTATCAGCTGGAATGTCAGCTGGCTGCGCGGTGCCGAACTGAGGCGAAGGCGCGGGAGGGCGGCGGCGTCCTCCGAGGCTGTGTGCCGCCCCTATTCGAACATGGAGTTAACTCCGCAGCCAAGACGCAGAATCACGAGCCCGGGTCGCTGCCGTCGATCGTTGAAAACCTCGTGAAGAACTGGGAAATTGAGGCGTCCTACAAGACCAACCTGAAGGAATGGCGCACGATCGACCCCGACAACTACACCTTTTCCGTGAACGGTGGCCCCAACATTCCTGGCGAGAAGATGATCCAGATCGGCACCTACAACGCCCTCCTGACCGACTCCAACTTCTACTCGCCCGAGCACAACGACTTTACCGATTCGCACAAGGTGTTCAAGCGCATGATGCCCGTCTTCGCCTGGGAGGTTCTTGAGGTCTACTCCGGACCGCCCACCGTTGCCTTCCGCTGGAGGCACTGGGGTGAGATGAAGAACGACTACGTTGGCATGAACCGCAATGGCCAGCGCGTCCGCGTCAAGGCTCACGGCGAGACCCTCAGCATTGAGGGCATGCTTGTTGCCAAGGTCAACGACAAGCTCCAAATTCAGCACATCGACTGCTGGATGGACCCTCTCGCCCTCTTCGATGAGGTCACCAAGAATGGTGCCGAGATCATCGTCGAGAACACGCCGGAGTCTGAGAACGCCCCGAAGTGCCCCTTCGCTAGCGCCCGCATGTAAGATGACGTCGGGCTTTCCCTCTCACTCGCATTGGTTGTGTCTGTCTCGTGACCGCAGCAGCGCCAGCACTGCGACGACCCTCGGCGCGCGTCTGCGGACACCCGCAGTACCAGCTACCTATCCCATCAGCTTGACCGGCAAATCAGCTACGAGACACGAACACATGACATTATTACATCGCATGCCTGCCGGGCTCCTCCTTGGGAGTCATGAAAGGAATGGCTCTCACGTTTGCCCCATCACATCTATTCTTTACACGCATCTCGTTTCATCGCACCCGCACCCGTAACCCCGGTCGTTACAAGGCCACACACATCACCGGACGTAGTTGTTTGAGTTTGGTCACCTTTCAGGCACTTTCATGTCATGATTATGAATGTATAGCAACGTTATCACGAAGTGCTTCACTGTTACAGATCTTGAGCATGTCAGACGGGGCGACAACGGCGTCTGTGCGCCTCGAACTTGGCGGTCGTCGCTATTAGTGCAGTAGCCATTCAGCTACGAGACTCGGTTGACACAGCTGCGGCCGGTACTAACATCAAGGGGAGCAGAGAAACGCAGGAATTCAGCGGCGAGCGGCGATCTCTGCGGCCGCCACTGCCAGCAAACAGCGCAGCGGCGACTGCAAATCCTCTCACACGTCTCGTCATGACTTGAGTGATGCCGCACCATTCGCACTACTCAGGTCTGCAAAGGCACTTACGCCATATTGTCATGTAACGGAACGGCTGGGAAGTCTGCCCAGCTGCCACCCTGCTAGGTTATGATACATTACGGGCGTCGGCAGACACAGAGGCCGTTTGGCAAAGCCGCATAGCGGCCATTCCGCAAGACCGCTCCCTACCGCTGCTCCGGGTCAGCCGGCATCACGGCTGTATGAGGCGTTAGATAGCTCAGGCGCTGACGAGAAAACGGAGCGCCACCTGACGATGAGACAATTTTGACGATCCTCCAACAGGACCGCAGCGCGGAATGAGGCAATCCGACCCAGAAGGCCGCATCGGTTCACATATGGCTCCCAACAGCGCCGCCCACCTTGCATCCGCCTCTGCCAAGGCACCTCATGTCATTCAGGAAGGCCGTCAGGCGTTGCTGCATGCTTACGAGGTGTCTCAGACACCTAGGTCAGGTGCTCCACGACGAGCCAGCCGCTGCGCCTACTTCAGCGTCGCGCAGTTCTGGCGCAGGTGTTCAGGATGTTGTCTCAGTCGCCTGAAAGCTGTACGATGGACTGTACTGCAGGGAGAATCCCAAGCATCGGTCACTGACCCCCTCACCATTTGTCCCGGGCGGCCATGCCGTTATCGCGAAATGGACCCATCCTGGACCCATCCTTTACGACACCCCCAGCCGTGCTGGACCCTCACTGTCTCCTTGCTCCTGGGCCTCTCCCAGCTGATCCTGGGTCTCGAGACAACAAGGGTCAAGGGTCAACACAAACTTGGCCCATTCCCGTACAGAGCTTTCCGCTTGTGCTGAGCCCGCTGGTCCGCTTATCGGGATTGCAGCAAGCTAACGACCCACTCGGCCAGCACATCACCACTGGCTGCTTCAACGATGTAGTCGGCTCGATGTACGACGACGTTATGGCAAGCTAAATCCGTCTTCCTACCTCGGTACGACCCGAGTACGAGATTGGGCCGTGTCAAACGTCATGAATACCCATGCGTAAGACGGATAAGCAGCTACCCATGTCTTGGACCCACGCTCGACGCGGTCTAAGCCGACCGTCAGGTCGGCCACACGGGCAGGACAGGTGGGCAAGGCGTCCGTCCATTTGGACAGCCATTACCGTGCTACGCTATCATTACGCAACCGCAAATTGCGTCGTACTTGCGCACAGACCCGAAGATCCGACCTCACCGGCAATGACTGTCAGACAGGAGGGCAGCTGTCATGCCGACTGAATAGGTAATGTTAGTAAGCCGAGCAGCGCAATATAAGCGTACGCCCTGTAACGGGGCTGTCATGTCGCGGATCTCAGCGATCAGGTCGCTTGAGGCGTGATCCTGAGGACTGGCAACGGCCGGACCGGATGTTGCGCATCAGCATGGCAAGCACCTTGTAGCATGTGGAAAATATGTACAACAGAGGGTTCAGAGACACGCAGCGAAGACTCAGCTAGTGCTGCTTTGTTCGTTGCTTGCCAACAGGTTCAAAAGTATCCCGGCAGCAACGGCAGACCCGTGGGATGGGCCAGATGCGAGTTGCAGATCCATGGATTTATGACAACCGCTAGCCAACCTTCAACCTTCACCTTGGGTGGCTTCTGATGGTAACTGAGTGATTTGGGTTTAGCAGCACCAACTCTAACCGCAGTGACTGTCACGGCCAGGAGCGAGCACAGGCACAGGGAGCACATGCCCGATGCCGACGTGCCGCCGAGGAAGGTCGCCCTCGTGTGCGTCCAATAAACCTGGCCGCCTGCGTCTCGATCAAGGCGCTACAAACGCAAGACAAAGGTAACCTCGCGAAAAGCTTATTGAACTTCTTTAGAGTTGTCAAAGAGTGTGACAGAAAGTTCGTTGACGAGGAACAGAGTTCACTTGCCGGCGCACATGCTGCAGATCGAGTGAGCGATCCGAGACATGGGCCACTCATTTCCAGGTTCATCCAGCCCGCTCCGTGAGCCCCGCGCGCCGCGAACGCCGCTGACTGGTCGGCGCTGAATCCAGTCGGACTAGGTTCGTTCCACTCCCATCACTCCCTCTCGAACCCTCTTCGCTGCGGTGTCTACCAATCTCCAGCCTCTGAAGTGACGGCGACGCAGACGCACGCGCGGGCCAACATACGCGGCACGCGTACGCACGACCGTCGGCTGGATCAGCTCGGGGTCCATCTCTCCTGCCCCTTCCCTCCTCCGCCTGTGATTCCAAGGGCACAGGAGGTGACTCCAACCCCAGCGGACTTAGTATGCATACAGCAAGCTTCTGCCCTGGACTCCGCACGCTTCGCATGCTCCGCACGCGCCCCCGTACCTAGCCAGTTTTCTCTCCGTTCCAACTCACAGCACACCGTTGCGTACTCCGCCCTCCGTGCCAAGCGCTCATCGACCAGCGATCACATCGCCGACATTCCCTTGCAAGTGTCCGCCGTCACCGAGGCCGTCGTTGCGCACTCCCTGCAACACCTCCCGTAATGTCCGCACCGACGTGCCGACAACCTTCGGAGGGCGGAGAAGGGAGTGCGCGTCACGGTGTTCCTGCCTCGCGCCTACTGATTGAACATCGGACCTGGGAACTGGCTGGACCTGGCGGTCTGGGCTCTATAGTCTATAGCCTATCGTCTGCCAGGCATGACATCGCAAGATCAGTTCGTGAGACAGCTGGTGTCGATCTTGTCATTAGTTTCACTGACTGGGATCGGCTTGAGCACTGACCTTGCTATCAACCAAGAACATACTTCCACGGAGGAATAGCTAGCTTACCACGCTACACACCGCGCCTTCTTGCGTGCTGTTGTGGGAGGCGCGAGTAAGCACACCCGAAGTGTCATCTTCTATGGGCAAGATGTGAACTAGGTGAGCTGCTAACGAAACCAAACCAGCTTACCCAAGTAATCTTCGCTCGGCAGTCTGTCTGGTTGAGCTCAAGTAGTCAAAACAGCTCGACGTACCCCGAAGGAGCTTTGCGCGGAGTCTGCTGTTAGCTACTTATCAGGGCCGGGCAGCTCACTGTTCTCTCATCTACTTCCGACAATTGCCACACCATGACGGCCACACCCTAACGGCCACACCATGACGAGACTGACGGAACTAAACTCAAGTTTCTGCATGCCTGCGAGGCCCTCCCGGCTTGTTGGCTAGCGAAAGAGAGACTGCTGCCGATACCGTGGCCAGTCGTAGCGGACCGGTGTCAGCTAGGGTGAAGGGAGCAGTCCAACATACCTCACAGCTCTTCCTCACGCTTCTGCCTACGTGGAGACTGAAAGCGACTCAGCTGATGTGAGCTCAACTGCTGGTTCCGACAGCTGCTACCGCCTTGAAGTCATGGCGGGACACTGCAGCCAGCTATCGGGTCATGAAGCGCCAACCAGCTCACTGTCCGCCTGTTCTCACCTGCCGGGGCGATGCACGATGTTGAGTGATAGTGGCTGGGATGTCAGCTCACAGAACTAGCGACGGCATACGCGACACTGTCTGCTCAGTCAAAGGCTAAAGCAGTTTGGGTGTCAGCTATGCCACGCCTTCTCAAGTGGTTATCTCACCATGTGAGCGGGGCGGTGTGTTGTCAAGGAGGCCATTCTGGGTGTCAGCTGTTCTCCATACACTTCGCAGCAACATACTACACACGCAGAGTACCTGTTTATCAACCTGGAGCCGGCTACAGCGAAGCTCACCTCTTCTCCGGGGTTGGCGACTGTTGTGACACGAACGAGTGGACAGTCGACAGACAGCTGACAGATTGCTGGCGTGCCAGCGAGGTCCGCTGCTGGCTGGGAGTTGCGCCCGGTTCCGTTTGCTTCTGAGATTGGCGGATCCGCGCTCCTGATGCATGCCGCAATGATAGCTGCGGATTGTCCCGACCGGATCCGCCCCAGTGGCACTTGGATTTCAGATCGTGAACTGCATTCATCTACAAACTTAACTACTACGTGCGCATGGCACTGCCGGATTGCTTGGCACCAGCATCGCTTACAGCTTGCTCTGTCGCTTATACGCCTCGAGGACCTGACCCTTGATGTCCTTCTTGATGAGCTTACCGTTCGCGTTGCGCGCGAGCAGCCCATCGCTGACCCAGACAAAAGCGGGGCGGGCAGCCTTGCGCAGTCTCGGCGTGACGTGTGCGATGATCTCGTCTCCCTTCGGCAGTTTGGTCCCCGGCGCCATGCTCACGGCAACAGCGACGAGCTCGCCCATCATCTTGTGCGGGATCGGCACGGCGGCCGCCTCCGCGACGCCCGGGAACGTGAAGATCTCATTCTCGACCTCTGTACCGGGGACATTCTCGCCGCCGACGATGATCATGTCCTTGATGCGGTCGCGGATGTGGAGGCGGTTCTCCTCGTCGACGAATCCACCGTCGCCCGTGTCGAGCCATCCGTCCGCGCTCAGTGTCTCCGCCGTCGCCTTCTCGTTCCCGATGTAGCAGGTCATGACGTTCGGGCCGGTAGCGAGGATGAGCCCCGGTTGGCCGCGGGGCAGCTCGCGCGACTTGTCCTCGGGGTCCACGATCTTGATCTTCACCGTTGGAATCGGCACGCCGACCGCAGTCGGGTGCTCGGCGTAGTCGACGCCGGCGTGCATGCAGTGGATCGCGTTGAGCTCCGTCATGCCCCAGCCTGTGCCGAAGGCCGCATCGGGCCACGCCTTCTGGATATCGCCCGGCAGGCGCTTGGCGGGCGCCGCGCCGCCGAATGTGACGGCCGTGAACTTGTGGTCCTTCGGCAACTTGCCCGAGTTGATGAGCGCGGTCGGGATCGCGGGCACGCCGCCAATATTGGTCACCTTGTGCTTCACGATGAGGTCTACAGCGTCGTCGACGTTCCAGCGTTTCATAAGCACTGTCTTCACGCCGTTGTTCACGCCCGTCAGGAGCGTGCTGAAGCAGCCTGTCGCGTGGAAGAGCGGGATGCCTAGCAGCACCACACTCTGCTCCTCTGGCGGCGTCGTCAGGAGCATGAACGCCATCTCGAACGGAGCGCCCATCCGCATCGCGGCGCGCATCGAGGCTGGCTGTTAGTGGCTATATGACGAGGAGACGTACGGATGTACGATGCAATGTAGTTGTGCAGGCCCGCACGCTGCGTCGACAGCACGGCCTTCGGGAAACCAGTCGTGCCAGACGTGAAATAGATGATGCCGTCCGAGTCGAGCGTGAGGTTTTCGAGCCCCTTGCCGTTGATGACACCGAGGACGGTCTCGTTCGGGGCACGAAGGTTCTTGAAGTCCAGAACCGGGACCGTGCAGCCCGGAATGTGGCTCACGGGGTTCCACGAGAAGAGCTGTGTGTCAGTTCTAGCCTGCCAATGCCCACACCCAGTAAGATCCATCTGTGTGCGCCAAGCGCATCCCCACGACTGATGGAGAATCTCAACTCACCTCTCCAACGCCCGCGGCGCTCAGCTTCGCCCTCTCAGGTCCGAGCAGTCCAGCGCTAATGGAGTCGGTGAGGACGAGGTCCGGCTTAACGGTCGAGAGGCAGTGGACCATGGACTCGACGCTGGTCGCAGCATTGACGATGACGGGTGCGGCGCCGATCATGTGGATAGCCATGAAGGCGACGCCCCACTGGATGGCGTTGTATCCGACAATGGCGACGCGGGTGCCGACCTTGGCGCCGCGCTCACGCAGCCACGCACCAAGGATGAACGCCTCGCGGAGCACCTCGCCGTACGTGATGTCCTCGCGCTCGTTGTTCGGATTCGGGTCAGCCTTGGGAGCGTCGAACATGATGCGGTCGGACCACTGCTTCATCCGCGGAAGAAGGTATTCGCGGTAGTTGTTCGGGTTCTGCGGTCAGCTCGAGCAGAATATGACGCTCACGTTCTTCCAGATCTTTTGCTTGACGCCGTTAATCTCAATATCCACGACCTCGAAGAAAGGGTGCGAGAGGATCTTGGCATCGCCTGCGGTCGGTCAACTACTCGCGGGCACCAAAGCTTACACTCGGCGGTGGTGGGCCGCTTGGGGCCGGCGTTGGGGCTAGCCATGGCGGTTTGGAGTGATAGCCAGAGGTGTTCGGTGGTGTTACAGGGGTGTTCAAAGGCGAGTTGAGAGCGTGAGAGGGTGTGTATAAGAAGCCAAGGGATGGCCGATGTGGGCCGGACAAGGAGGGAGAGGCTAGATGGTGAGGACAGGGCACCGGGCGCCGTCTGATCGATGGATGCGGGGTGTGAGTGTGGGGTAGATGCTCACCCAGACAGAGAACACGAGACTGTGCATGCTACTGTGGGGAAGAAGGGCCGGCTTGGCCTGCCTGGGAGAAGACTCCGGCATTGGATTGGATGCAACTAACCGGGTATCGGCCATCTGCGAAGGGACACCATATCTCGGGCTTCGGTTTCCTCACCACCTGACCACTCGAGTACTCACTACTTCCTTTGGAAACAGCACCAGACCACATGGTCAATGTCTCACTCGGTGCTTACAACGGCTAGCGCCTCCAACTACTACTTATAAGCCCCCCCGGAGCCCAGAGCGCTCCTCCAAGCCCTTCCCTTTGTGCTTTCCTCTCATGCACATAAGCCTGATTACTTCTCCACCACTCAACATGCAAAGCAACCTCAACGCCATTCCTTTGCCAAGCACATGTAAGCGGTCTTGCGGCCAGCTTCGCTACCGATGCAGAAGCTCTGGCTGTTTCTCATCAGCAACACCCAGCAGACGCTTCGAGGGGCGTCGGCATCGGGGCACTCCAAGCTACGCGCAAGTAGGGGTGTTATACCGATCATTGGGAATCCGAAGACAGGACCGGGGCCCGTTGTGCAGGTGCAGCTCTTGGCAGATATGGTATCACAGCTGTGTATTCTGTATAACAGTCAGAAGCGATTTGTCAATCGAATGAAGTTGCAGAGATGGAAGGGGTGGACAGTCGCATCGGCAAGCCCGCCGCGATCGGTTACTTGATGCCGACCGGGAATTGACAGTGCCAAGCCACCCCTACAACGGCACTCGCCCACCTCAGGCACTGTGCTTCCGTCGGAGCCCACATGCTGGGCCTGGCCATGCCTCATCCTCGGGACCTTGTCGACGCCGCTCTGACGCTGCCTGCCCAGCGGCGCCGAGCTCGGCGCCGTCCCCCCTTCATCATGCATTCAGTCCGCTATCCGATCACCGACCCTGCAGATAACTGACACCAAGAATGACTGTCGACAACCCGTCCATTCGTCAGATCACGGACGCTGATCCGGACACGGTCGACCGCTTGGCAGCCGTTATGGCTGAGGCGTTCAACACCCGCGATGACCCCATGTACGATGCACTTTACGGCGGCGACACTGTCCCCGATGTCGATGACTTTAACCTCGTTCGCTGCAAGGGAAGAGTCTACGATGCAATCGTGAACAAGCTTGTCTTTGCTATTGAGGAGGGGGACAAGATCGCGGCTTTCGCGACTGTCTTTCCGCCGGGTGTCCACTCGTAAGTGTCCTTGACTTGTCACTTGCCCTTGTTCCTCGCTCCAGGCTATTCTTCCAGCATGAGACCTTGACGTGAACTGACAGGCAGTACCAAGCCGACGCAGAACCCGTACAGCGCAGAGCTCGAAGCCCGAACGCCGTCGGCAATCCTCCCCACCCAGAACCATGTAAGATCTGCACGGGCGCCGAACCGTTCTGACAAAAGTTCCATGACACCATCGACTCGTTTGAGCGCAACGCATTCGGGACGGACCATTATTATGTCTGCTTTCTCGCAACCGCGAGGTGGGCCCGCCGTCGAGGTCTTGCAGCGCGTCTCCTCGATCATGTCCTCGAGATGGCGAGGAAGGAGGGCAAGATCACGACGTTGACGACTGCGACGGAGAGTAACGTGAGCACTGTTAGAAGGAAGGTCACTGATTGGCAGGTCCCCTACTATGAGAAACAGGGATTCAAGCTTGTCGCCAAGTCAAACGTCGAGCTGCGCGGCATCGATGTTCCCCTGTGGGCTTTCATCAAGCAATGAACGCAAGATTACTAGACACTCAGCATCCAGCATACATGCATGAGCGCCATGCTCTCGGATCATCCCCATGCTTGCTGCGCGATTCGCTTTTCTTATCAGCCTCGCCTCTGTCGCAATTTGTCGCCTTCCCCGCCTTCCTCGTCGTTACCCTTACGCGGGGCACCGATTGCGACGGCGGCGATGCCCAGGTTACGAAGCCCCTCACATTCAGTCTCCTTTTCATCTCTTCATCTCTTCATCTCTCGCTTTCTCTCATTCGCGCTGCAAGTCTAGAACCTGCGCATCACATCTTCCCATCCACTCCCCAGACTCGAAAGCACGGCTTCGATGGGCGATCTCCACTCACCTGACACCCTGCTGACTAGCTCCTTCCTTTCCGCACTCATTCCTCCGCAGGCCTTGTCGCGCTCGGGGAACTCGACTTCGACATTCTTTCGATTTCAGCTCGACTTCAGCATCGTTCGCTGTCAACGGTGCCGCATATGAAGAGATCGACGGTGACATAGCCTTGGTGAGCCTACCACAAAACGGAGGGCACGGGGGGCATCCTCGCGCACCACGACCAACGCGTTGATCCCAACTTCAAAGCAGACTATCCCCTCCCGGTCATGTCGGTAGAACCTGATCCGGCGCGGGACCATGTCATGGATCGCCCCAAGACTGACACGGCACCGACCCGAGCAGGCGTCCACGGCGCTAATATGAGCCTTGTCAAGAATAACACCGGGCCTGGAACACATCACCACAACGAGGACTTGGACGATGCACTACGCAACTGGGGTGCCGGACTACCAACGGTGGCTCTTGCTTGTCACTCATGCTTGCTACGGATTATGCTCGGGTGGAGCCATCCATGGGCTAGGAGAAAGCAAAGGCCAGTGGGCCGAACACGGAGGTAGATTTGGCGCTTAGGGCGGATAGAAGACGCGCTAAGAACACTGGTCCAGCTTTAGAACCAAGCGCGGAATTCTAAAAGTCATTAACCAATGGGCACAGTGTCGTCAGTGGGCCGGCAAGAGACGGACGTTAGAAACGCGCTACCCCTTCTTCGCTACGGATTGACCTGGGGTCAACATGGTTTGTGGTCTAAAGACCGCCAAGGTGCAGATCTCCGGATACTTCAAACAGCTTAGGCCGGGTAGAACGCACTAAGTGTGTACTAATACTGAATCTGGAATGTCACTCTCAACCTTCTAACCTTCTAACCTCAGTCAAAGCCCGAACTGACAAGGTGGCAGATGCGTTGGTGCAGGTTGGCGGGAAAGCTAGTGCCTCAAGAATTGCCGTAGACCGCCAAGTCCAGGAAGTGGGTCGCATCCACGATGAGATGCAAGCTAACGACAGGTACATGTCGGGGCGGATGCACGGGTTGTACGCGTCGCACACTGTCAACTGTGCACTCGAGCACCGAGAACAACCCTCATTTCCTGTTTGACGAGCATCATGGGCCCCATGGGTCCACCGACAACGTATCCGCCTCCGATGTCGATGGCCGAGTAGGCGGTGGACTAGGCCGCTTTGGCAGAGATGTTTGGTGCTTGAGCGGCAGATCATCCAAGAACGTTGTCCCCTTCCTTTGCTCGCGCGCTGTTGGAGCTATCTGGTCCGGCGGATCCCGCTGCGAAGTGAGATCGAAGAGATTTGCGAAGACGCGATATAAAAGGACGTCGCGCAGCAGTCGTGCCTCTTCAGTTCGACAGCCTCCTCTTCTCCCGACACTCCTTTCGCCACACAGCTGCTCGCTCCATCATGAAGTTCTGGGCTGTGGCACTCACGGCCGTGGCTGCCACCTCTTCGGTCAAGGCTGCCGGCCTCCTCTCCGTCCTCAACGGCCTCAATGACTGTCTGCAGTACTGTCTCATTGACGCCGCCGCGAAGACCAAGTGCTCCAGCATTGACGACCTGAGCTGTATCTGTGGCAGTGCCTTCCAGAGCAACGCCGCCGTCTGTCTCACCTCGTACAAGAGCTGCAAGCCCAACGACCTCACGGATGCTCTCAAGCTGCAGGCCGACCAGTGCAAGGCCCTCTCTACCTGGTCCCCGACCCCGAACCCGCCCTTCCCCCAGCAGACCGGTACCCGCCCCCCTCTCCCTCCTGTTCCCGGACTTTCGAAGTGTGCTTCCGACTGTCTCAACGAGAACGGCATCAAGTGGAACTGCAAGGACGCCAACGATGTTGCCTGCGTCTGCACCGACCCCTTCATGAACACTGTCACTCCTTGTATTCTTGGCTGTGGTGTCGAGGACACCAGGTCGGTTCTCAAGCTCCGCAACGAGCTTTGCTCGGGCCCGCCCCCCACCTCGACGTCGAGCCCCACTCAGACTCCCACTTCGTCGAACCCTCCTCCCACCTCTTCGAACCCGCCGCCCTCCTCGTCGAACCCTCCCCCTACTTCGTCGAACCCTCCTCCTACCTCCTCCTCGGCTCCTCCTCCCGTTTCTCTCGTCGTCTGCCTCCGTCGACGACTGCCCGTGCCGTACCAAGACCTCTTCCACCCCCACCTGCGGCTCTGAGAGCTCTACCTCGCAGTCTGAGGTCCCCACCTCGTCGGCTAGCCCCTCCGAGGTCCCGACTTCGTCCGCCTCGCCGTCTGAGGTTCCTACCTCGTCCGCCACCCCCTCTGAGGTGCCCACCTCCTCTGCTTCTCCCTCCGAGGTCCCTACCTCGTCGGTTTCCCCTTCGGAGGTTCCCACCTCCTCTGCCAGCCCCTCTGAGGTCCCGACTTCGTCGGCCACGCCTTCTGAGGTCCCTACCTCCTCGGCCACCCCCACTACGTCCGACAAGCCCAGCGAGGTTCCCACCTCGTCGGGTACTCCTACTTCGTCCAACGTCCCTACCTCGTCGGCTTCTCAGTCGGCCACCCCCACCTCTGGCGGTCCTCCCGGCCCCACCTCGTCGGCCGCTCCCCCCCTCGACCTGTCCAAGCTCTCTCCCTGCGCTCTGGGCTGCATCGTCAACGTCCTGACCGAGAAGGGCTGCAAGGGCCCTGCTGACACTGAGTGTCTCTGCCAGGCCAGCTTCACCAACGCTGCCGCCACCTGCCTGATGGCCAAGTGCACGAACGACGACATCCGTGCCGCGCTCGACCTGCAGAACGGCCTGTGCCCGAACATGGGTCTTCCCAACCTCAAGCCCCTTGACGACTGCACTCTTACCTGCGTCCTGAAGACGCTGAAGAAGGCTGGCTGCTCCGGCCCCCTGGACAAGGACTGCCTCTGCCGCCTCTCCTTCACTGTCACGGCTGGTCTCTGCCTGGCCAAGGATTGCGCGTTCGACGGCATCGGCCAGGCCCTCGAGCTCAACATTGACATCTGCCGCGGCTCCGACTACTCGACCGACAAGTGCCAGGCCACGGGCATCTGGCGCATCACCGACCCGCGCTGTTGGTTCCGCAAGGCTGCCACTTACGACGTCAAGCAGGAGATCAGCAACGATCTCGGCCTCGTCCGCCGCGGCCCCGTCGCGGCGCAGTACGCCCGTCTCCTCGAGGCGAACCAGTAGAGCAACTTCTCTGCTGATTAACCATGCGCCAGCATGATCTGCATGATCTGCATGCCGCGCCGGAACACGCCCGTGTTCCAGATATTTTGAATATTGACTCTTTAGTGATTTGGATGAAAACTAAGTTATACCGAGGCGCAGATCGAGGGTCAGTGCGGCAGGAGCAAGGACTTGTGGTCAGCATGCTGAGTGATGGCTCGTAAGGGGGTACAGTCAGCGAGCGCAGCCGAACCAGTGACGAGAGCCAAGCTAATGTCGGCGCGGCGAGCAGTCAGCGTGTCGCAGTAATCGTAGAAGCGAGAGATCTGGCAGATCCTCAATGAGTAACGAGGACTGGGGAGAGTACGGAACCGACCGCGTGTCAGGCAGTGGTGTCAAAGTGCTTTTGAGTGATGGTCGGTGTGTATATCCATGGCGTGGGGTTGTGGGAACAGTGTTCGGCGTGTGCGCCGAGCGCTGCCCATCATCGCAGCTATGGTTGTCGGGGGAGCTTTTGGGGTTAGGGTGACGTCAAGCGAAGCCGAGTTGTTTCATGCTCATGCCGTCGGTGTCCAAACACTGACGAAGCGTGTGTGGACAGTCACCAACTCTCCACTCTGCAATGTCCGTTCCCTTGTTTGCAGAACAGTGTTGCGGCCCAACGTCCCAATGATCGTCAGATAGATCCCTCGTCCCATCAGCCAGCTCGGGCTTGGCATTAGTTGCATTCGCCCTTTGCGGAAGATTCCAGCGCCGCTGCTGCTCGGCGCGAACAAGGCGGACCAACGAGGATGCAGTCCAGAGTGAGTGCCGAGCACGCCGCCTAACAATGCGACGATCGGATCCGGTGCCCGTCTGAGTCAAACTTGCGTCAACCCGTCGGCTGATCCCTCGGAGATTGCCACTACTCCGCAGCAACTGTCCGCATTCCAAGTCCTTCCTAGCTCCGAGGTCGCGACCGTGCCGCCTGGGGCCAATCCGCTTGGGACTGTTGGGCGGAGTTGGAGCAATCTCCACGGGTCTCCGAGACACGGCTTGTGCCGAGCGTGCAAGTCGTCGGATGCGAAAGGTGTGAGTCGGGGCTCTCCTCGCTCTCCAGGCTCCTGCCAATTCTTGGCATGTGGGTCTCATGCCTCTGTTCAGCGTTCCTCATCCATCCATGTGCTCGTATAACTACTCCTGAACTCCCGCGATGAGCAAGCGCACCCAACCCCTCCAACAACTACCATACCGCACTCACTAGCAATTCCCTAACCCCCTTACACAGCCCCGCTATGGCGGCACGCGATCACGACACAGACGAGAAGCTCTACCCGCCCGATACTGGCGACAACAACCTGGAGCGCAAGGATGACAAGGAGAACACCTCCGGCGGCGCCTCGACCGTGACGATCGGCAACGGACCCGGCGGGCCCGACACGCTTTCGGAGAAGCAGCCCCCTCTCAGGCTGCCGCCTCCAAGGCGAAGCGCACTCCGTTCTGGAAGAAGACCAAGAAGGACGACGGCAGCGATGATCGCGACGCTGACGGCGAGAAGAAGAAGATCGAGGCGGCCGTCAAGCCTGTCCCACTATGGCGCATGTTCCGGTTCGCGACGCCGTTCGAGCTGTTCCTGAATGCCGTCGGCATCGTGCTCGCCATCGCTGTCGGCGCCGCGCAACCCCTCATGACGCTGATCTTTGGCAAGCTCACCGTCTCGTTCACGGACTTTGGCTCGATCGCGGACGAGATCGGGCGCACGGGCACGACGCCCGAGCTGCTTGCGCGCCTGGACGACGCGAAGCGCAAGCTCAAGCACGACGCGGGTATGAATGCTGTCTGGCTGGTTGTCATTGGCCTCGGCATCTTCGTGTGCAACTACACCTACATGCTGATCTGGAACTACACGGCCGAGAAGCAGGGCAAGCGCGTGCGTGCCGAGTATCTCGCGGCTGTGCTCAGGCAGGAGGTCGCGTACTTTGACGATGTGGGGAGTGGAGAGATTGCAGCCCGTATCCAGAGCGACTGCCACCTCGTCCAGGTCGGTATTGGCGAAAAGGTCCCCATCGGCGTGCAGTACATCTCGACGTTTGTCGCCGGTTTCGTCATTGCGTACGCGCGCTCGCCCCGCCTCGCTGGCGTGCTTACTGCCATCTTCCCCCCGATCCTCATCTCTGGCGGAATCAGTGAGTAATCATGATTTTGGGCTGGTGCAGTGTACTGACAGGTTTTCAGTGGACTGGGCACTCGCACACTACACGACCAAGTCGCTCGGTGTGGTGAGCAAGTCGTCGACGCTGGCCGAAGAGGTCTTCTCGAGCATCCGCACCGTGCACGCGTTCTGCACGCAGACCCGCCTGGGCTCCAAGTTTGATGCACTCATCGCTCAATCGCGCAAGAACGGAATCAAGAACAGCTTTTTCGACGGCGGCGCGCTCGCCTTCATGTTCTTCTCCGTCTTCGTTTCTTACGCCCTCGCGTTCTTCTACGGCGGCATCCTCCTCGTGCAGGGCAAGGCCGACGTCGGCATCATCATCAATGTGTTGTTCTCGATCATCATCGGCTCCTTCTCGCTGTCCATGATCACGCCAGTCCTCCAGGCCATGGCGCGCGGCAAGGCAGCTGCGGCCAAGGTGTTTGAGGCCGTTGACAGGCCGTCCCTCATCGACTCGGAGGCCGACAGCGGCGACAAGCCCGAGACCGTCATTGGCGAGTTCCAGCTCTCAAACGTTGGCTTCCACTACCCCTCTCGCCCGTCTGTGCAGGTGCTCAAGAACTTCTCTGCGACATTCCCGCCCGGCAAGACAGTGGCCCTCGTCGGCTCCAGTGGCAGCGGCAAGAGTACGATCGTGCAGCTGCTCGAGCGATTCTACGACCCCGCATCGGGCACCGTTTCGCTCGATGGACGCGACCTGCGTTCCCTTAACGTGCGCTGGCTCAGGCAGCAGATTGGCTACGTGTCGCAGGAACCTACCCTGTTTGCGACAAGTGTCCGGGAGAACGTCGAGTTTGGCCTGATCGGATCGCCCTACGAGAACGCAAGCGACGAGGAGCGCCTCACCCTTGTCAAGGAGGCGTGCAAGCAAGCCAACGCGGACGGGTTCATCAACACCCTCCCTCTCGGGTACGACACCAATGTCGGCGAGCGCGGCATGCTATTGTCCGGCGGGCAGAAGCAGCGAGTCGCCATTGCTCGCGCCATCGTGTCCAACCCTCGTATCCTGCTGCTCGACGAGGCGACCAGCGCTCTTGACGGCGTGTCCGAGCGCGTTGTGCAGCGCGCCCTCGACTCCGCAGCCCAGGGCCGCACGACGGTGGTTATCGCCCACCGCCTTGCGACGATCAAGGACGCGGACCAGATCCTCGTCATGGCGCATGGCGAGATTGTGGAGGCTGGCACGCACTCTGAGCTTCTCGACCGGGAGGGTGTCTACGCCACGCTGGTGCAGAACCAGAAGCTGGCCGAGAGCGAGGCAGCGCAGAATGCGCCCGACGAGGAGGAGGATGACGACGTCGTCGTCATCAAGGAGGCGGAGGACCGACCCGAGCTCGAACGCCAGAAGTCGCGTCTCTCCATCAGCGACGAGGAGGGCACGCCGAGCCGCCAGGCGTTCTTCCGTCTTGCCCGCCGTGTGCTCGCGCTCGGCAAGAACGAGCGATGGTGGTACATCACGGGCTTCTTTGGTGCGGTCTGCTGCGGCATGGTCTTCCCCGCCATCGAGATTATCTTCGGCAAGGCGGTCGAAAAGTTCCAGCTCCCCGACCCGCATCAGGTCCAGCATGAGCTGAACCGGCTCGCTTTGTGGTACTTTGTCACCGCGCTCATTGCTGGTGTCTGCACCTTCTTCCAGTATGCTCCCTTCTCGTCTCTCGGCTGGAACATCAGTTCCCGCATCCGCGAGCTCACCTTTGCCGCGCTCATGCGCCACGACATTGCGTGGTTCGATTCCCAGAATGTGGGCTCGCTCACTGGCGCGCTCGCCGACGACCCGCAAAAGATCCAGGGCCTGTTCGGCATGACCCTCGGCCAGATCACGCAGTCGGTCACGACCGTCATTGGCGGTGCAATCATTGGTCTCGCGTACGCGCCCCTCCTTGCACTGATCGGTATTGCTTGTCTCCCCCTCATTATCGGGTCGGGATACATCCGCCTCAGGGTTGTTGAGCAAAAGGACCAGCGGACGAAAAAGTGGCATGCGGCCTCAGCGCAGCAGGCGACCGAGGCTGCTTCGAACGTGCGCGTCGTGGCCTCTCTCACTCGCCAGGCGGCTATTCTCCGCGACTACGAGCGCGCCCTTGAGGGCCCCTACCAGCTCTCGATCCGCACGGCATGGGGCGCGCAGGCGCTCTACTCGGGCTCGCAGGCTATGAGCTACTTCGTCATCGCCCTTGTGTTCTACGTCGGCGCACTCTGGCTCGCGGACGGGCGATACGGCACTGCGGCGTTCTTCACGACGCTTGCTGCGACCGTGTTCTGCGCCATCCAGGCCGGCGACATGTTCCAGTACGTCCCCGACGCGTCCAAGGCGGCCGGAAGCGCGGCCAACGTCTTCGCCATCCTCGACGACCGACCGCACATCGACGCGCTGGATAGTGGTGGCGCACAGCCCCCCGAACCCCCTCGTCCCGGACACGTCTCCCTGCACAACGTCAAGTTCCGCTACCCGACCCGTCGCGATGTGCCCGTGCTCGAGGACCTGAGCATCGACGCCAAGCCGGGGCAATATGTCGCCCTTGTCGGCCCCAGTGGCTGTGGCAAGAGTACGGCGATCCAGCTGCTGGAGCGGTTCTACGACCCACTCTCGGGCAGTGTCCAGCTCGACGGCGCCGACATTCGCTCCCTCAACGTCGCCGCTTACCGGTCCCAAATCGCCCTCGTGTCGCAGGAACCGACGCTTTACGCGGGCAGCATCAGGTTCAACATTCTGCTCGGCTCGCCGACGCCGCAGGACGTGACGGAGGAGCAATTGCGACGAGCCTGCTCTGACGCGCACATTCTCGAGTTCATCGAGGGCCTGCCTGACGGCTTCGACACGGATGTGGGCGGCAAGGGCGCACAGCTCTCCGGCGGGCAGAAGCAGCGTATCGCGATCGCGCGTGCGCTCATTCGCAACCCCCGCATTCTGCTGCTGGACGAGGCGACCGCGGCGCTCGACTCGGCGTCGGAGCGCGCTGTCCAGGCCGCCCTCGACAATGCGCGCGAAGGGCGCACCGTCATTGCCATTGCGCACCGTCTGAGCACGATCCAGAACGCAGACTGCATTTACTACCTTGACAAGGGAAGGGTTGCGGAGCAGGGTACCCACGACGAGCTCATTGCCAGGAAGGGCAAGTATGCCGAGCTCGTCCAGATTCAGAGCTTGACGCAGAGCGCGCTGTAAACATTGTACTACTATAGACTTAGACACATCTCATCATGCACTTTTCTTCAGAGTATACTCACCACTGAGCTAGCCTTAGTGGGTTATAGTGCAGCACACTACCATTCGAGGCTATACTCACAGGGCTGAGTACGCAATGATGGACATTAGAAAAAGTCAAAGTAGCCTTCGCTTGCGCCCGAGTCAACGGTGCTCAAAGGCGGGCCCGCTGATCTGATGGTTTCTTTGGGGGCTCCATAGAAGGTATGTGCTTGAATCAGGACGTGATGTGCACTGGATAGTCTTGTCCTGCCAATGACCCTCCATCAGGGTCCGAAATGTCGGCCACTCACACTCGCCTGCATGTGATGTGCCGGTAATGCAGGTGACTTCCTTTTATATGTCGCAGCTCCGATCCCAGCCAGCTCACGAGGGCCGCGGAGCGTATACAGCGTATAGCGAAGTGTCCTAGTTAGCGGTCCGACGGTGTTTGCCCGATGCTCACACGAGCGGTTGGCACTACTAGGCGATCACGACACTCGCTCATTCCTCCGGATCGCCGTCGCACCCAGATATGGCGAAATGACCAAGATCTAGAGTCCGTGCATGAAGCGGATTGGTCCTAAAACGTCATTCGGACTGAATATTTCGAGAAGGCGTTATCAATGTTGTTCCTGTGAACGCCGGCCAACAGGCCGCGCTATTGGGTACGCGGACGAGTTCCGATCCGGACTGTCCACCAGCCCACTTTAGCATCAAGCATGGCTGAATTTAACTCGGAGAGCTCAAGGACGATGGCCGCGTTGAGAATTGACATTGCTCATTCTGAGACCTGAACACCCCTGCAGCATGTCGCTAGTCGTCGTCTATCTCGCTGCATTCCTTCTCAATCCTGGAGGGCCGCCCGCCAGCAGACAGGAAAGCGGAACGCACCGTCCAGAACTTGGCAGGAACCCAGGGCCCCCTCCATCGCGGCCGTCTTCCGACTCGGGCCTGAGAAGCCTATCATCGGTGTCCATCAGTTTACCCGCATTGTAGACCGCTCAGGGCTCCTCTCGGACTCCCTGATCAGGCGCCTGCCCGCCTGATCGCGCAATCGCGCAATCCAGCTACATGACAGTTTCAGATCTCAAAAGTTCGACCGAGAGATGTATAAAGATGCTACAGTGCTAGACCGTGAGATGTCAGTCCCAACACACCACACTAACAACAATGTCGAGAGAAGAGGACGCCATCAAGGGCTCCGACGGAGGCGCGTCGGACAGCTCGCAGTCGATCATTCAAGAGAAGCAGGGAGGACGGTTCTCAATGTCACTTGGTGGGTCTGACCGCCTCATTGCCAACTCTGACTGTCAGAACGCAAGCTCGTGTGGAAGCTCGACGCGTCGCTGCTGGTGTTCTCCGTTCTAGGTCTCGTCTGTCGGTATCTTGACCAGACCAACCTGAATGCCGCCTTCGTCAGTGGCATGAAGGAGGACCTCAACATGTACGGCCTTCAGCTCAACTATGCCAACACCTGCTGGGTTGTTGGCTACGTGATCGGCCAGATTCCTGGCAACATCATGTTGACCCGTTTCTCGCCGCACTACGTCGTCTTCGCCCTCGAGTTCGGTTGGTCGCTCATGACGCTTTGCACGACCTGGATCACGAACTACCAGCAGCTTTACGCCATCCGTTTCTTCGTCGGCCTGTTCGAGGCAGCTTACTACCCCGGTCTCCATTACCTCATCGGATCGTGGTACTCGAAGAAGGAGCTCGGAAAGCGCGCCTCGCTGTTCCAGGGTGCTTGTGCTCTCGGCTCGCTGCTTTCGCTGGTTCTCCAGGGTGGCGTCCACACGACGCTAAACGGCAAGCTTGGTCGTCCGGGATGGAGGTGGATCTTCATCATCGACGCCGTCATCAGTTTCCCCATCGCCATTGGAGCCTTCTGCATGCTCCCCGACCTTCCCGATGTTATCAAGCCGAACTGGATGTTCTCGCAGGAAGAGATCGACCTCGCTCGCAAGCGTCTGGACGCTGAGGGCAGGACCGGTATCTCCAAGGATGCGTACACCTGGGCGGGTATCAAGAGCATCTTCTCTACGTGGCATATTTACATCTTCACGGCGGCTTACTCACTTTACATCTTCATGCACAGTAAGTCGAGCAGTTGTGGAGTGAGCTGACATGCAGATGTAACCAATTCGATGTCCTTCTGGTTCAAGTACTCGCCTTCGCCCAAGTACACCGTTGAGCAGATCAATTACTATCCGGCGGGTATTTTCGCCTTGCAGCTCGTCACCAGTCTTTTCTTCGGATGGGTGGACGATGTGTTCCTCGGCTCGCGACGATGGCCCATGATCGTTCTGACGAACACCTGCCACTTGATCGTATGCGCACTGTTGGCAGCGCTGCCAACTTACGCCAACGGAACAACAGCTACCGGCCGCTGGGTTCTCTACTACCTGACGGGTATGATCGAGGTCGGCGCCGGTCTTATTTACGCCTGGGCTGCCACTGTGATTAATACCTCGAGTGAGAAGAGGAGTATCATCACAGCGACCTACAACTCGGTCGCTTTCTCCTTCAACGCTTGGCTGCCTCGTGAGTGATTTCGATTTGGACTGCAGCTAACATCGATAGTGCTTCTCTTCAAGCAGACCGAGCAGCCTACCGTCTTCAAGGGAAACGTCGCCACTTCCGTCGCTGCGGGATTATTGAACGTTTTCATCTTCCTTATCCTGTACCTGTCCAAGAGGGACGAGAGGCGGGCCAAGTTGGCGGGCCAGGTGACCCCTGAGGTTGCAGAGGTCAAGGCGGAAGACGTCGAGGACGTCCCCCGGCAGTAGAGAGGATGTTTAGGAATTTTAGTGTCACACATTCGTTTTGGAATCATAGAAATAATAGCTTAGGTTAATCGGTATCATGTCCATGTCATATTTACAGCGCACTACACATACACACTCTGGCCATGGCATTTGGCTCATTACTGAAGAACCTCGCACCCAGATTTGCCAATGCTACCCCCCTCTTCAGCCACTTGGTCCGCAGCCCCCCTGTCCTGCTCCGCAAGCAGTATATTTTCGGCGCCATCCTCGTCAGCCTCATTGGCCTGCTCCGCCACTGTCTGCTTCGCATCTGACCCGGCGTTCCGCGCCGTCGTAACAAATTCGCCCTTCCCTCGGGCGGCAGCATTCCTCTTTCGCTCAAGGCGGTCAATGTAATGCTGGGCCACGTCTCCTATCTTGAGCGGGCTGAGGTGCTTCACCTGCCGGAGGGTCGCCTGAACGCCCTTGATACCCGTCGGCGACAAGCGGCTGATCTTCCCTCCGGCGAGGGCGAGGGTGACAGCAATGAGGCGGTCACCATAGAATTCGAAGAAAGCCTCATGCTTGCCAACAAGCTCGAGAACCTTATCGAGGACAAGGGCAATGGGACTGTCGGTGGAAGCGGTCCTGGAGGGTGCATATTGGTCGGTCGGAGGGGAGCTAGCGAGCTCTTCCATGGCGCACCTCAGCTCCTGGATCTCGGTACGCAGCCCGTTAACTGCACCAACGCGCTCCGAGTTGCTGGCCGAGACCGTTTCTTCAAGCAGCCTCAACCGCTCGCCGAGCGTCTGCTGTGCCTTCATGATGCTGACGTTGTTGCGCCCAGCGTTGGTTCCCAAAGCCTGTACACGCTTGCTCAGCTGCTGATACTCCTTGATGGCCTTGTTGCATGCAAGCTCATTGGCCAGGAGGCGGTCAGACACCTCCTTCTGGTCGCGTTCTGACTCTTCATTGTTCTGGCTATAGGCTCCATTACCTTGGCGGACATGGTTTATGCCGTCCTCAGCGGTGGCGACACGCGCTTGAGGAGTGACGTCGGAGAGGAAGGTGGTCGTCGCCGCGGACAGAGCAGACTGATGGATTGAATCCTGGAGCTCCTGAAGCGACACGCTGCTGAAATTACGTACAGCCTGCAGTTGCTGGGCCGTATCGACCTTCACGGTCGTCAGGGCCTCGTTGAACCGGGACTCAGCAGCATTGAGGGCCATGCTGAACCTTGCCTCAGCGGCGTCGACAAGCGCGGTGGCGTCGGCAGGAAGAGAAGCACCTTCAAGCCGAGGATGCGCGACCTTTAAGAGGGCGCTCAAAGTCTCGATTTGCGCAGTTTGGGCGTTGACAATGCTTTGAGTGTTGGCAAGCTGCTTCACCAAGGTGGCAGTGTGCGTCTCGTGTCGCTCCTCAGCAGTGGCAAGGGCGTGGGATAGGCGATTGTCGACCTCCTCGTGGCACTTGGCCATTGCCGCTGCCACGGCGATCGCGACTGAAGCATCCAGCCTCGCGTTACAGTCGTTGACGAGACGTGCCAGAAGCTTGGCGTAGGCTGGCCTGGAGATGAGGTCGTCGTTGACAGCGGCCGTGACGGCTTGGGCCGGCTGCGGGATAGTTAGCTCTCTGCAAATGCTAGGATGGGCTTACAGTATCTTCGCGCATCCTCTGGTTCAGTGGCTTGTTGAATGGGCTGCTGTTGGTAGTGAAGAGTAGTCTCACTCGTCGTCGAGAGGCGTTAAGTATCTGTCCGTGCATAGGCATATCCAGCTTGAAACACTTGCACGTTCAATGGTGACGAGCGACACACAACGCAACGCGCGGCGCTGTTCCGTGTCTGCTCATCAATAACTACCCCGGCACAGCTGTAGACTGAACTGTGTGTTTCATTGTCATGGACAGACTCTACAATGCTACAGAGAAGAGAGGCAATCCTCCTTTTCGAAGGGGAACACTACCTGGGCGTCCATCCAGTCGTCCGTTGTAATTCCATTGCCGCTGCCGCATTTAGTGGAAACCGCCGGCATGCTCAAGACCGGGTGTACCTCTGAGCGGCATTCTCCGTTTTCTGCGGTGACGGAATCTCCGTCATCGGAGCTTGTGGTGCTCTTTTGAGAGCTCGTCGAAGCGATGTCCAAGAGCCTGGAGCACTCGGCCTCCTCGTTCTCCAAATCGGCAACTTGATCGTTGAGGTCGGCAATTGCGAGCTCGATCTCTTTGATGTGCGCGTTGGCATCCCTTATACTCTCCTGAACGACCGCGAAGTTGTTGTTAACGTATGAATTGTAACTGTTCAGAGTGGCCAGGAGCTCCTCCTCGGTGGAGTGCTGCATAGCGGCGTTCTCCCTGGAGCACTGCGCCATGTGATCCGCTAGATCGTCCTCGGTCGCCTCCAACCTGTCCTCCATATCGAACATGCGAAGCTTCAGATCATCGGCCAAGGTGTTCTCGGACTCTTGCATGGTCTTCACAGCCTCCTCCACATATGATTTGATCTGCGGAATCACATCTGCGATGACATTGTCGAGGTACGCCCGGGTTTGCGACTGCACGGCTTCAGTGATGGTTCCGCGCTGCTGTTCCACGGCCTCGCGGAGGGCTCGCACTTGCAGCCCGAGCTGAGCATAGCTGGCCTCCCACCTGCAGGTAGCGATGCGCAGGTGGCGTTCATGCTCTGCTGTTGCGTCCTTCAGCTGCTGGGCGAAGTTAGCCGACAGCTCCGCGCTGCCTTCCGCAACGATATCGGCAATCAAACCCCTGAGCGCGTCCCAGCCGGCCCTGAGGTCGCCGTCCACGCCATCTGGCGTGTCCACTACTTGCGCCAAATCGGTCTGAATATTAACGTGGAAGCATGCAAGCTTACTCACTAGACTGCTCTTCATGTCAGGGGAAGTGACGGGGCGCTCTCTCTGCCTTTCGGAAAGGAAAACGGGGAATCGGTGAGAGGTGTGATGGACAGCTGATATGCTGGAGTGCTGGTCTCTGGTAGTCTTCCCACGATTCTTTTATCTGCTTTTTCTGCATGAGCACTCGAGACGTACAAAAGACATGCGCACGTGCAACCACTGTCCCATGTCTTATACTGGCTTAAAGGCGAGAGCTTTGTGGTGTTGCCTTGTTGTCAACGCTTCATAATTACATTCAACAGCGAGCCAGGGATCTAAGGAGGCCGACAGCCTCGGCAACTTGAACGGCTTAATCTATCGCTCGAGGAAGGAGAGCTGTCAGGATAGTAACGGCCTAAATGCACCAGCCTCTTTGGTAACGGTGCATCGATTCTGTGTTTCTCACAAGTACACAATCTACACAATCTATCTGGGAGCACCAACTACCTGAAAACTGATTGAACTCGATAATGAGTCCCCAAATCGTGAGGATCCCTGCGTCCGCCGCTGATCGCAGATTCCCAAACCTACTGTTGGTGGTTCGAACGTCCACGATGGCACTGGCTCCTATAGCAAGGTCGGAGACGAAGCGGTGGTCCCGTTGCACGACGTTCAGAACTTGATCGACCAAGCTGTTCGACGGAGCGAGGATCGTATGAAGGCGATGGTCGCGGAGGCCTTGACATCGTGCCGCGGGCAGATGGAAGAGCTCAAACAGGCTGTCAACGACGCTGAGCTCCTGTTATCGGACCTAGTGGCTCCTCAACACGTCATCTCTCCGAAGGAGGTGGAGCCTACAGGTGATTCTGCGAACAGCAGCTGTGGTGCGGCAGAAGAAGGCCGGACGACAGTCCTTCGAGCGGCTCCAGGCACCACTGGAGGTCCGAAGGACACCACGTCGTTTGGAACAGCTGAATCGTCACCAACCTCGGACGGCCATCGTTCGCAGGGCTCCGTCGACAGTAAAGTTGCGGACATCGAGGCCCACACCGAGACGCTCGACCGGCGAACAGTCGTTCTCCGCGATATGTTGCTTAGTTACGCCCGCCAAGCCAAGGTCCTCGCAGATAAGGTGGAGGCTTTTGATAACTTCGCCACCGACACTGGGAGGCGGGCCCCTTTCGCCAAGCGTCCTGAACCCACCATCGACTGCTTAGCGAAGGCTGTGAACTCGCTCTATTGGGATCTCAACTCCGAGGCTTCGGCGAGGAAGCAGCTTGCGGTTAAGACATACGGACTCGCTTTGGCTTTGGCTCGTGACAACGACGGAGGAGAGCTGGGTAGGCAGGACTATGCCGCCATCACACAGGAGCTGTACCGTGTTGCGGATAACGCGAAGAACGTCGATGCTAGTGAGCGCGCTGCCCGCTATGCTGCCTGGTTTGAGCAGCGCATATGAAGTGCCAGGGATCAGGGAGACCTTGACTCGAAATTGAGTAGGCAGAACTGTAGCTACCTGTGGTGCATCGCCTCAACCCCCACACGAGAGAGACGCACGTACCAGATGCGGTCGTGCACGGGCACCCGCCCGTCTACCGCTCCGTCACATTTCCGCTCTAGCAGTCCTGATCGACGACAAGGCCGTTCTTATGCATGGTAACCAACAGCTCAGCTCCTTGCGACATAGATATGCATCCGTTGGTTCTCACAGAGCGCCGCGGTTGATGCTCCCGTGAATGGTGCACTATGGTGGCGCAGTTTTAGTTGGCCACCTGACTCTCAACTGACTCACCTGTGATCCACTCGATCTTCCAGAATCACTTCCCATCTTCTCTCAGGTGCACTTTCACTTCCACGTCCCAAGTTTTTCTCAAATCGCATTGCTACCACTCTCTCACCTCTACGTTCACCGGCCACTTTGCTCTCGGCAACTCGCATCTCACCGGCCATGCCATCTCGAACTCAGAGGGTAGGTTTCTCGCTGACTCTGCTCCGACTGACAACAGGCGCCTAGCCCCGACTCAGGTGACGATAGCTTCATTGTTATTCCCACCATGGGCTCTGGCAGCAGCAAGCATCCTAGCTCCCCCGCAACCATCAGTTTCCCTCAATCATTCTCCGGGACGGCTACAACAAAGTCGTCATGCAGTGGCAACTCATCGTCCGCGCCTTCACTCAACGAATCGGCTACCCCGGGACCGGCCGCGGCACAGGAGCCTGTTCTTGTCGCAGTGCAGGACATGATCGCCGCCTTCACCGCCAACATGAAAGCAGCCATGCTGGAGAGTGAAGGGAGGACTGCCATCAGGTTCTCAGAGTCACTTCAGGCGATCCAGGCCGAAACCGGAGAGCGCGAGGAACGAGCCGTGAAGAATACCCTGAGCGCTTGTCGAGCCGACATGGAAGGTTACTACCACACCGCGCTTGCCGCTGCTGAGGCACGTTCTGCCGAGAGCTTCGGGCGGGTGTTCGAGCGTCTAGACCGCCTTGAGAAGACTGCCATCGCCGACGGCAAGAAATCTGCAAAGACCCACCGCGAGCTACGCAATTCAATCGCATTTGCCGAGGAACGCGCGACTGCAGCGATGACTGAGCAACGTGCCAACATCGAGAACTACATCGACGAGCAGCTCCAGAACAACCTGGAGGAAGTCGCAGCGCAGGTCAACAAACGCTTCGATGTCCATAACCGCGAGTGGGTGGGGATGAAGGACTCGCAGGAGAAGCTAGAGGATCGGTTGAATGCGCTAGAAGGCCGCCAAGCTGACCTCGATGCCGAGCTGTACGACTTGAAGGTCACCAAGGAGTCTCTCGAGAGCGAGCAGAAGAGCGTGCGCGAGATGCAGGAGGTGGTCAAAGCCGCTCTCAAGGATTTGAAGAAAGAGCAAGACACGGCTAGGGATCAGACTATTGAGCTTGAAGCCCGCGTTGATAAGGCTGAGAAGCGTGTGATCCTTGTAGAGGAGAAGCAGACTGCCAGCGAAGAGACGCAACCTGTCTTCGCTCTCAACACGGATTTGGGGGACGCAGAAGCACGGATTTGTAAGCTGGAGGTCCACTTTGGAGACATTCCAAAGGACCACCAGGATGTGTGGAAGGCGATCGAAGGCCTCGAGGTTGGACAAGGCGATGCCGAAGACAAGATCACCAAGTACGACTCTCGAGTCCACGACCTGGAGAAGACAATCGGCAACATTCAAGAGAAGCACTCGTCGATCGAAGGTCAAGTTCAAAAGCTCGACGCCGACTTCTGCAACTGGCGCACCAAGAAACAACTCTCCATTCTTGACAATGACGCCGAGATCAAGAACAAGGTCTCCAAAGCCCAAAACACGCTGGAAGAGCATGAGAAGAAGCTTCGGAACCTTCGCAGCGACATCGAGCACGAGGCCACCCAACGTCGTAAGCTGCAGGTGAAGACGACGGGAATGACACTTGCCTTCGCCAACGATACTTCCGTCTCCGGCATTGGAAAGTCTCAATACCCCGCTATCAAGTCATGGCTCGATGAGCTCGCCGCCAGGCCCGCGACCGCCCCCGACGTCCGCTGCAGAGCCATCCACTACTCTGCATGGCTCGCTAATAACGTCTAGCGTTGCCGTTGTATAAGTATATAGTGACAGTTAGTGACAGTAGATTAACAGCTGTAGCGTAACGGCGCATGTGCATTGCATTGTTCGTCACTGAACGTCTGGGCATAGACATGCTTGGGAACTTCTCACATCTGCACATTGGGCGCAGCACTCGGAACCAGGCCCGTCTGATTCGTCTGGTGTGGATCAGCGTCCATCGGACGTCCACTTAGTGACCATCCCAACAGCGAAACTTGTTTCTCTTCACCTTCCCTTGTTGACTGCTTCACTCTACGTTCCCTCTCCCATGACCCTTGAGGTAAAGATAACAGGATGCTCGCGAGCTGACATTAGGAATATGCCTCTGACTCAAGTGGCGACTCCTCTGACAACACGTTTCACCCCAAGCAAGAAGCATCGTTCCGGATGTCCACCACCATGTCTCCATACAACAACAACAACGACAAAAGCTCACCAGCATCGCCTCCCGCCATGGCAACGCATGGCAACGCTGAATGTGACAGACCTTTGACACCCCGGGCCTCAACAGCCACCCCAGCCGTTTCCGACCCAGCATGCGTTTCACCCCTCGACCGCGTCACCGTGCAAGACTTGATCACCGGAGTTGTAAACAGCATGGCCTCTGTCATTCGAGACAGTGAGGCTCGAACAGCAGCACTGGTCGCGGAGGCGGTGGCGAACAGCCGCGCTGAGGCCGAGGCGAGATCCGCCTTGTTTATTGAGGAAACGGTGGCTGCGCGCGTCGCCGAGATCGCCAAGTCCTCACCGAATCACAAGGAAGACACCGTCAACGCCTACCAGCTTCAGACAGCCGTTTCTGAGGCCGAGCAGCGCATGCAGTCAGCTCTTGCTGCACAGTGCGCCAAGGTCAACGACGTTGTCCGTGAGGAGACTCGGCAAATTATGGCTCGAGACAGGGATTTGCTGGTAGAGGGTTGTTCGGCCCTGAGTGCCAGGGTTGACGTTCTGACCAGTATCACCGACGACTCTCAAGGTCATTTACGAGCTCTGCAAGCGTCGCTCGGCGACATGCGCAGCCAGATGAACGATTTGCAAAGCTCACTTGGCGCCATTCAGCAGAGACAGGAGATTCTTGAAGCCAGGCAAATGACCCTTCTCCGGGACCACGGGGCATTGAAGACCGACCTTAGCTCATTGAAAGCCGACCAGAATTCGAAGAAAGCCGACATCAAGGCAATCAAGTCGAGGCAGGAGGCGTGTGAACAACAGCTGCAGGGCTTCGAATCGAGGCTCCGGTCTCAGAAGAAAGATATGGTGGAGGTACATAAGGCACAGAAACGCCTGGACAAACAGCCCGGAATGGGCAGCATCAAACTGAAAGAGCTCACCACAGCTCAGGAGGTTATCCAGGGGAAGCACGAGGACATGGTCAAAACGCAGCTCGAACTCCGCGAGTCCCTTGACGCGGTGGAGGAACGCGGCGCCGACTTCGACACCGCCATTGCCTCTTTTAAGACCCAGCTGATAGATATGAAGGACAGCTATAGCGCTTTGAGGCAGCAGCACGCCCTGCTCAAGGAGGAGGTGCTCAGGCTGAAGTTGTTCCGGGTTCCGTTGTCCCAGCAAAGCCCGTGGGGAAGAACCCCGGACGGCGACTCGCTGGAAACCCTGCTGAAGAATGAATCACGGCTCGAGTCTGGCTTCAGCAAGATGGTCAAGCGTCTGGACAAGCGTCTTCTGGCTCTCGAGAACGTTGGCGCCCCCGGTATCTCACCCACCCTCGATGCCCGTCTCGCCCAGCTTGGTGCAGAAATCGAATCGGTGCGCAACAGCAAGGAGAAGCTCGAGCTGGCTTTCCGCAAGGATGTCAGGAAGCAGCAGAAGAGCCTTACCGTGATCGACAATCGCATAGACACTCAGGACAGCCTCGCATGGAAGATACAGGTCAAGCTCAAGGCTCTGGCTCTGGCGGTCGCGCATGACATGGACCTGGACGACTTCAGCGCGGACGACTACCCTGACCTCCTCACCGAATCCCGCCGCCTCGCTCGATTCTCGAGAGATCCACACGTCAGTATCGAGGCAACAACGCATGCGCGTTGGCTTGCTACGGAGATTGAGCGACGTCGCTCCGGCTGAGGGCACTCAGCGTGATGTAACATAGGAAATGCACAATGTATCTACAATATACAACATCTATGTCTATACAGAGACAAGGACGTAGTCGTCCTCATCATCCTCGTCATCGTCCTCGTCATCATTGTCGAGACTGAGGGCGGCAAAAAAGCTGGCATTGTTGAGTTTAACGGCCGGCGACTCGTCATCGATCTCGTCCTCCTCATCATCATCGCTCTCAACAGCAGCGACGGTAACGATGGTCGGCGGGTCCGAATCCTCGCTGAGAGAGCCTGACTCGAACTCACTGTCCGAACTCTGCCACTCGCCGAGCCAGAGTCCCTGTCCGTCGCGCGTCGGCTCGGAGCCCGGTGGCCAGAAACCCCAGCGCACGCGGCCCTCAGCCAGGGCGCGCAGCATGCCGTCTGCGGCACGGTTGGCGTCGGGTCGTGCAGACTTGGCAGTCACTGTTGTTAGCTAACCAAAGGTGCTGAGGCTCACTGAAACCACGGTCGGCAGCACGACCGTCCATAAGATCTCCAGCCGTCCAGCCCTTCTTCGCTGGGGCTGCGATGCGATGCGGCCCGCGCCACGTCTTCTTCGCCTCGAGTTCGTCGACTGACTGCTCTGGCTCGGGGATGCGGAAAACCCGCTCGAGCGGAAGCAGACGACCCGCGAACTGAATGCAGGCGGGCAGGGACGGGATCTGCGCGATGGGGAGGACTGGTGTCAGCTTCTTGGCAACCACAAATGCTTACTTCCACTCATAGCCTGGAGCTCCATGGGCACAACACTGGGGCATACGAGACCGGGACAGTCGACAATGCGCACTTCCCGACGGGCACCCCAGAGGATCGTCTGCCAGTGCTTCGTCTTGCCTGGCGTTCGGGAGGCGCGCACCTTCGTAGTGCCGAGAAGGGCGTTCAAAAGCGACGACTTGCCTACATTAGGCTGACCGACAAGACCGAACGTCAGTGGCGGCTCAGTCTCATCATGGGCGAGCTCGCCTGACCGGCGGCGTGTGTCAGCCTCGTCCTCGATGTGGGCACTGTCGGTGTTCAGATCGTCCCAGCGGACGGTCTCGCGCACTTTGTGTTCCGGGGAAGAGAGGAGTCGGGCGTGAGCCATCTGGAGTGCCTCGAGGAGAGCAACACGGGCACTGTTGGGAATGTGGGGACGGTGTCGTCCCTCGGTGTGGAGGAGTGACGTATCGTATGACGACACAGAGACGACTTGCGGCTCATGCTCGTCCCCATCGGACCCTTCGAGCCACCACGCTCTCAACCAGCTACGCCAGCCGGCGAGCGCGGACGGGTCGACGAGGTCGGACTTGGTCAGGACGAGGATGATCTCGCGTCGAGGGCGGAGGGAACGGAGGTACGCGCGGAGTGATGGGGGGCAATGAACGGCAGGACAGCGCGCGTCCACGAGAAGGAGAACAATCGAAGAAGCCTCAACGACGCGCCACCTGAAGTCAGCTACAGAACCACAAGAGAAAGCTTACAGTTGTCGCCAGACCTCGAGGTTGGTCTCGAATGAGCTCGGGCTTCTCAACGTCGAGGGGCCAGCTACCGGCTCGTTGTCACCGCCATCGATCCATTCTTTCGTAATGTCTCTTGTCTCCCGAATCCATTCGCGAAACATAGTCTCCTCGTTCTTTTCAACCTCACTCTTGGTCTGATCGAGATGAAACGGCGGACGACTCGGCACGGTGAGCTTGTTCGCGCCGGGGTTGTCGACGAGCTCGAGAGGGAAGACGGAGGAGGAGTCGAGGATAGGACGCGGTAGTTCTTCACTCCATGCTGCCTCGCGGGTGCGGAGAAGATAGTCGTGCGGAATGCTCATGAAACGACTGTGCAGCTCGAGGCCGTCGTGCGCCTCCGATCGCATCTTGGCGGAACGGTCTAGGCGGATACGTCCATTGCGGCCGTGCTGCAGCGTTTCAACATCCTCACCGCGCTTCAGAGCCCGCTTTGTTTGAAGTTGAAGTTTCTTCTGCTTGTGGGAGAAGGCTACGTGACGCGGCCTGAGGTGAGCTTGGGAAGCGTTGCTGAGCTTACCGAGCGGGGGAGGGCATGGTGGAGATGGACTTGTTGCTGGAGTGGTTCTTCGACTACTTTTGGGCTTGAGTAAGTTGGGGGTGTAGGTGTAGTTGTGTTGCCCTGTGGTGGTGAGGCAGCTGTTCGTGTACTGATGAGGATAACATAGTTGTCGACCACGGATTTATGTAGTTCTTGGTGAGCTGCTACCAGGACGATGGATCGCGGATCCGATCCGTGTCGATCATCGTCGCTTCGGCGTTTCAGGATCTCGGATCCGAAAGTCTCATTACGTAACTCTTTTTCCTGCGCCAAGGTGTTCCTCCAGAATCCTGAACTCACGAGTCGAGTTCCCAACATGATCCGACATCCGGCGGCCGAGACGGGGAATGCTCCGGTGAACAGCAACTCGACTTATCAACATATCAAGGGCGACATGAACTCTTTATCCAGGACTCAGCGGCCCATGATCTGATGGGAACAGCAACAATCTCTACACAGTTTGAGTGATCCAGCGCCCCTCGCGCCCCTACCAGTACTCTATGTGCACAGTGTGTAGGTTCATGGAGCGTAGAGGCACCTGAGAGTGGGGAAAGGGGCTCCATGATCTGCTGTTCCTTCACTCACCCACTCAACCATACTCACTCACCATGGGATCCACGAAGAAGCGACAAGTCAAGCGCGACCCCGACTCGCCACCCGCAGACGAGAATCCTACCCACGGCGACAAAGAAGTGAAACCCAATATTACTGCAAAGAAGGCCAAGGGTCCGCAGCCCTACGCGCCTGGCGCCAAGTCGTCACTCGCCGAGATGATCATCAAGATTGGTATCGCTGGCCTGCCTAGCCACGCCGAGGTGTGCGAGAAGGTGTGCTAAAGCTCTCCTGCCGTTAGCTGACACCAGACGGGCCTGACCCCCAGCCAGCTCCGCACGCAGCTGGATCCACGCTGGGGTGTGCGTCGCGAGCTGACCAAGTGCGCCGAGTCGCAGGGTTGAGCCATGCGGATGCAAAGGTGACGAGAGCAATCGTACCGAAGTGTGTGGAACAGGCTGCGCTCTTGTTCCGTCCATTGCATCGTATGCGCCCAATTTGGGGCCACTAATGCTGTTTCTCACACTCCATTCTCTCACATCCAGCATCATGAAGCGCGAAGCAGACGCCGAGCCCACCGTTAAGCAAGAATCGGAACGCAAGAGAAAGGCGCGTGGAGGCGAGCCCTGCGCAGAAGGCGCCAGAGCCGCGCTCGCCCAGATGATTATCGACATCGGTCTTGCTGGTCTACCTGCCTATGATGAGGTCTGCGAGAAGGTAGGCTAGAGCTTCCATACTTAGCTGACATCAGACTGGTCTCACGAAGCAACAGCTCAAAAACCAGCTCGATGCGCGTGCGCCGCGACCTGACTAAGTTTGCGGAGTCTCTGAAGTAGTCTGAACCCAGCGAGTACAGTAGGTCGAGGGGATGCATGGTGTGGTGAGACGGGCGCGACACAGCTGAGGCATGTGTCGATGGCGGGGCAAGGTATGGAGCAGCGGTGCGAAAGGACCCAAGACACGCCCGATACGTCCTTTGACTCTCACGGAGTAGAGGACAAGGGCTCACATATTTTCACTCATGTCGCTCTGACCCCCCAGCATTCACACACTTCACCTTCACCTTGCCAGCATCCACTTCCACCACGATGAAGCGCAAGTCGTCCGTCACACCTTCCGAGGACGAGTTCAAGCCCGCCCTCTCTGACGAGGACGTTAAGCCGAAGACCAAGAAGTCCAAGGCCAAGGCTAAGCCTGGCGGATACCCTGCTGGTGGCAAGCAGGCGCTCGCGGAACTTATCATTGAGCTCGGCGTCAAGGCTCTCCCACCCAACAAGGAGGTTGCCAAGTTGGTGGGTCTAAGCTATATACATCTTAGCATACTAGCTGACCTCAGACTGGCCTCAGTGCATCTCAAGTCACGACGCAGCTCGATCCTCGTTCTGGCGTTCGCTGCAACCTTGTCAAGTACGCTAAGACTCTCGGCTAGAGCAAGTACTGTGTCAACTATGCATAAGGAATGAATTGATACTGCTATACGTGGTTGGTCGTGGTTGGTAGTGTTGGTGTCACATTGCGTCAATGAGTGGTCATGGTCAACAAACTCGTCGTCTTGTACACCTGGTGTGGTTAGCTGGGACGAGCAAGTGTAGCTTACTGGCTTCCTCTCGATCCTGCATCTGGGCATGTTCCTGGTTGTGAGCTAGGCGACCAAGAACAGTTAACACACAACAGAAGGATAAGGGTCTGCGAGCCCGCCTGCCCCGCACACCGGCTTTGCGCGAGTACCACAGCCCGTGAACGAGGTGCGTCTCCCATCGTGCGGTAAGGGTATCGAACACCCAGACCTGGCCGCTATTGACAGTCGAGGCAGAGCATTGCGCTCCCCTTCCGACCCGAATGCACTCAACACAGGCGCCCCGACGGAAAGCGAAGTATCGGCCTCCAGTGCTGAGGGTCGGCAGGTCCGGGTCGTAAGTGAGGGGATTGCTCGTGCACTTGTTCTCCGTGCTGAGCTCGGTGCGGACAACTTCGGCAGCATGGTGGTCGAAGTCGCAGTCGTGCTGGGCCGAGGGCGAGCGGCACTGGACACAAACGCACTGCACTGGCGCAGCGAAGCGCATGCCGTCTCCCACACGCTGACCCCAAAGCTCCATCCATGTGCTATCGGCGCTCTCGTGCGGTATCGAGGGGGCAGCGGCAGCCAACGCGCTTGTGCGTGCCAGTGCGGCGAGAGCCTGCGCTTGCGCTTCCGCAGCGGCGGTCGCGGCCGCGTCGGCGGCATCGTCTTCCGGGGCCGAGGTGGACATGTCGTCGAGCTGGCTGGAGACGAACTAGCAGCTGGAGAGGGGAGTACAATGGAGACATGGCTGGAATGGGTGGCTGCGTTATATGATCGGAGGCCCTCGTCCGTGCACCCTGTCGGTTGCTTCTCAGAAGCTGGGCCGGTGACGCGGCGGCGCACACGGCGCAACCAGGGGTGCGAACACACAGATCCACTGTCGGCATCGACATCTTCTGCTTGGGTGTCACCTGACTGTTGGCGAGTGTTCCGAGCCAAGCAGAACGACACAAGGGCGCGCTGCGGCGTTTTCGTGTTCCGTTCACTCCTCCGTCCAGTCGGATCTGGACAAAAGCGCCGCCCTCGACGCCCAGAACATGTTCTCCGCCCAAGACACCGATATGCCCCGCCAGTGTCATTCTTCGCACCAGCGGAGCCCCACTGAAAGGCTACTACTCCAGTTGTACGTCGCCTGATGCAAGTCCCCTCCCTTACCGACATCGCGCATCTGAACTCATGACGGTTGCCAGAGCATCGTGATTTTCAGTGGCCAGCGATAACGGCGATCTCCGACATTGGGCAGGACGCCGATGAAGCCGAACACCGGACCCTGAGCAGGTCCGGTTACTTGCGTTTCCTTGCCCATCCCAGCCCAACGTTTGGACTACCCCACGAAGTGTGCTTAACGCGCTTGGCCACGACATCTAACCTTTCGCTCACTGTGTAATCTACACATCACGCGCAGTTACTCCCAACCAGTATGGCAGAAGTCCCAGCAAAGCGATTCTGGCATCTCTCCCGACCCTCGGAGAACCAATGGCAGCTCACCCTCTCCAACCCGCCGGAGAACCGACTCCTGCCCCTCGTACTCGTCGACCTGTCCTCGCGGCTGGATGAGATCGAGGCTCAGTGGCGTACGACGTGGGAAGCAGCTCCAGAGGACAAGAAGCCCGGCGGCTCTGTAGTGCTCGCGTCCGACAACAAGAAGTTTTGGAGCAACGGGTTCGACCCCACCAAGATGGGCCGGGCTGGCTTCATGCCCTGTAAGTCAGTCTGGGGAGGGCTTTGCTAATGGCCTCTAGATGTGTTCTATCCCGTTATGAACCGACTCCTGACCTTTCCCCTCATCACTGTCGCGAGCATCAACGGTCACTGTTTCGCGGGAGGCATGTTGATCGCACTCTCCTGTGACTATAGGCTCATGACGACCGGCAAGGGCTGGATGTCAATGAATGAAGTGAGCCCTGTGTTGTCTTTATAGCTAATGTGCCAGGTGTTCATTCACGAGCCCATTCCTTCTGAAGTTTGCCGTCTCCTCGCCGCGCGCGTCTCACCGACGTACTGGACCAAGCTTCTGCTCGGCCACAGATGGACGTCGCAGGAAGCCCTCGCGGCTGGGTTCGTGGACGAGATCGTGGACAATGACGGTGCCCATGAGGGAAAGCTGCTGAAGCGATCTCTCGCTTTCGCGGCAGAGCGCGCACCCAATGTGGCTAGTGGGGCTTGGGGTCTCATCAAGGCTGGTGTCACTACGCCAATTGCGGACCAGCCGCACAAGTGGCGTATGACGTATCGACCCCCGCATGAGAGGGAGATGTTCAAGCACGGGACGAAGGACTTCTTCTATGTCGGAAACAGCAAGTTGTGATCAAGGTACTGGAGAACGACGTAATGAACAGTCTGCAGTATACTACACGGGTCCGAACTCTTGCTTCACTGCATCTTCATTGTTGCTAGAAACACTACTGATTTGATTATACTTTGGCTGCCTAAGCCTTCTTCAGGGTGAGCTCCTGCGCCTCAGGCTTGAGGTCGCCGTGCTCCCAGGAGCGGGCGGGAACGAGGCCGTCCTTGCCCGAGTACACGAGGCCAGACCAGCGGTTGACGAGGCGCACCGTGCCGGTCTCCTTGTTGTCCTCGTGGGAGCGCGAGGGGATGATCCACCACTGCTTGCCGGCCTTGTCGGCCTCGGACTTGTCAAAGGCACGGGGCTGCTGCGCCCAGGCACGCGCCTGCTCCGTCTCGTCGATGCCGAGGATGCCCTCCTTGGTCTCGACAGTGTACGCGCCGTCGCCGGTAGGGGTGAACTTGACCTTGTCCTTGCCGAGGATGCCAATGTCGACAGCCGCGGACGAGACAGTGTACTCGGCATCCTTGTCGACGGGCTCGTACGGCGTGTCGGTGTCGATGGCGATGTTGACAAACTCCGAGTTGCTCTGCGAGCAGTAGAAAGAGCAGTAGGCGCGGAACGTCTTGCCGAGGACGTTGCCGAGAGTGGCCGTCTTGGCATCGACCATCCAGCGGTAGGCCGAGCGGGTCTTGTAGTTCTCCCCCGTGTCGCCGATGAGGCGCCAGCGCTGGGTCGTCAGGTCGTCCGTGGCGTAGAACTGCTGCGGGTGGTTCTCCTTCGTGTTCGCACGGTCGGGGTGCGTCGGCTCGCCGACCCAAAGACCGAGGTGCGCGTTCCATCCCACGTCCATCCAGAACAGGGGCGTGGTGGGCGCAAGCTTGCCCGCCTTGATCTGGTCCTCGGCGAAACCGGGTGTCTTGGGGTCGTAGTCGATGTGGGAGTAGCCGTCGGGGTTGGTCTCGTCGACGGGGAAGATGGGGCTCTCGCGGCCCTTGAGGCCGGGCTGCTCCCACTTGCCCTGGTACCACTTCCTCCAGGAGCCGGCCTTCATCTTGTCGGCAATGGGGGCACGGGCATAGTGGTGGTGGAAGGCGTGCCAGGTGCCGTTCTTGTCAACGACGCGAGAACCGTATCCGAGGTAGAAGTAGCCCGAGGAGATGTCGACGATAAGACGCGGGTCACCCGTGCCCCAGAAGTAAGTCGACTCGGGGAATGCCTCCTCGTTGTCGCGCTCGGTCTCGAAGGGCGACGAGATGATAGTCTCGCGGATGTCCCACGTACGGCCACCGTCCGAGGACACGGCGAGATCGATGGCGTCGAAGTGCAGCCAGTCGCCATACGGTTGGGGGCTGAACTCATTGTGGATCAGGCCGTACCAGTCGCCAGAGTCGGGGTCGACCCAAAGGCCGATCAGGTCGCAGTAGTTGGCCTGCGAGTACGTCGTGTTCGGGCGGTTCGAGTAAGTCGAGTGCTTGCCCGTGGGACTGTTGTTACAGCGCCAGGTCGTGTCACCGTTTGTGTCCTTGGGATTGGCGGGGTTCTTGTAGTAGGTGACGTCGCGGTCGAGGACGGCCGAGTCAATGTCAAAGCCCTTGTAGAAAGACCACCAACGGGGGTCCTTCGTCTTGTAGGCTCCGTCAGACTGCTGCAGGTGGTAACCGCCGTCCTTGTCGAAGAAGCCGAGGGCGGGCGTGTCATCGGGGTGCGCCCACTTGCCAATGTCGCCGACCTTGACAGTGTACGTGGGCTGCTTGGGCTTGTTCACGATGTTCTCAGCGGCGCCATAAGAGCCCCGCACGCTCAGGAGATCGATCATGTCGGCCTTGTCATAGACACTGGCGGCCGAGATGACCAGGGCGCCAGTGACCGTAGCGAGGAGCGCTGCTGCTCCAGTGCGCACCATCTTGCGTTGTCTTGCGCGGTCCATGCTGCTCATTGTCGCTCCGTGGGGATATATATAACGCAAACATGGGTGCTGCGGGGCATCGTTAGCTTAAGTAGCGGACGTGTACGTACGAGGTGGGGAGGCCGAACTCGCCGAGGATCCGGCGTCTTGGCCGTGCACTTGTTGGGTGACTCCGCGCGGACCGGTGGACCGAGGTCATGGTGGACCCTACATCCGGTGTCGGTTCCGGCGGCCCATGTGGAGCCTTCCGCTTCTAGCGTGCGTTTATCGTGGTCAAAGTGCAACGCTAACGAGCATCTGCATTCTCTTTGTTCTGTTTCGGGAACGGATGCTGGCTGCGGAGTGACTAAGCGCAAGGTAAGCTACCGCGCAATGACGAGGTCGGTGTCGAGCTGCTCCGATCGTGCCGAGAACCCCAATGTCAGTCGCGTCACTCGCCGATATGACGCGTCGACGCCTCGGGCTCGGAGGAAGCCGACAGAGTGATCACCGAATGATAACTCACAAAGTTTGGAGGCTGGCGCTCTGGTCGAGGTATCAAAGATGAGTGGGGCTGCCACCGTCGGAACTGAAGTGATGCAACAACTGCTCTGCGTTGCATCCAACTACTTTCTGGGAGGACCATCGAAATACTGAGAAACAGCAGCCAGCGGGGAACGCACAGTCACAATGCTGACAGTATTTCGGCATGCCTACCACGCGAGGGCGCAGCACTCACCCAAAGATCCAAAGGCGTGAGGTGAGCACCACCATCTTAGGTCTGCGCCCCTCAGTGATAGGCGCTGTGTCAGGCGGTCAAGTTCGCTGCAAGCCTTTGCTACCACAACCTGATGCAGTCTTCCTCGCTGCGGGCACGCTGAAAATTGCCTTCCTCGCGATCGTCGTCATCTCATAGACGTCAACACCGCTCTCTCGTCCTCACCTCGCGCGCTCGCGCAAGCCTGGCTCAACATGGACGATCTGTCACAGGCGGTCTCTGACAAGCTCAATCTCAGCAAGGAGGACACTGCACCGGCGTCTCCAAAGGCAACCAAGGCTGAGCAGGCGTTCACATCGGCACCGAGCACCAAGCAGCACACGCATGACCCTGCATCCATCCCTTCAATCGTTCCATGGCAGCCCGAGTTGTGGTGTCATCAGTTCCCCCGTGACCGCAAAATGATGGTAGGGACCATCACCGCGACCTCACCTCTGCCCACGGCCAGCGACACCAAGCTCACGTACGCCACACATCCTCACATCATCGAGCAGCTTCTCGATTATGTCGACACCAATACTCTTTTCGCGTTCCGTTCCACGTGTCGCAGATTGCGCGACGAAGTCGACCTGGTGTTTGAATCTCACATCGAGCTGCACATGGAGGGTCTGCAACTTGTCTTCGAGACTCCAGCCAGGCGCGTCATCAAAGCGCAGCGCATTCCTCGCTTCTACAACCCCGCTTTGCACAACATCCGCCTGGACGTGCGCCCCTCCTTGGAAGAGTTCAGCTATCACTCGGATAACCGCTTCGACCACCACATCACCAACTTTGCCGTGCATCATACCGTCGCTGATTGGTTCGCCAAGTTCCTCAGCAACATCAAGATTCTGGACTTCCATGGCGGTATCCTGATGAACATCTTGCCAGGGGCCCCTCCCAGGAAGGGGCCTGATGCACTTGGAGAGGTGGCGGTCAAGAGCGTCAAGGTCCCCAAGCTTCGGTTCTTCCCCGATGGCCAATCTGACTGTGGCTTCGCCGCAGCTGTTCCATTCTACGCCGATGTCGTCGAGTACCACGGCAACCTTCACCTGACCCACCAGAGAATCGACGGCTCTTGGTTGTTCTGGCCCAAGTGGGTTCCGCAATGTGAGGAGGTCGCCCACCACGTGATGCTGGGGATCAATCAGAAGTTCAACATTTCGCCTGACAGAGTGAAGCCCTTCGTGTATCCACCTAGCGTGAAGAAGGTGGTCGTTCTCCTCTGCGTCATCAAGCCTCCCAATCTCACCACTCTGACCATCCCTGGAAGCACCGCCGAGGAGAGGTGCATTCCCATTGTTACTCTGCTGCTCGTCCTTCAACGCATCTGCGGCGCGCTCCAGCCGGGCATCACGTGGGAGATGTACGGCTTCACAGGCACCAAGCTCGCGACCTCGCAGGCCCCTGGCGGGATTCTGGCTGCGGACCGCGTGCCGAACACAGTCATGCTGTATCTCGTCCGCCTTCAAGCAGCCATCGACAAGGAGGAGCTCAAGACGGATGAAGACTACCACCGTAAGGCTGCGGAGATGTGGGGTCGGGTCATCTTTCACGGCCAGACGATTGGTCCTCAAGCCATGTGATTAGCACCGCCCAAGCCACCCACCTCAGACAAGTGAATGGGGTATTCGCCCTTTGACCCTTCCCGTGTCTTCCGATCGTTTGGCACTGTTAGTGGTGGGTCATTTGTAATTGGAAGGGCAACAACGTATGCACACTGTGGATTAGCATCGCGTCGGAAAAGAACTCACGGAAAGATGATTGATGCTGAGAGAAGCGGAGGATAAGAAGTGACTGCAGAAGGAAGCCAAGCTTAATAGGAGGATAGAGTCTCGCTCAGTCATGCATTAGTCAAGGGAATGGGGGTGAAAGGTGATCGGAGACAAGCAATATCCGCGGCTGATCTGCAAGCTCTCGTGTGAGAGGGTGCCTGGGCCTGGGCAGAGGGTAGAGGGTAGAGGGCCAGAGTGTGCCTTGGCGCAGTGGGGGTGCAGGGATCAAGCCGTGGTTCCAGTGCGCCAGTGCATTGTTCCTCGACTTCTACTTTCCGACGGGGTCAGCAATCCCCTGAAAGCCTGTCCCTCGACCCCCTCGGCAACCACAGACAGTCAGTAATCAGAGAGACCCAGTCATTACCCAGTCAGTCAGTTCCCGCTGCCGACCTCCACCAAGCCCCTACAGCCTGAACTCACTGCCCGCATGCCCGCCGCCGCCTCATTCTCCTCTGACCAATTCATCCAGCTTGCTTACCTTTCTGCTTGCAAGACCCATCCTAGCCATGCTTTAGCCTCGACGGCAATCCTCGATCCAAACTTATCTCTACACCAACATCCTCCACCCAACACACACACACGGCCACTCTAGACGGCCAGCGCTCGCATGCCCACCGTTCCAGAACACGTCCTGTCCTCGGCCACACCCATCCGACTATGTCCTCAGGCAAACGTCAACAAGCCTCAGGCATGTCAAGCTTGTCAGCAGCGAAAGCGCAAAGTTAGTCTCAATTCCCTCAAAGTTTGTCTTCCTTGCCACCCATCAGTCGGTGGACGACGCAGATCCCTTCCCCATTCTTAATGATCTGAGCTAACCTTGACAGTGCGATAGGAGACGACCCGATTGCTCGACCTGCGTCAGGAGGAAGATCCCATGCGTCTACGAGGTCAAGATCACAGACAGGAGTCATCCAAAGTGAGTTCTCCTTTGCCAGCATCTCCTGACGTCAGCTTCCTGACCGATCTGCTCAAGTCCGTGGAGGAGAAGGACAAGCGCATCGCGACCCTCGAGGCTCTGGTCCAGTCGCAGCTGCCCGGTGTAGTCATCAAGTCGCTTTCCAACGATGAGCTCTCGGCGCTGTCTCTTTCCGCACCAGGTCCGTCAACAGCCCCGCCTCCCCCGCTACCTGGACCACTAGCGCCAAAACCTGGCCCATCACGTCACGACGCGACCTTTGTTGCAGGGAAGGGTTCTGAGAAGATGTCGCCAGCCTTACTCGCTTCCGTCGAGGAACGCCTAGCGAATCTGGACTTTACTGCGCCCTCGTCCAAGCTGAGATCTGTTCCGACACTCAAGCTGACGGTCGTGTCGTTCATGCACTCCCAGCTCGGCGCCAATGCCGAGTCGCTCGAGACCGTCACCGACTTTACCAACGTTGCGGTCTGGCCGCCGTTCGACCTCGGCGCAAAGTGCATCCGCGCGTTCGTTCAGAACAATGCGACTTGCCCGATATTCAGAGAGAGCGAGATGCTCGAAAGGTGGGTTGCTCCCAGAGACTTTGCTAACCCTCAGTCTGCGCGAGATCTACAAAGGCAATCCAGACGAGACGGCGACACCCCTCCAGACGTTTACGTTCTTCCTCGTGTTCGCCCTGGGCCTCGTTTGGCTTTCTAGGGGAAAGAAGGGGGACAAGATTGACACGACGTTACTGAGGAACCGAGCGTTGAGTAACCTCTCGGCGGTGCTGAAGACGGAGAGCGGCGTTGTGAGTCGAGCTTCCACTCCTTGAATCAAGCTGACAATCAGACATGCGTCTCATCACTATTCCTCCTCAGCTTTTGGTCCGTGTTCGACTCTGGCGGTCCCGATCTCGTGCCCATCTTTCCCATCATTGTCGAGCTCGCCCAGTACTACAAGCTGCATCAGGAGCCGAACCCCTCGCTGCCGATCGAGGAGCAGGACCGCCGCCGCATCCTCTTCTGGTCAATATACAACCAGGAGAAGGGCATGGCGGGTGTGCTGCAAACGCCAGTCGAGCTGAAGGACGAGAACATCACAGTGTCCCTGCCGCTGCGGCTCGACGATCTCGGCCCATTGACGGAAGGCGCCGATCCGGTCGTCTGGTACCGGCACATGACTGCGATGCGGCAGATCTTCTGGGACGTGTTCCACTTTGCGTGGAAGGCAAAGCCAAACGACGAGATGCGTGCAAGCCTGCAAATGCGGCTCGACGAGTGGCACGCACGCAACCCCCGCGGCGACGTGGGTGAGGGGGACAACTACTTCGACCTGTATTACCACACGATCCGCGCGCAGCTGTACCGCCCAACAACAGACGTTGTACCGGTCTGGCAGCTGGCGATCCTCGAGGTGTCGGCATTCAAGTCGCTGTCTGTCGCAATGAAGCTGTACCAGGAGCGCAAGTGGGTCGACAACCCCTTCCACTTGTCGCACGCGATCGCGATGGGCATGTCATTGCTGTACTCGCTGCTGCAAAACTGCCGGACGGACCCGAGCAAGCAGGAGGACCCGGACTGGCGTAACCGCGCAATCTCCATGATCGCGCAGTGCCAGGAGGTCGTGAGCCTGATCTGCTCTGGGTGGCCGCAGATTTCCCACCTGTCGCGTGCCTTCAACGAGCTGTCGAACCGGATCCTGACGACAATTTGCGGCTCGTACCCGAACCCGCTGGCTGAGAATGCACCGCCGCCTGACATGGCGCCGCGGCTGCCAGAGGACGGACAGCCGCTGCCGATGGACGGCCTGCCGGGGCACACACCCAACTCGGACGACGCAATGTGGCTGAATGGTGCCATCTCTAACCTTCAGAACACGGAGATCGAGATGAACCCTGCCGACCTCGAGGCATTCATGGAGAGCATAGGATGGTCCCAGGAGTGGGCCATGGGCGGCGGCATGGGGTTTGATGGCACGCCGGTTGCCCCATTGGCCTAAGAGTGTAGCCTCGGCAGAGAGAGAGAGGGAGTGCCGCGCCGCGTCATGGGTTGTGAGTCGTCGTCTGTTGTTCGGGATAAGTCATTTGTATTCATAGCAAGTAAATACTGAGATTCATAAAACCTTCTTGTCTTTGTCTGTGTGTTACCTCTTTATGTCAGAAATCCAACTAGATGTGGATGATGTCCTTGTGCCTGCTCCGCATCTCGTCAAAGTAGAAAGCGGGGTCGTAGTGGGGTGCGATCTGCCCGTCGCCGAGCCAGCTCATGCTGTGCTTGTATTGCGGGTCGCGCTCGTAGTCCCAGTCCTCCCACCTCGGCTCACGCAGCGCGGCAACGGCGTGCTGGCTACTGCCGGGCCAGAGGGTGCGGATGGTCCCGTGTCCGCCAGACTTGTACCAACTGGGGCACTCGGTGCTGTATACCGTCCTGGGTGTCAACTAGTCGACTCTCCATCATCAAACGGGGGCAAGAGTGCGATGCACTCTCTCCTCCGCCCCTCTCCAGCTTACCTGGGGAAGTACGCGTCCGTGTATCGGATCCAGTCCTGGATGGCGGAGTCCTTGGGCGTCATGGACCGAATGCCCTCGCGCTGACACTTGGCGATACACTTTGCGGCATAAGCGAGCTCGGCCTCCATGATAATCAGCAGGTTTCCCGTGCCGACGTGGCTCTGCGGACCAAGCACAGTGAAGAAGTTGGGCATCCGCGGCGCGCCGACACTCATGTAGCTCACGGGCTCGTAGTCCCAGAGATCCTGGAGATTGTCGCCCGTGACTTCGTTCACGATCGGGAAGCGCGGCTTCGCATCCGCCTTGAAGCCTGTTGCGCAGATGATTGCGTCGAGCTCGTATTCTTCGCCCTTCTTTGTGCGAATACCTGTGGGTGTGAAACACTCCAGGTCGTCCGTCACGAAGCTCGTGTTGGGCTGGGCTAGCGCCTCGAGATATCCCGGACCGGGCGTGAGGCGCTTACACCCCACAGCAAAGTCGGGCACGAGCCGGTCGGCCAGCTCGGGCTTGTCCTCGAGCTTGGAGCGCATCTTGGCCTCGCTCAGCGCTCTGAATCCATTCTGCGCCTTCGTGTCGCGGTGGATGAGGAAATGCTGCAACCCCTTCTCGCGCTCCACGACCATCCTGAAGTCCTTGTAGTTCTCAAAGTTGGCGAGGTACTCCTTCTCGGCGTCCGTGAAGGCGTAGTTGGACTGCTTGCTGGGGTCGATGCCCTTGCTCGCCAGGATGGAGTCGCCATAAGTGCCAATGATCCAGGTTCGCGACCGGCCAAAGGAGACGAGCTCGCGGCACTTGGACTGCATGACGGGGATGATTTGGATGGCACTGCTCCCGACGCCGATCACGCCGACGCGCTTGTCGCTCCAGTCCATGCCCTCTTCTTCCTCCTTGGCTGCGTCCCACTTGCCCGAGTGGCGCAGGATACCCTTGTAGCTCTCGCGGCCGGGGATGTCGGGCCAGATCGGGTTCGACAGCAGGCCGGGAGAGTAGTAGATGAAGTCGGCCGAGTCCTTGATGATGTTTCCAGAGACGAGGTTCTTGATTTGGACGTTCCACTTGGTCCCGTCCCAGCGCGCATCGACGACTTCGTGCTGCAGCTTGATCAGCGGGCGGAGGTTGTAGTGCTCCACCACGCGCGAGAGGTAGGTCTTGATCTCGGCGCCGCCGGCGTAGAACTTGTCCCACTTCGAGTTGGACGCGAACGTGTACGTGTATGTTGCGGCGGGGACGTCGCACGCCACGCCCATGTACCGGTTGATGTTCCCTTGTCGTTAGCGAGCCGCGCTTCTCTAACTGTGGGCCCGAATACTCACAGACACCACCGATATCCTCGGCCCGGTCATAAACTTGCAAGTCGAGGTTGCGGATCTGCTGCGGGAGGTAGATTGCCGCGCCGAGACCCGAGAAGCCCGCGCCGATGACGATGACGCGCACGGGGCGGCCCTCGTCCACGCCGTGAGGGACGAGAGGGGGCAGGCCGAGCGAGTCGGCGACGTCGCGCGCCTCCTGCGCCTGTGCGGCGCGCGCGGCCGGCGTGTTGGGCGTGGGCGTGTGGTCGAGGGTGACTACCATTGTGTCGGTTGAGTTGGGAGAAGCTCGAGGGGGAGAGCTGTTGAGGACTCGAAACGCTGTGGTGAAGGCCTGTTATATACCATGTCGTCGGGGTCGTGGTTGTCGTGGTGTCGAGGAGGCGACTAGGGACGATTGGGAGGCACTATCGGAAGGCAGTACGTCTCCCCACATGCCGGTCGTGAGGAACGATCGGGAGATGAACCTTGCTTGGAGCGATCGGAAGCGGTACCTTTCCCCGCAATCTGTAAGCTTACAACGAGGAGAAGGAGATGCTGGCGGGGAGTTGCCCCGCAAACGTGACCATGTCCGACATCGCCAGGTAAGAAGGCGGCGACGTGCCCCGCAACATGTGGGGAGCTCAGTCGGAGGAGTGAGAGTGACAATCTCAGTGACCTCGTGAGCCCTGATCGAGAGTTGACCTGCAGTCGCCAATACGGGCCATCCTCGGAACCTCGCTCATGATGGCGTCCCGCCATCAGCGACGCGGAGGTGGCGGAGTTGGCGGGGTGCAGCCCCGCAAGTCAAGAGACGTGGCTGGGTCTCGGGGCTGGTCTGGGGTGGGCTGGTCCGCATGACGTCGGGATAGGGCCATCGGGCCATGAAGCGGAGATGATCTCGAGGCTCTATCGCTCGGCAACCACTCGCAAAGAGGAAGCCGAGGGCGACGAGATGGCCATGACCTAACGCAACCCTAGTCAGCGATAGAGGGGTGATATTGAAGTTGCGGGCCCCGCTACCCCAGTCTGAGGCCCGTTAGAAGTCAGAGTCAGACGAGGTCAGTCGTCGTTTACCCCTACCACCTGAGCCACATGCTGCTTCCAACAACGGGCTACCCACCTCGCGGCGCACGCCGTCGTCAAGCATGCGCCTCCACCGTCCCACCGCCTCACCACCCCAGCGTCGCGCAGAACAGGCGACTACGCGAGAGGACAAGCAGGAGGCGGAGAAAAGTCCGCCATCGTTGTCAGTCGATATGGCGGAGAGAAGTCCGCCACTCTCCCACGCTCGTTCATCCTTCCACCACCGTAGCACTCAAGACGGCGGAGTCGCTCGCCGCCATTGCGGACACCTCGTCCACCACCTGACCTCCACCCCGCCAGCCATGCCTGTACGGCAAGCTCCGGGCTCGGAGTCGCTGGGCAGCTGAGACGCCATGTGGGGTATGTTTGCCGGGTTGTGAGGAATGCGGGGTAAGCCGCCAACAACAACACAAGGCCGACCCGATCGCTCGTCCATGTGACCGTCTGGCGGGGATGCGCCCCGCACCACGACCATGCTCACAGGTCCGGAGCAGGAATTAAAGCAGGAGGCGGCCGAGATCATTCGAAATGTTCTGTTGTCGTCGGATCAGGCCGAGCTGGGCCTTTGGACGCAAGTTCGGGCTGGGATTGGCCACTCAGTCTTGCCGCAGGGGCCGTCAGTAGAACGGCTGAGGTCATCAGCATCCTTGGGACAGGTGACTACCTCGCTGCGTCGGACGAGCTTGGTGTCGGATGTCGGGTCAATCGTTGCTGGCGGAGAGCGACCCCGCAAACGGCGGGGAGTTGCCCCGCACCACGTGCACTTCTTCTCTCATCCGGGCCTTATAAGAAGCCCATCTCCATCTTATCCCCCGAAAGAAGTGCAGTGTTGCATGTATCGACCGGCGGGTTAACCAGGGCTGGTTTGTTGTCGCATATCGTCAACCAAAGAGCATGGCAGACAGGGTTGAACGCAGGTGTCTTTCCCTGATCTCGCACCTGTTATGAGCGCTTGGCGGCACGTCCCTTGCTTCTGGCTGATTAGAGGCGAGGCTGGACACAGACGCATGGTGTATAGTCGTGAAGGCTGCTTGAGATATGAAGAGTTAGCAAGTGCATGATGACCATCGCTGGCATTGTCGATTCTGATGCCGCCATGCTGTTGAATGGCAGAAAGCGTTGGAATGACGACACGGCGCTGGATGACAGGAACCAGGACTCTGGTACTCTGGGACCGTCCGAATCCCGCGGCCCGGCGTACCTTGTACGCCTCCCAGCGCCTCGTCGTGTGCGAGATCTGGAGGTGATCAGTGTCATTCGTCCGTCCACTAATCCGGAACTCGGGAACAAGATGAAGGACGCCAGCCTCGTGAGTTGGATGGGCGGGAGCGCAGTCGAATGCACCTTGATCAGGACAGACCAGGACATCTGAAACGGCGCAGACACCAGTGGATGGGGTGTGCATGTCGCATGACCCTGACGTCACCCTCACTCTACTGCGTTCTCCTCCCGTCTCAATGTCGTGTCCCTGGCGTTTGGACTTATGACGCCTGCAAAGTGAGACTGCTGCGCACACTCGGCGCATCCTCGGCGTGTCTCAGTTCAGAGCTAACCCACGACTCTATTGCTTCACAACGCACACACCGAGCAACACACACGCAGCATTGCCCGCCGCAGCCAGCACGCAGCAACGCAAACCCCGTTATGCTTAGCACACCGCAAACTCTGTTCTTGACTCTTCACAGTCGCTAACAGCTGACCGCCTTCTCACGCCCAGTCGCCGCACAGACTCGCACTCCCCATTGTTCGTCTCGGGCGACATCTTCATCGTCTTTCCCCTCATCTGTTTTCCCACTTCTCTTCAGTCTCGACAAAGCGACGTTAACGAACGACATGGAGACCACCTTCACCGACGACCTCGTCCTCCCCTCCCGCCTTCAGCGGTGGGACACTCTCTTCCGCCTCCGAAACTTGCGCCTCAACGTCGCTTCGCTCTTCCTCGGCGTCTTCGTCGGCAAACTGCTGAGCGGCGTGCTGTTCCCGTCTCTCACAGAGCGGGGGTGCTACGTCGGCTGGGCGGCTCGTGAAGCCGTTCCACTGTCGTCGTGCGGGGCTGTGCTCCTCTTCCTTTCGTGTCTCGTGTGGGAGGCGTGTGTCCGGGACCACAGCGACTACCAGCGTGAGTTCTTCCCCGAACCGTCTGAGGCAGCTGAGAAGGAACGGTAAAGAAGCTGACATTCAGGTTTGAAACTGCGCAATGAAGCGTGGAAGGCGGCGATCGCGGCCGATGAGACTCTCGCGACTGTGAAGCGCGAGGTCGACGAGCGCAGGGTCGCCATGCACCACATGGGCGAGGAGCAGCTGGGACAGTTCATGGACGCCAAGCCCCAGATGTGTGGACACATTACGGTCGACGACGCCGCTGCGGCGTGCGCACTCCTCGAGCGCAGGGGATTGTCCCGGTGGCGACTCTGGCGCGGCCGCAGTGTGCAGCTTGCGTAGGCCTGGACTCCACCTCGGTCTCACTCGACCAAGATCCAGTACGATCTCCGTGCTTCACTGTGCAATAATAACGGTCGTCAATCATAGACACTGCTGGGCAGTCCAATGTATCATAGCCATGCAACGACATGACATGCCCGTTTGAAAGCCAGCTCTGGCTCGGCTCTGGAGCGGCGGACCCAGCCAGCTCAGTCAAGAGTGCTGAACGACGCTGCCGTGCTGGATACATGCTGTGATCTACTCCTTCTTCCTCGCGTTGTACTTGTCGACGGCCTCCTTCGTCTCCGGGCTCGAGAAGCACTCCCCAAACACATGTATGCTGTGCTCGATGCTGTCCTGAATCCCATGATTGAGCCAATACTCATTCAGCCCCTTCTGCGCCTTCATGACCGTCGGCGTGAGGTCCGTAACCTTGGCGAGCAGATCCATCGTGACGCGTTCCAGGTCCCCCTCCTGCCGCTCCGCGAAGCGGTTGACGAACCCGATCTTCTCGACGGGATACAGGTCACCGGTCAGGAGCATCTCCCTTGCGAGGCTGAGACCAGTGTAGTGCGGCAGCAGCGCCGCATCGACAACGGAGGGGATACCAACTTTCGTCTCGGGCAATCCGGCCTGGACCTCGTGGTAGCTCACTCTAAAGTCGGCACTGAGGGCCATCTCGAATGCGGCACCGATGCAGTAGCCGTTCAGAGCCACTGCGGTCGGCTTAGGGCTGAGACGGAGCGAGCCAACAGCATTGGAGACTTTGCGGATGACGTTCAGCGCCTCGTCGACCGACAGGCCGGCAAAGACGTGCGTGTCCATGCCGGCGCAGAAAGCGCGGCCCTCCCCCGTGACCGCGATCGCGCGGATGGACGGGTCCGCGTTCGCATCGTCAACGGCGGATTTGAAGGCATCCAGATCCGGAAGAGTTAATGCGTTGAGCTTCTCGGGCCGGGAGAGCGTGAGCCAGCGTACGCGGTCGGTGTCCTTCACTTTTAGGGCGGAGTAGGACCGGGTCTGGAGTAGACGTCGAGGGAGCGAGGGAGGGAGGCGGGGTCGAACCATTGCGACGACGGAGTGAAGGAAGTCCAGAGTCGATGGGAGTGTGATGTCAACTTCGGGAGTAAGTCGTGGTCCATGGTCGGTCTAGAGGAAGTTCGTGGACCAAGGTCGACGTTGACGGCAGTGTGGAGACCCGTCGGCGCTCGCCGACAACCGACAACCGCGCCCTGTAGATTGCCGACCTCCGAACCCCGTGCCCACTTCTCCACACTTCCAATCCATGCATCGCGACCAGCTACATGCATCACTTCTGTCCCTTGTGGCTCTGCTCATTTCCCTTCCTCCACTCGACGCCGTCGATGAGGAGCTTGACCTGCTCGTTCCAGAATGCGACTCGGCCCTTGATAGCGTCCACAGCGGGTAGGGGGTCGGCGTACTCCCACGCGATCGGTTTCGCGAGTTCATCGTCCTTCGCAGCCCAGTACAGGTCACAAGTGCCCTTGTACGGACACTTGGTGACTGTGTCGGTCTTCTCAAGCTGGTCCCACTTCACATCATCGCGAGGCAGGTAGTATCGTGTTGGGCAGCGGAATTCGTCCAGCTCCACCGGTGAAGAGGAGTCGGCGAGCAGAGCGCCGCGCTGGGAGTACACTTGCACGTGCACCTTGGAGGGGCGGATGTCGATGTCGCCGGGTTTGTTCAGCATTGTGTTTCGATGTGGTAGGTTAGGAGCGAAGGGGCCAGATGTTGCGGCTTCGGAAGAAGAAGTGTTAGTCGAGAGACGAAGGTGAGGCCCTGTCGGCACGGTGTTGAGCGTGACCACGGCTTGGTCAGCTGCTCGTCAGGCCAGATCGGCAATCTATAAGGCTGACGTTCCCACTTATCTGGGCCACCGCCACCTCATGCACCTCCGTTGCGCGTTCCGGAGTAATGCCCACCTTAGCATTTGCATCAGGGCAGGTGGATCTTTCCAATCGGCAGATCAAGGCGTGCTGGACGGCTCCGCTCCACTGGCCAAGTTGCTGGTCGCAATCAAGCGTGCTTGGGGACAGCCCAAGTGGTTGTAAGGTGGTGATGTCATCATTGCTTGTCGATCTGAGTTCCACGAGCGGATCAACCGATATCTGCTGCGACGCCAAGACTGGGCTGCAGGCAGCTGACCAACACGAGCTCGCTGACGACAGCGTGCTACGCTGAGGTAGCACTTTCATAGATCTTGCATCCCGCCTACTCTAGAGCTTGTCAAATACTTCTGATCACATGGGAACACCACCTTATGTCCCCTATCATCTCATCTCCATCGTCTACTCCCCGTGACCCGTAATCTTCCCTCCCTCCTCCACCTTATCGTCGCTCATAAAGTCAAGACTCCCCTGGCGGAGGAGGAACATGACCTGCGCTCCCTCCTTCGATCCGGACCGGTGCTCCGTATTCTTCGGCACGACGAAGATATCGCCCTTCGTCAACTGGATCGTGCGATCCGCGTCGTCCTCGGCACGCTCCGGCTCGCCCTCTTGACGAACCGGTCGCATTTGCAGGGTGAGGTCGCCATCCATGACGTAGAACATCTCGTCGCTGGACGCATGCACGTGCCAGTAGTACTGTCCTTTGACAGTCATGATCGTGAGGTCCTGGTCATTCACTTGCAGGGCGGGCTCGTTGTTGAGCAGTGCGGAGGAAGTAGGTGGCGGAACGTGGAAAACCGAGTTCGTGTTCATCGAGAGGGTCGCCATGGCGCTGATTATGGGCAGGTAAGAGGGAGATGGCGGAACTGTTGATGATGAGGAGATGAAAGACTCGACGCGGTGATATAGGCGCAGTACCAGTGGTCAGATGACCACCGCTCGGCAAACTTCGGCATCCACGCACCTCCAAACTACCTGCGATCACTTCGGCGACGCCGAAGTTCCTCGAGGCGTGACACGGTTTCACAACGTGCAGGTGGGCATGAGACCGACATGATGGCTCCGACACCCTGCTCAACACAACCCTCGCGTGCTTTCTCACAAACCAGAACCCTGTTAATATCACTTTCATCCTGAGCCTCGGCCACCCTTGGTGACCTCCGACGACGCTGCCACCCAGACGACCTCCGGTGGCAGTTGTTGCTCAGCGCAGTCATTAACAAAAGCAGCCACTACCAGTCTCGCCTACACGAGGCAGTGCTCTATACCACCGTGCATTGTTCTTTCGCCCTTGAGAAACCACCGCCTGGTTCAACTCGCACCGTTGCATTGTTCTGCCCCGCTCTTCGGTGGCGCTAATCCGACCGAGAGTCACTTCTTACCGAGCATACCAAGCACTCCTGCTAACAGCAGAGCCTATGGTAGCCACTTTGCGCAGAAGGGCTCAAAGCTCACTTGCCAAGTCACGGCTACATGTCACTGTGCTTAAGTCTCGGCGAATTCTGCGCAGCCCCTGACGTCCTCATGAGCATCGGCAACTTGTGAGCCCAACCTCCCAGCTTCCGATGCGGCGCACAAACGCAATATGCCTGTGGAGGCTGTGCCGAGTAAGACGTCTGTGCTGCTAAGGCAGTGTCAGTGCTCTCAGTCCAGTCTAATTGTTCAAGAGTACAGTGGGGGTTTTTATGGGTTTTCATTTGAATGATCTACAACGTAAAGAGAGATCAATGGACAGAGAAAGAGTCGTTAGGCACCACAAAACAACAGACAGATTGCCATGATTAACCAGCACATATAGAAAATCGTCGCCTACTTCACATTCGCTCCTTCTTCGTTCATGTCCTTTACTATCGTTCCGTGAGTGAGTCGTATGATACAGATCTTGATTTTGAGGGAACTCGCAGCGAGTCGCGCTAACGAGTCTAGGTGGCGAAGGCGGATCACCAGCCGCGGGTGCTCGTCTCCCAGTCACGGTTGTCCTTCGCGGCGGCGGCGACAGCGGCGGCGTAAGCGGCGTAAGCGTCCTCCTCTTCCTCGCGAGGGATGAACTGCTCGCAGTACAGGCACCGGAGTAGCGCGTCCTCTCGGGGACTCCACTTCAGACAGAAATTCCAGCAGTTTTGTCCATCGCTCTTCCTGCCCTCGCAGAAGCGGGGGAAGCCGTGGGTCGGCAGCTGGAAGTCTGCCGGAATGGGTGCCTTGGGAAGCGGGTAGCGGGTGAAGCGCTTCAGGTAAGCACGCGTGTAGACGGGCTTCTCCTTGTCGGGGGCGGGCGCGGTCGTGGACGACCTACGGCGAGGAGCAGAGTAGGCCGAGGGGCGAGACCCGCTGCGGGAGCGGCCGTTAGTTGCCTCGTAAACGTTGTCAAAGCGCGAACCCGGGTTCTTAGACGCTGCCGAAAGAGATGGGCGTCGGGAAGCCGAGGGAGACACGGCCGAGTGGTGCTGGGCGAGCGGAGCGCCAGCAGAGGGGCGACGCGCGGAGTCGGTTCCAACCGAAGGGCGACTGACATCCGAGCCAGACGCCGAAGGACGACGCATAGCGGACGCCGAGGTGCAGGGGTGGCGCGAGGACGTGGTGGTGGCAGAGGGGCGGCGAGAATCAAGCTGAGCGGAATGCGAGTGCGACATGGCCGAATGGCCGGCCGACGGGCGGCGTGAGTCATTCTGAGTCTCCGAGAGGTGACAGGCACAGGAATGGCTTTTCGAGGGAGCGCGAGAGACCTGGCTACCTGCAGAGCTCTGACGAGGAGGCGCGTGGCGGAACGAGGAGAAGCTGGGGTCCGTATAAGGGACCTTAGCAGCTCCCCTGTGTCGATGTCCGCTGGGCTGCCGGACGACAGGTCGGGGCTCCTGATGAGGCTCGATTGGTGTCATCATCAGCCCCGAAGGCAGACCGCGGCGCTTTCCAGCGGGCTTGGGGGCTGGACTGGCATTGTCGAAACCACCAATGATCGTCTGCATCGGCTGACCGTAGGTAGACTGGCTGTGTCCCAGCTCAGGGACATCCTTCTGTCCGCAACCCGACGGGTTGCGGAGAACGGCCGCGCGGATCTGAGTGCTTCCGTTCGCAGAGAGGCTGCCGCAGGATCCATAACTGAAGTAGGAGGCGTATCCTTGTGCGTATCGGGAGCTGCGGGTTGCACTGGACGGTCGAAGATCGCGCTGGTGGTCCGAGTTGCCAGCAGCACGAGAAGAACGACGCGAGCTGCGCCCGAAAGAGGAAGGGAGAGATCGTACGGCGGTCGGATTGGCGGAGTTATGCTCCAGGGGAAGGGCGTACAGGTCGATTGCGCGACTGTTGGACTTCTCCAGATGGATCCAATAGAGCTGGAACGCCGCCGCCGGGGAAAGGGCCACTCTAGTGCTCTTGGTCGGAACCGCATGGTAAACCGACTTCTGCTGGGCGACAGCCGGGTCGAAGGCGTTGGCTGGAGCAACCGCAGGTGCAAGACACTGATGCTGGATGGAAGAATCGCCCGGGGAGACATCGAAACCAGCGCCGAAATGCTTAGAGGAACCGAGGAGGTTCGAAGTGAGGGGGGAGGAGCCGGTGCTCAGTCCGGCGCCGAACGGAGCTGCTCTAATCTTCTGGCAAGCCTGTGAGACCTGTGCGGACAGAAACTGGGCCCCCAAATCATGAGCCCGCCTGATCGTCTCTCCGACGGCTTCAGTGTTACCTCCTCTGCCTGCCCTCAAGATCCCGTTCAAACGACCATCAGGGCCTTCGTTCTCCTTGCCGCTTTCTTTGCCGGGGAGATCATTTGCCGAGGTAGGCGGCGATCCCAAAGAATGACTGGGGTGATCATCCTCTATGCCGGAAAGAGCGGGGGAAGTCGCGCTAGGCTCGGAGGATGGAGTAGGAGGTCCATGTCCAACGAAGCCTTGATGCTGAATCAAGAAATCCGCCAGGCTGTCGCGGCGGGGCTGAGGGGCCAGCAGGGGAGAACTGGTGCTGATCGGTTCACGCCCGTCCCGGCTGCCCATGGGGTCCCTCTGTCCCGGACGGAGCACAGCTTGAACATAGCCAGGAACGCTGTGAGTGGTCAACACTGAGTCTTTGGACGGGGACATTCAGAAAAACACGGGGAGTGATGCCAAACTCGCTTGCACCAGATCACGGATCAAAGGCCAATCCAGTGAGATAATAATCACTCTTGTGAAAAATCGCCGAAGCGAGGTAGGGGGCAAGTTCGATCCTGGCTTCGTCCTTGGACGAAGCCGAGGTTCGAACGCTGGTGGCGTCTATCATGTCACAAGATGCCGACCATTGGATGCCGATGGCAGGCCATTTGGAGCTAGACGCGATCCGTGTCCTGACATGAAACCATGAGGGCTCGAGATAGTGAGGGCGACAGGCAGGGAGTGGGCAAGGAAGGAAGCAGGGGAGATACTTACGCAGGCTGAATGGGACCGACGGGGCGCTCGTCGGCCGGGCGATGAAACACCGCAAGTCTGTCGCTCAACTCTGAGGCCGCACAGACCGGGGGCGCCCCGGCACGACTCGGGTCGCCTGGAGCTGGGCGGTCACTCGTGCTGCTCTGAGTATCCATAACGGGTGGCTGCGAGCTGTCTTCGTGGGATGTCGGGACGGAGCACTGGCCGGAGTGCTGCAGGTCGTGCAGGTCGAAAGGAAAGGGCGTAATAACATCCGCACCCTCGGGAAGTTGGTGCCTCCTGCGATTCTTGACCCGACGGAACATGTCACGGACCACCATGGATGGTGAATCGCGGTTGAACGATTAGGCGACGCCAGTGCTGAAGGTGTAAGGAGTGCAGAAGATAGGACAGGGTGATTGAAAGAGGAGAGGGGGCTAGGAAGTCGGAGTTACGAGTCGCAAGGGGCGTCAGCGTTGCCTGTCATGAGCTTGAGTTGGGGGTTTGATGCTTACCTTGTTTCCGGAACGAAGGACTTGGGACGGCAGTGCAGGCGACCGGACACGGTGACTGGAGAGTGAAGAGCTGTTGTCAGCCTGCGTCAACGTTGTCTAGGCAGCTGATGCTTACCGTAGAGTTCGCAGAGGTGGGGGGTTTAAAGCAAAAGACGAGGAGGTTGCTGAGCGCCTTGCTTTATGGTTGACGATGAGATAGAGAGTGGGCGGGGGCTGTCAAGACATCCCAAGTAGCTCTGTATATACCTTCCACCTCCCGATCTAGACCTGCTGCACTATGGCAGGTGTGTCACTTCTAGAGGCGCACTGTGGGGACAACATGACGACTCCAAGCAGGTGAAGCTGTGCCCGCTGTCGTTGCCAAAGGTGTCGGTTTGGGCGGGGTAGGTGTGTGAGTGAGGGTCGCCTCTCATGTGATTGGGTCTGTAATGGGGACGACGCCTGGAGTCGACATGAAGCAGACGAAGGCAGGCACGTAGCGGACAAAGGATGAGTGCTGCTTCCCACGGCACGCACAGCCCGGACTTGTCTGTCCGAGGTAGCCAGCGGAGAGGGAGCGATGGACAGACGTCTCAGCAGCGCTTGCTCGGGCTCGGACTAACACAACGCAAATAGCCCGTGCACTGTGTACTCACCTGTTGTGCCAGATCGGTTTGCGCGCATGTGTCTTGGCGGGGCTAGAGCCGAGAGCGGCCTGCGGCCCCGGACATCGCGGCCGCTGAGCTGCTTACTCAGAATTCCGCTGTCTATCTCTTCTCCCCATTCCGGCTGATAGACCGGACCGTAGACTTATCGAAGCGCATTCAACCCCACGATCTGAGGATATGCGCCATCTCCCCTCTCAGGGCCCACCGTCGACGACTGATGAACAGCCGGTAACTCATGCCTCAGCTAACCTCAACGGCCTTCATTTGGAGCGTGATCAAATGTCCCAGCAGTCCTTGTACATCAACGATTCATTGCATAGACCGATAGCCCATCGATTATCCTAATTTTTCAGCACCTCAGCTCAGCGGCAGGCTCCCCTGATGGCCGGGTGGACCGGGTTGTGTCTCCATGTGAATAATTCGCATCGATGGTGGAGGCGGTGGAGGTTGCAGCGATGTGGCCGTCTGCGCCCACTGCACGAATGGCCACAACTCGAACCTTGCCTCCACTCGCGCGACTGATCTGTTTTGAGTGCGGTTTCATTCTTGCTTCATGACGTTCTTCTTCACCGCTAACTTGAAGTCTTGAAGACATTGCCTGTGTAGGCACCAGTGATAGAGGATGGTGATGCCTTAAAGCCTAGGCAGGCGGCCTCAGTGGGCGTGTAAGGTCCTACACAGGTTGCAATGTGAATCATATGGGGATCGCTAAGCTGATCATCTGCTTGGTTTGCCTGGCCTTGGTCGGCCCTCCATTCAGATACGCCACGAACTCACCACTCAGTACATGATTATAGCAGGGCTGCCATACTCTCGGATGGTGAGACATACCCTCCAGATCTACTCCGTTCATTATTGGGTCCCAGGTTCCACCGGATCGTCCGACATGTCCCGTTCAAGCAAAGTGGAGAACAGGACGGTGTGAAGCTCGGAGGCGTAGGTCATCGGTGTGCAATGTTAACTGAGTGGCACCGATCGATGTTCAAGTGAAACAACCGCACCTTGTTCCATCAGCCGCTTCGCGATTGTCCATCGGTCCAAGCGGCATGCCCTGCCACCCCATCTGTGCCACATCGCCGTCTCTCAGTCGCGCATTTCTCTCAGTGCACATCTGATGCAGTGATAATCTACATTTAAGCAATCTACAGAATTCTTTATGAACGGAGCCATGCAACTTGTTGGACCTGGGCCGAGACTTTATATTGATTAGATGTTGTTTTGGTGGTTGTGTTGCGGGGGTGTTCACTTCGTCTCCCTTCCACCTCCCTCTCTTGCGTCTCCTTCACCTCGCCGCTTCACTCTCGCACACTCTCCACATTCCACCGTTTTTGCTCTCTGCGCCTTACGCCTTGCCGAAGCCGCTCGTCTCCGTGATGGCGAACAGGAGACGCTCGCGCAGCTGCTCGTACGACGCGTACTTGGGCAGGAGGAGGAGGTTGAAGCACGTTGACGCCTGCGGCAGGATGCCCTCCTTGCCGTAGAGCTTCTGGATCTGGAACGGTTGCGTGCCGCTCGCGCCCTGCAGCTGCGAGAAGCCGCCGAGGGGCACTCGACTACTGCTAGTGACGAACATGAGGAAGCGCGAGCGCTCCTCCTGTGAGAAGCTGCGGAGTGCGCGCCAGAACCACGAGATCTCGGGGTCCGAGCCCTTCCAGCCCGCCATCTGCGTCGAGTTCTTGAGCTCATCGACATCGATCGTCGTCATGCCCGAGATGAGAAGCTCGAGCTGATCCGGCTCGAAGATCTGGATCAGGCTCTGCGGGATGATGTCGTAGAAGCCAGTCAGGAACGCCTTCATCTGGTCTCGGATCGAGTTCTCCAGGCGGTACGCGCACACCAACCGCACGTACTCGGCCTTGTTTTCCTCCGTGACGGGAATCTTGGCGCCACCCTCCTTGAGCTCGACAATCTTCGTCTCGCCGAACGAGTCGTCCTCAATCGTGAACTCCTGGTCGATGACGTCCGTGATGTCGTTGTCCAGAATCCACTGCAGCGACTTGTGGTACTCAGGGTCAATAGACTCGAGGTCACGCATGTCGACGTCACGGCCAAGGATTTGCTTGTAGAAGGCACGCGAGAAGTAGGCGTCGAGGAGGCGGCCGTCGTAGATGGCCTTACCGATGACACGTCCAACGAACTTGAAGAACGACAAGTGGTCGTCAACAACGCTCGAGTGCTTGTTCGGCTGGTACGTCTGCTTGTCGGCAGCGCACGGCTCGAACAAGGCGAAATTCGGGTCGAAGATCTGCGTAGCGAGGACGTGGAACCACTCGCGAGTGACACCGCCGGCGTCGATTCCGTCTTCGTTGATGAACTTGATGTTGATCTTGCCATACTTGACCTCGTCGCCCGAGCGGTGCAGCAGAGCGGAGTACGAGTCCTGGAAGACATACTGGCGGCGCACATTGAGGTGGAGCGTGCCGTAGTTGAGCGCCTCGCGCTTCCGGCGCAGCTTCTGGAAGAACCAGTTGCGCTTGTTGTCGAACTCGAGAACCTTCGGGTTGGCAATGAGAAGGCTGAAAGAACCGCTCATAAGCGCTGGGTTGTGACGGACGATAGCGTTCAGAACCTTGCGGTGCGTGGTGGTGAACGAGATGAAGAGGTCGGTCGACTGGGTGATGTCGGACGATGGAGACTTGGGGCTTGTCGGCGAGGCGACGGCGTCGGTCTGGGGAGTACGCGTGTACTTGCAGACGACCATGAGGGCCTCGACGAGAGGGAGAAGAACGGCAGCGATCTGGTCGGTGCTCTCGCGCTCCTCGGCGAGGGTGAGACAGTCGCTGAGCTGCTTCCACATCTGAGTGAAGTCGAACGAGTTGTAGATGTCACGAGCGGCCTTCTCGTCCTCCGTCTGCTCCTTCTCCGTCTCCGGCTTGCGACCGTGGGGATGAGAGTGGAGGTAGTCGATGGTCTTGAGCAGACGCAGAAGCTGCGCCTGGCTCGAACCAGCAGGCGAGAACGTGGTGAGCATGTCACCCGATACCTCGTGGTCCTTGTCGGCGAGCATGGTGGCGAGCTCCTTGAGCTCCCCCTTAATGACACCGCCGAGCTGCTGAGAACGAGCGCAGAGCTCCTGGACAAGCACAGGCTTGGCGTCGGGAATGTACGACAGGTTCTGCAGGGCTGAGAGGGTCTCGCGGAAGGTCTTGCTCGAACAGTCACCGATAGTGAGGCAGTTGACGACAAGGCGGAGCACGGGGGCGGGAATGACAGGAGCCTTGAGGATCTGCTTAGTCGAAGGAGCCGGCTTGGAGCTCTCGCCCGCCTTCTCCACAGCAGTGCCAGAGGTGGTGGCGGCACCAGCCCCGGCACCTGCAACGGGCTGTGCGGCGGGAGGGGCAGTGATGGCACCGGCAGTTGGCGCGGCATCCTTCTTCTCGCCCTCCTTGGCAGCCTCCTGAGCCTCCTTCTCCTGCTGGGGCAGCTGGGCGAGAGGCTTGGTGACGGCGGCGAGCAGGCTGGTGAGCGAGTCCATCATGCCGGGCGCCTTGAGCAGGTTGGGGCGGTCGAGCAGGCCGATGAGAATGACGATCGGGAACTTGGTCTGGGGCAGGTACTTCTCCTTGCCCTTGCCCTTCTTCGACGCCGGCTTCTTCAGGCCAACAGGCTGCTCATGCTCCGTGAGGAAGTACATGACGGCCTGCTGGTTGGCATTGACGATGTAGGAGAGCGCCTCGAAGCAGCGCTGCGCGATGAAGGTCGGGATGTGGTCCGACTGCAGGTGAGCGAAGAGACCGCTAGTGATCTGCGACGCGGGCGTCTCCATGACCTTGCCCTTCGGCGTGGCCTTGTTCTGAGGTGTGGCGAGACCCTTGAGCGACATCTGCTGGAAGCTCTTGTCGACGGCGGGCAGATCACCGGTGCCGTCCTGGACAATAGACAGCAAGACGTTGAGCAAGTCGGTGCGGGTCTTTGAGTTCTCGCAGAGGTGAACAAGCGTCTTAATAAGGTATCCCTTTCTGATCGCCTCGGGGACGAAGAGCAAACGAACAAGCGAGGCAATGCCAGCCTTGTCGAGAAGCTGAATGGCGTCGCGCTTCGGCTTCGGCTCGTGGCCCATCTTGAGCGGGAAGATCTTGAGACCAGGCGGGCCGCCGAGCTCACGGTTTCGGGGAACGCCGTCCGGGCCGAAGAACAGGGCATCCGTAGTGCCGGCGAGCAGCTCACGAAGAGCAGCTTCTCCTCGCTGGAGGGGCGGTTCAATGACAGGCGCAGCAGGCTCGGGCTCGGGCTGGGTAGTGCGGCGGGCGCGCTCCTGCTCCATAGCCTCCTGCATGACGACCTCAGCACGGATCTCGGGCGGCAGAGCGTTGAGGAATTCGGGGTTGATCTGCGACGAGCCGGCGGGAACGTCAGACGCGGGCGGGCGCATCAGGCGGTTCTGCTCGCGCAGATGCTGCTCGACGACATCGGCACGCATGTCCTCGGGCAGAGCCTCCAGGAACTCAAGATCGATACCAGTATCGGTGATGTCGACTTCCTCACCGTGGATGTTGATAGTCACTCGCTCGCGACCATCATCCTCGATGTCTTCGTCTTCATCCTCCTCCTCATCACCAGACTCATCGTCATGAGACATCATGTCGACGTCCTCCTCGGCAGCGGCGTCGCTGAGGGCGGTCTCGGGCCTGGACTCGGGGCGCGATTCGGGAAGCGCAATAGCGGCGGCGTGAGCGGCCTCCTCCTCGCGCTTCTTGGCGGCGGCCTCTTCAGCCTCCTGCTCCGCCTTCTCCTTGCGCTCCTCCTCCTCGGCCGCAGCCCGAAGGGCGGCAGGCATGAGACGGTTGACGATGTGGGTGAAAATGCGCTCCTGGAGCTCGGGGGTGTCGTGCGGGAAGACACCGAGCTCGTCCATCCAACGAGGGAGGGTGGGAGCGGGGCGGTACTCGCGCTGCACCTCTTCGGGCGTAGACGGAAGAGTACGCGACGGCGGGGCCACGCTGATAGAGCGACCACCGATGGACAGACCAAAGCCGCCGTCGCTGCGGTGAGCGAGGTCGACGCGGATGGTGTCAGCACCAGAGTGTCGGCTCTGGTGTACAACGCTCTCCAGGAACTGGACAGCCTGAGGGCCACCGAGACCCTCGATGCTGCTGATGAGGTCGCTGAGGCTGGACAGAGCACCGAAGGGGTTGGCGTTGCTGCGGACCGGATCGCCCATAGTACGGGACGAGTTGGTGTAGAGCAGCGGGTGGCGGTTGACGTTAACGGGCTCGCGGCGGGAGAAGCCGAAGAGGGACGTCGGCGCGCGGTCCATGTCCATGACGCCCCTGCGAGCGCCGGGACGAGCAGCAGGGTCCTGCCATCCCCAGGCGCCGGAGGGCTCACCAAGATCCATGTGCGAGGGGCCGATGCCGTCCATCGCGTCGAGGGCATCATATCCGTCCTCGTCGAATCCGGCGAGCTCTTCGTCCTCCTCGTCCATATCGAACTCCATGCCGATATCTGCGGTCAGCTAGTGCTTCGAATCGCAATAAGCTTACCGTTCTCATCGAACTGATCTTCATCCTCGGAGTCATACTCCTCGACGTCCTCCTCCTCGCCCATGTCATCCTCCTGTGACTGTCAGTCCACATCTCAAATCCGAATGACTCACCTCCCATGGGATTTCAGTCTCAACCATATCATCGAGTTCGGCACCGACCTCGATGCCCTGGTCCTCCTCGCCGTCCTCCTCATCCTCTTCGGTAGCCTGAACGTCAGCTGCAAAAGAACTTCAGTAAACTCACCCATTCTCCCTCCATATCCTCATCCTCCTCCACGTCGTCTTCGGAGTCGTCCGAAGGCTCGGTGCCCTCATCATCGTCCATGTCGTGCTCCATCTCATCGAACGCCTCCATCTGTTGTTAGCTCAGAATTCGCGTACAAAAGCTTACCAGGTCGTCCTCGTCCTCGTCATCAGTTCCGTCCATGTCGTCGTCCTCGTCGTCGACGTCGATGTCACCGCCGATGATGCCAAGAGCGGAATTGCGGTAGAGGTCAGGGGTGCCCTCGTCCTCGTCACTCATGTCCATCTCCGAGTCGTCGCTGGTAGACTCGGAGTCCTCTTCGCTCTCCTCGGGGTGTTCCGACTCGCCGCCCTTGTTGTTGTCGCTCTTGCCCCACTTGTTCGAGATCTTGGTGAGGTACTCAAGCGCCTTGAGCAGGGACAGCAGCACGTTGCGAACGTCAGGATAGTTGAGGTCTACCTCCGAGACGGCCGAGGTCATCGTGCTAACAAAGTTCTTCTCGAGCATCGTTTTGGCGAGGTGCAGGCCCGAGTCGTCCGCGGGTTGGCCCATCTTAGGGACGATAGTCGGACGGGCAGTGAGCAGACGGTAGATCAGCTCGCCAAGAGCCCAGAGACGGCCGTAGCGAGAGCCAAGGTCGAGCGAGGGCGAGGCACAGTCCTTGAGCGCCTTGGAGATGCCGTCGAGGACCGCCTTGCGGACGGTGACGAGGTCCTCGGGGATCTCCTTGATGTCCGGGGTGATGCCGAGGTTGGAGCAGAGGGCGACAATGAGCGAGATAGCCCAGCTCGACATGGTCAAGCGGCGCTGCGAGGCGGGATTGGCGGCACCAGCTGCCTTGTTGTGCACGTCGGACAGCGAGACGCACGAAACAACGTCGGTGAGGATGGCTCCAAGGCCAGACTTGCCTTTGCCGACGCCGTAGAGCATGTGCTTGCGTACAGCGGCCATGAACGCCTTCTTGGCTGAGATGTACGAGCCGACCAGCTCGGTCATAACCGACATGAGCAGCAGAGCGTATGAGTACAGCTCGGCGCAGGCGGGGGTGTAGTCGGTACCGTTGCGCTTGTTCGCCTCCTCCTGCTGGATGGAACGCAGCGTAGTGCCAAGCTCCGAGACGAGCATGTCCATGATGGGCTGGTTCTCAAACGAGTCAAAGTTCGTCTTGGTGAAGGGGTCGGTCTGGCCCTGGGCCTGGGTCTGGCCCTGGTTTTGCTCAGCAGACTCCTTCTCGTCCTTCTTCTCGTCCGCAGGCTTCTCCTTGCGCATGATACGGAAGGAGACCTTCGAGTTGATGTCCAGTCCGCGACGGTGCGGCTTGGTGTTAACAAGATTGAACTGCTCTTGAACTGCGTCAACGAACAGCGTGGGGTCACGGTACGCGACCTGACGCAGCTGGCGGATCATGAAGTCAAGCTCAGTTCCGTTGCGCTGGTTGCCCGGCCCGAAGGGTGCTATCCAGAAGGAGCCGACCTCGCGGTCGATCGTCTCCTTGAGTGCGTCCTTCTCAAAGGAGTGACGGGCGACGATGGCGAGGAGCGCGAATGAGCCGACGGCGTGGGAAGTCGACGTCTTGAAGGCGCCGAGGATGGTCTTCATGACGTCGGGGGTACAGATGGACGGTGTGCGACGAGTGAGAATGACGAGCATGCGCATGGCGGACATCATGTCGGGACGCGAAATGTCCTCAGCCTTGAGCATGTCCAGGGAGAGCTTTTGGAGCTTCTGGTAAGCATCTCCAAAGTCAACCTCAGTGACGACGTTCGAGACGGCATCGTCGCCGATAGAGGTAGGCGTGATGGTCCAGCCCATCTGGAAGACAGCCTCCACGGCGAGAAGGTACTCCGAAAGCCAGGTAGGACGCTTCTCCATGTCAATCGGGATCGAGGTGAGGATCTGCATAGCGGACTTGGCCTGCTCCTCGGTGAGCTCGATCTGCGTGCCGCCGCTAGCGGTGGTCTGGCTGTCGATGAAGACAGCGAGGAGGCGGAGACGAGCCGAGAGGATCTTGTCGTCGATCGGCTGCTGTGTCGCAGCCTCCTGAATGCGCTTCAGGATGTACTCGGCTCCCTCGGGCGTGAAGTCGAAGGCACCAAGGAGGTCGGGAATGGCGCTCTGCGTCTGGTCGATGATCTCGATTGCGCGCTCGGGCATGCCAGGTTTGTACTTCTCACGGAGCTCGAACAGCTGCTCTCGCGCCTGCTCGAAGACAGTTTCAGGACTGGGTAGATCAGGCTTGTCGACCTCCATGCTCTCTTCCTTGTCGTCCTTCTTGTCGTCCTTGCTGTTCTTATCGTCCTTCTTGTCTTCAGGCTTCTGCTCCTCGGAGGAAGGACCGGCCTCAGCGGGAGTCTCGGTAGCAGTCGAAGTACTACCCTCAGCCGTGGTGCTTTGAGCACCGTCGGCGGTGGCACCTCCCTCGGTAGCAGCACCCTCGGTGGCAGCAGGAGTCGCCTGGGCGTTCTCAGCTGGGGCGGGGGTGTCATCGGTTCCCGGGTCGTCGTTGGGGAACAGATGCGGCATGCTGAGGAGCAGGTCGGCGGCAGCTCCAACATTGTTACGGGTGCGGACGAGCGCGCGCTGCGCTGCGCCACGGCCAAAGCCCATCTCGGTCAGCTGGGTAACGCGAGCGGGGTCGGCAGTGACCTGCGGGCGCAGGGGCTGGGGTACAGGCGGCTCCTCGTCGTCACTAGAGGAAAGAGCCGGTTCCATAAGATCGGGGGGCTTCTCGATACGGTTGTTCATCATGCCGACAACCATGCAATTGGCGACGCTGATGATGTCCTGGTCCATGTGCGGGAGCCAGTTTGAGTTCCAGAGCTTGAATGCGGTGGGCAGCACGGCGCACTCGATACGGAGGTGGGTGGCGTGCGGCTGGAAGCGCTTCTCTGGGGGCAGGACCGCCTCACGCTCCTGAATGACGGTCGTCTGCGCGGCGTTGACAAGCGCACGATACGAGCTGAGAGCCTCGAGGATGGAGGTCGCGATACGCGCACCAGCGACGTTGGTCTTCCACTCCTCGGCCTGCTCCTTCGTGCGGTCGGCCTGGGGAATGATTGTGATCTTGTCAAGGTGGTAGAGAATTCGGCCGACGGTGTCAAGGATGACGTTGACGCCACCCTGCTTCTCGAACGGGATGAAGAGGGTAGTCTGCATCGAGCCCTCGACGCCACGCTCGTCGAAGAGAAGGATCGCGGCGAGGCCAAGGGCAACAGTGTCGATCGCAAAAGCCTTACTGGGCACCTGCGCCGAGGACTGCAGGTGGCCGATGATGATCGACGCGATGCACTCTCCGAGAGCGTCAGCCTCAGGCTTGTGCGAGGCGTCGGGAATACGCTTGTTGAAGATCAGACGGATCGACGCCTTGAAGAACTTGGTCAGAATGGCGTGCATGCGCGTAGCGATCGTCTTGACGGTCTGGGCGCGCGTCGGCGGCTTGTTCGAGAGGTCGGAAACGTCGCGGCCGATCTCGATGACCTGGCTCTCGCTCCTGTCCCCGGTGGTCGTGACGGTAGTCTCGCCAGAGGTGGTGGCCTCGCCCTCTCCGGCAGCTGCAGCTGCTGAACCCTCGGCGCTCTGAGCGGGAGCGTCGGTAGTGGCGGGCGTGGTAGGCTCCGACGGTGGGTTCTGCGCCGCAACAACGTCCTTCAGGATGACGTGCTCCTGGAACGCAATGCGGTGAAGCTGGCCGAGGTTGTTCATAAGCGGTGAGCCGGAGGTGACGCCGAGGAGCTTGATGAGGTCGGTAGCCTCGCGCTTGGAGCCGAAGTTCATGCTGAGATACTCAGACAGGAACGAGAGGCGCATAGCGAGGCCGGCCGCACGGCGGAGCAGCAGATGGTCTTCGGGCGTGCCATCCTCCTTGGTAAGCGCGGCCCAGTTGGAATGGGCGTCGCTGTCCTTCCAAAGCTGAGGAAGCGCCTCGAGCTCGTCCTTGACGGCGTTCGTCATGCGCTCGGTCAGCTTGACAGGGTTGTGATCGCCAATCACGCGTAAGACGCCGGGGATTGCGACAGCCGCCTCGGTCAGCGAGAAGCGGACGGGAATGCACGGTAGGCTGGCGAGGTTCAGAATCATGTCGAGACCGTTCTCCTCGTTCACGAACGCGCGGCACATCGCGGCATTGCGGAGCAGGCCGGTCAGCAGCTTAAGAATGTTGGTGAGCTTTGACAGCGGCGGGTTCGAGATGACTTTGTCCTTGGAAGCCTCGGTCTTGTCGGCCTTCTCCGACTTGGGGCTCTCGACCTCCATCGCGGTCTCCTCGGAGGCAGGCGCCGGCTCGGCTGTGTACTCGTTGACTTCGGCGAGGGGCGGCTTGAACTGCTCGGCGTCGGCGATGGCGTCCTTGAAGACGGACACAACCGTCTCGAGGACCTTGGGGCGAAGGCCGGGGTGGTGGCGGACGAGCTCATCGAGCGAGGCACCGATCGAGGCAACCTGGTCGCGCTCGCCAGCGTCGCTGTCGACGGTCCAGCCAATGGCAACCTTGATCATGTTGGACACGACCGAGAAGTGGTCAAGGGTCGACTGCAGACCGGATGCGTTCAGACAGATGGCGCCAATCGCGTTCGGAAGTGTGTAAACGACCTCGAAGGTGTCGGGCATCTGCTTCTCGAGAACGTCGAAAAGCGTCTGCGGAAGCTGCATCTCCTGAAGGATCGCGAGCGACGTAGGCTCGTTGTGCACAATAGTCGACATGATGTTGATCGCAAGGCTAAAGTTGCGCATACCGAACTTGTCAGCGTTCGTGAAGATGAGCTTGAGCGACTTGGGCAGGTCGGTATCGACCACGTTGCGGAAGCCTTCGGATCCGCCAGTGCTTTGGAGCAAGCGGTAGATTGAGCGGAGGAGCGCCTTCAACGGGTTCGTGTCCCAGGCGATCTCCGAGTCGCGACTGAACATTTGGGTACCCTGTCCGGCGGGATGCTCGAGGACGTTCTGGACCTCGGCCTTGATACGTCCGACGATAACATTGACGCCGTCGGCGGAGGTGAGCGCCTGCAGTGCCTGCTGGTGCGAGAAGACTGCCGAGTCGATGAGACCCGCCGTACGGGGAATGATTTGATTTCTCCGCGGGCCCTTCGTGTCGAGCATCTGCAGGAGAATGGGGAGCAGACCAGCGCCAACGAGGAGGTTGCCGTACTGGGGCTGCGAGTTGATGAACGACAGGAACGCAAGGACGGCGTCGACAACATCGTAGCTGATCTCCGCGTCCGTCGTGAGCTTCTGCGAAATCGAACGCAGGACTCCCATCAGCACACCGTGGCTGACGTGCGCATTGATGGACGTCAGCACCTCCGTGCGGTGGTGCGCCGCGGCCTCGAGGGCGAGCACAGCAGAAGCCACGACCGACTCCCCGACATCGCGCCCAGGCACGAGAAGCTCAGCCATGTGATTCACGAGCTCGGGCTCGAACAGCCAGATCGTGGACTGCACGACATCTTCGGACGAGAACATGACTGGTTGTTAGCAATGCAGGTTGCACTAACTCACTGTAACACGCCAGAGCGAGGAGCCTGCTCGAGAGGAGCTTGCGGCGCGAGTCGCGGTCGCCGGAGAAGAGAATGACGCGGATCTTGTTCAAGGCATTCAGCTGCTCGTTCACGTCCATCTTGTAGTCGGTCGGAAGCTTGGCGACCTGCTGAAGGTAAGTGTCCGGCGACATCGTGGTGAGAATGTTGCCGAGATCGACGGTGACCATGCCGTTATCGGGGGTCGTGGCGTTCTTGGCGGCGGCGTTCAGGTGCGGGGTGACAGCCATCGACGGCGGAGGCCTGTTAGACGGCCGCGTCGGGGTGTCCTGCGCCGTAGAAGCGAGACCAGTCGTAGCCTTGGCGGGGCTCGCGACGGCGCCGGCAACGCCGGCGGGCGGGTAGAACTGGAGCTTGAGCTGCGCGACATCGTCTGGGATCTCGAGCTTGCCAGTCTCGGACGCGAGCTTCTCGAGGTCGAGGTCGGCGAGCGAGAAGCGGTCCCAGCCCTTGCTGAGAGCGAGAAGGCGGGCGCGAATGCTCTGCGCGAGCTCTGGGGTGACAGGGAGCTGGGTGCCGTATTGTTGCAGCGAGCGCTGAAGAACAAAGAGCGCCGCCTGAAGCACGTCCGGGTCGTTCGTCAACAATAAGTCGTTCACAAACTGCAAGTCAGCTAACTTTGGCAACCGTTGAGCTCACCTCGTAGCCATCAAACTGCTTGCGGTTCGTGCTGTTCTCCATGAGGAGACGGAAGAAGCGGAGGATCTCGAGCACGAGCGTGCGGTCCTCGGCGGAGAAGGACTCGATTTGGAGCTTGCAGTCGCCCGTCGCGGCGGCGCCAAAGCCATACTTTTCGCGCACATTGGCGAGGATCTGTCCAAACTTCTTGGTCACGGGCAGGAACGAGTTCATGTCGGCGCGCGGGTAGCGCCAGATTTGGAGCTGTTTCAGGACGGCAACAACATCGGGCTCGGAGGCGTCTGTGAGACGCTTAATGAGCGCGTCGACGTCGGGTGGCTGTAGTCATGATTCCAGTATGTTGGGCGCATCGATACGTGAGCAGGAGGGTGAGCAGAGAGGTGCAGCAACGGTTATCAGGAGGGAAGTATATGAGGAAGCGGCGGCGGCGGCATGGACATGACGGAACGGCGTCAGCAAATGCTCTCTCGTCGTTCAAGCTCAAACTCACCGGTGGGACCACCCTGCGCGTCGACTTGCGCGGCCTCATGTTGATACTTCAGTCGTAGTTGGTCCCCTAAGATCGAAGTCGTAGGGGGGTGGTTGATACAGAGCAGCAGGTGCGCTTGGTCTGTTCAGTGTCTGTCGTCACTCAGCCTTTGCCGCAAAGCAACACGCCTCCACCGTGGGAAGCTTAATCACGCGACACGGAGATTGACTCACACTCCGCACTCCGTGCGTCATTGCCACCACCCACACTGTGCGAGATGCTAGAACATGCGCGCCGCAGCTGGGTCGGTATACAACTCAAAAGTTATAACATCTCTGTTTGTGTCTGTGATTCCTGTCAGCACACACGACAGCGAAACAGCAAACATGACCAACTCCGAACCCGAGATGGAGCTGAGCTCCGCCCAGCCGCACCCTTTCAACGGACAGGTCGAGGAGCTACAGCGCCTCATCCTGGCAAGTGGACCAGAGCAGGGCGACTACGACAATGTATGCCAACGGGCAGCCGGCGAGCTCGACAAGATTGCCTCAAAACTGAGAGATTGTAAGCTAGCTTCTTATCTGCCTCAGCTGACCCCAGCGTCTCAGCGCACACCGTTCGCGCAGACGGACCTGCCCATGATTCTGTGCAAGATTGTGGAGGCGAAGCCGGTGGGAACGGCGCAGCAGCAGAAGCTGTGGCAGCAGGCAGGGCGAGTCGCGGCCAACCTGAGCGCGGACTGTGACCTCGCCCGTGAACGGTTGTCAAAGTACGGCTACGCGCCAGCCGTGCTGAAACTACTATCGACGGACCTGCCGCACGACGTCTCCGTGCCGCTGACAGCGTCGCTGCTGAACCTGACAAACGACAAGCTCCGTAAGCTTTCTCTGCCGCCTTTTCAGCTGACATACAGCGGCGGCAACGGAGCCATTGAACAACCACGCCAGCCTCACAGGCCTGCTGAAGCTGACGGAGGGCGTGCCGGACGCCGAGTGGCTGTGGGCGATCGCGGACAATGTCGTTCTGCAGAAACCCACCTTCTCTCTGACCGCGAGCGACTTTACGCCCTTCGTGCCAACATTCACGCTCGACATGGACCCGGACGAGTTCCCGACCTCGCTTAACATCGTGAAGCACTCGACCGGTGTGCTGGAGCGTTTCGCGGCGGCGGACATGCTCGCCCCGCAGCTGCTGAAGGACAAGCCGTCTGTCGAGCCCATGCTCGACTTTATCGAGCATGCGGAGCTGCCGTCACAGGTCGAGAACAGGGAAGAGACGGACAAGGAGCTCGGCAAGGCCAAGGCTGCGGCGGCACGCACGCTCGTCTTCCTCATGAGCGAGACGGAAGTGCCGACGTGGCTCTGGGAGAGGGTTGAGCGGTGGTTCGACCAGGACGCGCAGAAGCGGCCCGACCTCGTCAGCTGTGCGCTTCTAGCGTATGGAAACAGGGCACGAAGTGGTGAGTCATAAGTTGCGAGCGAAGCGAGCAACAGTAGAAGTGGCGCGAGCAAGAGTCGAAGCTGTGCAAGCATTCCCAAGCTGACATGCAGACGCGGCCTCAATCGCAACCCTCAAGTCCCCCTCCCTCCTCCCCCGCCTCGTGCACCTGCTCAACCCCAAATCCCCGCTAATCGTGCAACACGCGCTCCTCGGCCTGCTGCGCAACCTGTCCATCCCCGAAGCGAACCGGAAACCCCTCGGCGACGCGGGCGTAGTCGAGGGCGTCGTGGGCTTGGAGCCGTGGACGGAACAGCGCGACGTGGTGGGCGCAGTACAGGGCGCAGCGATTGGCGTCGTCAAGGCCCTCGTTCGGGATCGTAAGTACTGTCACAGCTGGCATAGGAGGGGGGAGGGAATGTAGCTGACCTCACAGCGGCCAATGCGATCCGCTTCGCGAACACTTCAGGCCCACAGGACCTCCTCAGTCTGATCGACCGGACCTCCGACCCCGCTTTGAGTCTGGAGGCCACGCGCGTGTTCGTGAACGCGATCCGGTCTCTCTCCCAGGGCCCCATTGCCTCTTCCCCAGAGGCGAAGGAAGCCCTGGAGGCGTACACGTCGGCAGACGCTCTGGACGCGGTCGCGGGACTGCTTGCGGCGCCCTACCCCGTGCTCATGAACGAGGGCCTCGTCGCTCTCTCGCTTGCCTCGCTCTCGCAAAAGTCCGCAGTCGAGGGCGCCCTCATGCGGCCGTCACGCGTGCAGACTGCCCCCGCTCCCAATGCCTCCTCAACACAAGCCGATGACGGCAAGGGCGCCAAGCGTGTCGACCTCGAGCAAACGGCCAAGCTCCGCCCTGTTGATAAACTCGTCAAGATCCTCGACCCGAGTCCGGCTAGCGACAATGTGGGGCCTGAAATCAAGGCTAACGCCGGCACGCTTGTCAAGTCTGTCGGCGGTAAGGTTGCCGATACGATCAAGGGCGGGTTGAAGAATGAGGCAGAGATTATTGCTATGGACAAGTAGTTGTGTTGACCGTCGATTAGTAGTGGCTCGTTATAGATTTCCCGGTTAATGCGATGACTAATGACCCCAACTACCCTTCCCTACTCTCTGCACCCTTCCGAATCTCGCTCACCAGGTTATTGAGGCCGTTAGTCAGCTCACTCGCACTCGCTCCGCTCGTGTTTGGAGTCCACTCCGCTCGCTTCGCTCGCTCCGTGACCGTAACGGTTACAGCAGTCCATCGATGTACAACGGGAAGTGAAAAGTCTATGGATTCAGAAGTCATGTTGTTGTTGTGTGATTAAAACCATGTGAGATTGTTCGCGCGTGTGGGTCCTGCGCTAGAGTATGGTAACGTTTTTAGACGTGATGTGGTCGTTTCGGTTAGGTAGGCAGACATACAGATTGGCCAGTGCCATAAAGTGCCTCGCTGCTTCACAGTTTGCGAGAACACCTGCTCCCGTGCGGCGCTCACACACTCGCTGCGCTCGTGCATGAGCTGGAGCTGGAAACTGGCTCGCTTCGCTCACCTCGCCCGGTCTCATTCAAGCCCCTAGCTCTCAAAGTCCTCCGAGTAGAACACGACGTGCCCGCGCCTGTCGCCCTGGCGGATACGGCCAGGCTTGATCGCGCGCGAGACGAGGTTGCTGACGACCGTGTTGAGCTTGCTAGGCCCGCACGTCGTCACGACCATGGCGCCCTGGGCCTTGTCGAGCTCCTCCTCGAGCAGGGTCGCGAGCTTGGGACGGCCGCCGCGCGCGCTCTCGGACAGAATCGAGGTCGCCGCGTAGTCGGCCTCATCGATCCAGAGCGAGCCGCCCGCGGACGAAAACTCGGGACCAGTGTCCTCGAGCAGCACCATGGACTGCGTGCGCGACATGCTCGCCACAGTAAAGCGCTGCGTGTCGCCATCGTCCATGATGAAGGAGGGCGCGGGGGAGGGTCCGCGGCCCAGGCCAGAGGGAATGTAGGGGTCGCCGTAGAACGAGGACGTGCCCGACATGACAGTCTGGCGGTTGTCGCCGAGAAGTCCCGCGTCCTCGCTGTGCAGAGTGGGGGCGTAGGGCGCAGTGTCGGTCGTCATGATCGAGGCACCGGTGGACATGCCGCGCTGGTGGCGCCAGCTGGGCTGCCAGCCGTCGTCGGGGCGAGGAGAAGCCGAAGGAGAGCCAGTACGGGCTGTTGGCGCGGATCGGGCTCGCAAGCGGCTGGGGAGGGTACAGGCCGAGGTCGTCATCACCGCCAGCGCCACCGGGGGGCGCCGCGCGCATCTGAGACATGTCGTAGCCCTGGTCGTAACCAGCGTGCTCGCCATGGTGCACCGCAAAGCCGTTGTAGCCGCTGCCGATCGACTCGCGAGCCTTCATGGCACGGCGGGTCTTGGCACGACGCAGCTTGCCCTCTTTCTGGATGTGGCGCGAGAAGTCGTTCTGCGCATGGTCGTGCACATCATCCTCCGAGTCGAACTGGGTCAGGTCACGGATGTTGGCATCGGTCGCCTCCATCTCCGCGTCAATGTGGTCAAACTCGGAGCGCGGGTCCGTACTCAGCTGCGAGGCGAGCGACTCGGACGAGGCGTTGCGCTGCAATCCGGCAAACGGCGCCTTGGGCACCTGCAGGCTCTCAGGTCCGAGGAGACGACGGGCACGGCAGAGCGCAGAGGCAGCCCACGCAAGCTCGGCGTACTCGCGCGCAACCCAGACGAAGCGAACGCGGCGGGTCTCGTGGTCCTGCTCAAAGTTGGCCATGCTGCGCGCAATATGGTCGACAATGCTCAATCCGTAGCTGACGCCCGAGCCACCACAGATGATCAGGACCGTCGAGAACTCGCCCCAGCGCACGCGACCGGAAGAGCCGTGCGGGCCCTCGAGCTTGGTGCGAATGTAGACCGGGTTCGCCTTGGGCACAATCGACTGGCGCTTGTCGGCCGAGCGCAGGCTCGACTCGCTGCGGTCCTTGACGAGGTTGTACAGGCGGCGGGTGATACCGCGGCGCGCCTTGATCAGGAGCACGATCTCGTTCGGGTCATTGTTGGCAATCGTGAACGGGTGCGACTGGATACCAGAGAGCTCGGGCAGCGTCAGGAACACGTACTGGCCCGGCGACCAGCGAATCTTGTGCGGGGGGCGGATCGTGAGGCGGACGGTGCGCGACGGCAGGAGCTGCGCCTGAGCGAAACCGGGCTCAATCGGGGGCGACTCGGGCGTGATGTCGGAAACGCGGTTCTGGTGGTAAGAGGTGAGGGTCTGCTCGTCGCTGTCCTTGGGTGGGACACGGGGCGACGACACCGAGCGGGGCGAGTCGTAGGGGTTCGAGAGCTGGTCATACGAAGGCGAGCCGGGCGGGGGCGTAGCATCGTGGTAGCGGGACTCGTACGCACCGACGGGGCGAATCTCGGGCTGAGCAGAGTGGTCGTAATTGGTCTCGAAGGGGTCCTTGACCATCTTGTCGTGGAACTCCTCGAGGGCAATGTTGTCGGTCGCGACACCCTGGTAAGCCTGACCGCCGCGAGGATCAGCCTTGGACGAGGCACCGCTGTTGATGCGCAGGTAGCGGATCCAACGGGTGATCCTATCGCCGGCCCAGAGCCCGAGCGCAATGGCGCACCACCACCAGATGACCGTGTGGTGCAGAATAGACGTGATGAGGAGCGCGACGCCGAGGAGCGTGTGGGACGCGTAAAACACCTGCGCACGGGCGTCAGTCACTGTTAACCCCTCGCTAAACAATTGACCTCCTGTGGTCGGAGCTTTCCGGAGCGGAAAGCGAGTCACCCGGCAACTCACCTCAAACTTGGTCTTGCGCACTGGCCGGACGCTCATCACGACCATGGCGGTCATGAGGGCGTAAGCGACGACGCCGAAAATAAAGTGGTAGTTGGTCCAAGCGGCGACCCAGACGGGCTGACCCTTGTAGCTGTCCTGGAAGAGCTGGACCGTCCAGAGCACGACGTGCACCGTCGTAATGAGCCAGACAAAGTAGCCAGCCATGCGGTGGAACGGCATCAGCTTGTCGGCGTGGAGGTGCGTGAACGGGCGGATCGAGAAAATGGCGAACGGCGCCGACTTGAGCGCGAGCAGCACGACGAGCGGGAACAGCGCAAACGCCATGTAGCCGAAGCGGCTGCCGCTCGTCCAGAACGACTTTGCAATGTTGCCGATCGGGGCGCCGGGGATAATGTCGCGCTTCGAGGAGCGGAAGTCCCACACAGCCGAGAGGGGCGTGATGTAGTCGTTACCAGCGATGCAGAGGACGATCGCAGACGCCGCAACAATGAAGGCGACGAGCATCGTGCTGTTGCTCGGGAGCGTCGACTGGCGGAACATGGTGTGACGGCGCATACCCCACTTGTTGTACGCTGCGCCGAGCGAGCCGCCAGACAGGCGCAGGTGGTGCGACACGGCGTAGAGGATCGCAATCAAGCCGATAATGCACCACAGCAGGTATGCATAGCGGTAAGAGGCAAAGCTGCCGTCAGTTATGGCATGACACAGTCAACTCACCTCATGCGGTGTGCGTCGAGGTAGGGCTGGACATAGTCGCCAGCGGCCGTGCCGGTCGGAGTAACGGTCGGAGTGGGCTGCAATTAGCAATGTAAACAACGGATCTACCAACATTGGCAGTCTGCGTCGCTGTGTGTGTTAGCTATGCTCTCGCTTCCGCTACCCAGCTTACTCACGAGCAGCAGTGGGGGAGCCGTAGATGCTGGGGGTGGCATAGGGGGTGAAGACGGCCTGGTAAGGGGGGGTGTAGGCCGCAGCGGCCTGCTGCGCGGTGACGGGAGCGTCGACGCGGGGCATGGTGTCTCCGGTGGCGAGCTAGCGACGGTCGGCGAGCGGTGTCGCGTTGTCGAGCGTGTGTCGGCGGCGTTGAGAGCCGTGTGCCGAGAGATCGAAGGTGTCGGCGCAGTAGGTGGGGTGCGAAGGTGAGGTAGAGTGCAACGTTGAGAAGACGAGTGAGGGGAGGAAGCGAGGAAGGATGGTGGTTGCGCTCGGACAGGGAGGAGGAAGCCTGGTCCAGGAATTTGTTGTTAGTCTTTTGAGATCGAGCAGGGATGGCTAAAGGGACGCGCAGGGCCAGGGAGCATCAGCCATGCCAAAGCCTTTTTCAGGGCGCCACCGCTCAACAGTCACAAATCTATTTTCGCCCCTGAACTGGCACTGCCCAGCGTACTCTATACTCTGGCGTCCTGTCTCATGCATGCCTTTGCTGGAACCGGGCGTCGTCTGATCTGCATGACGACCATGCATGCTGTCCTCTCCCAGATTGAGTCGTATGCTTGTACCGCAAACAGCAGAGGTCACGAGCGCAACGAAGAGTCGGTACTCTCCAAGTGCCCCGTTGGTGTTGTGTGATGTTGGTTGCGTGCGGGCGGGAGGAGTGTGTGCAGTGCCGACGCCTCTCTCTGCCAGCTGGCGCCTGCGCACAGGCTCCCGTCACCCCTCACCCAAGTCTCGAGGCTGTGCAAGCAATCTGGATCCACCGCTCCGTCTGCATCTGGCAACGCACAACGCACAACATGCACCGTGCATCGACGCCGCCAAACAGCTGGCCATACGTGGCCCAGATGCGATGCACGTACAAAAGAAATGCCCATCCCAGACCTCCCACGCCCGGCGTCGCCTCCTCGCCATTCCAAACCATGGCGAGGCTCAGTGCTGTGCAACACCACAAAGGCAGCCGAACAAGGACCGTGCTTATGCCGTTGCGCCGCGGATCTCCAACTTGCTTCGGGTGTTCCTCACCCGTGTAAGTTCCAGGCACTTTGCACTGCGTACATCTGCGAGCCGTTCCGAGTCCAACGGTTATGCGACAAGCAAAGTGCCAGGCGCAGTGTGCACTGCAGCCGGAGGTCGGAGAGCTGGAGAGTACGCGGTACACGCGACGAGCACACTTTGAATTGACCAAATTCCGGGGTCGATCTCGCGCTGTGCCTGGCTTGTAGAGCGCGTCTGTGGGCCGTGAAGCTTTCACTTTGGTGGCCCAGAAACCCAAAGTGTGTGCTCGCTGCGAAGCATGTTACGTTACGGTTTCTCATCTGCGTGCGCGGGCGCGGGCGCGCAGCTCTCGTCTATCTTTGGACATGCTGTGCTCAGCATTGCTCGTGCAACCGCCTTGGCAGAGACGGACGAAGCGAGTGCTGCCGGAGTATGCTTGCTCCGCTGCGAACCATTTACTGAATCATCTGGCGCATGTTCCGAATTCCGCGTTCATACCAATTGCGACGCGTAAGTCGGTGAATCCCGATGTGTTTCCTCCTAGCGCGCCCGTAGACCTGTCCGCTTGTGATCACCTCTCGTCACTCGTGCATTCTAGCGTTCAAGCGTCTGGCAATGTCCGCACTGTCCGAGAGAAGAACGAGGGTGAGAGGACCGGGTACGCCGGACCTTTCCCCGGTGACAGAGTGACCCATAGTGACAAGCCATCTCACGCCCCTCACCGCCGCCGCTCCTGCCCCTTCTCGCCATACTCGCGGTCTCCACACCTTCCTTACAGCTCACCGCGTGATCGACCCCTGCGTTGCCCGACGCGCCCTGCGGCAGGCGCCGCCCTGACTGCGCCGAGATCTGCTCCCCCTTCCACGCCGCCGGCTGCAGGTTGGGAATTTGATTCCGTCGTAAGCTGTACTTTGCTCCCGTTCATTCCTGCAACGGTCGAGCGGCAGCAAAGTGCATGAAACGGAATCAAAGTGCAGGAAACGGAAGCAAAGTGCAGGAATCGTTGGAGGAGGCCACACCCAATTTCGATGTTTCCCACGGTGCGACATCCAGATTGCAGATTTCCCACGGGTGTCCACGATGACAGTTTTGAAACATATCGCGAGGTTGGAGGACACCCCTCGCAGATCCGCACTTTCCCACGGCCACCACCCAATGTGGAGGCGGGTGGAGGTCGGAACCAAACGCTTGAGTCAGTGACGTCCTGGCCCCGGCCTGAGCCCCGCTTCACGGACCGGAGTGCGCAGAAGTCTGAATCCACAGCATGCTCCGGCCAGCGCTGACTTCGGCGCGCACACTGTCCCCCACACTCCGAACAGCGGCCAGATTATCGCTCAGGACGAAAAGCACGATGGACCACTCGCTCGCCTACACCCCTGAGCGCGGGGAGGAGCTCAAGAGCAACCTCGACGAGGTGCTGAAGGAGATTGACGAGGCGAAGCCCTCTGGCTCGAACGTGAGTTGCATACGCTCCCAGCTGAGTCGACCCCGAGAATTAGCTGACAGTCAGCCCCGCCTCGTTGCTATCAGCAAGATCAAGCCTCCCTCAGACATTCAGGCGCTGTACGACGCGGGCCACCGCCACTTCGGGGAGAATTACATCCAAGAGCTGGCCGAGAAGGCGCCCCTGCTGCCCAAGGACATTTGCTGGCACTTTGTCGGTTCCTTGCAGTCGAACAAGTCCAAGATGCTCGCGGCCATTCCGAACCTGTTCGTGCTCGAGACTCTGAGCTCCGAGAAGCTCGCAGGTACGCTGCAGAAGGCCCTCCACGCCCTGCCGGAGGAGAGGACGATGCGGGTGTACCTCCAGGTCAACACGAGTGGGGAGGACAACAAGTCGGGTCTCCCGCCGCTGAAGGGGACGGACCAGGGGCAGGAACTCGCCAAGCTCGCCCTGCACGTTGTCAATGACTGTGATCGCCTCGAGCTCGCTGGCGTCATGACTATTGGCAGCTTTGAGCACTCGCATGCCGCGGGCGAGAACCCCGACTTCCTCACGCTCAAGGAGACGAAGAAGTATCTCGAGGAGATTCTGAAGGAGGCCGGAAAGGAACGAGACCTCGAGATCTCAATGGGCATGAGCGCCGACTTTGTCGAGGCGGTCAAGGAGGGCAGCAGCAGTGTACGTGTTGGAACGAGGATCTTTGGCGCTCGCCCGAAGAAGAAGTAGGCAGGCGAGGCAGACGCTCAGGGCAGGCAGGGCTAGAGGCTTATATGCATAGAACCAATACAACTTTGTCCACTTTACAGCTACGTGTATCACAGTACTTCCATGGCAGACTTTCTCGTTCTTCGACACGATCCTCGCCTTTTTTAGTCGGAATGGGAATCCTCCTTGCGCCTCTGTCGGCCCGACCTTCATCCAGAAGTCAGCCAGATCAAGTGCCTCGACGGGATGCTGCTCCTGCGCACAGCTTCCTCCAAACTTGAACCAGTCATCCAACGTCGCAAACCCCAGATTGTTCTGAATATCCCTGGCTGCATCGGCAGCTGCAGCCTCGCCCGCCGGCGGGAAGTACTCCCCTCCGTCGCCCCAAGGAGCCTGGTTCGAGTCCTCGGCTGAGGGGAAGGTTGACGGTCCAGCGGGCTGTCCGGGCGGTCCTCCGCTGGGACTGTTCGCTGCTGTTGCCATACCTGCCAGAATGTTGCAGAGGCCCTGCAGCTGCCTGCCGTATCGGACTGCGGGGTGGTCGTCGTCCGGCGAAGCGTCCTCGAAGGCAGTTATTAGGCGCTCGATGAGCCGGTGCGCTCCGGGATGGTCGGCACGGAGCATTGCGCCGCTGTACATTGCCTTGAGGAGCAAAATTGCGGCGTACGTGAACCACAGCAAGAAGCGGTTGGGCAAATATGGCAGCGCGCCACCTGGAGCAAGGCTATCGACACAGATATGCAGGAGCTGGCGCGCGGCGTCGATCGACTGGAAGATGTAGCGCGCATCTGGGGAAGCGGCGGCACCACGCGGAAACAGGCTGAGGTGCGGACGCACATCGGAGGGGTTCTTCCGCGCCTCCTCCTCAGCACGCATGGCGGCGCGCTCGACGTGCGCGTGCTGGTGTTAGTTCAAGCCCCTGAGGCGATCAACTCACGAAGCTGAAAGAGCAGATGTACAGCTGCGTGTAGTAAAACATGGCCCACACGGCGTCGGTCAATGGGAACAGCTTCCACTTCTTGTCACGCCACAGGATCCTAAATCCGTCCAGGCTGCGCACGAGTTCGTCAATGTACTTGAAGTACTCGGCGTGCAGGATCAGCGACCGTGTGCGTCCCGCGTTAGGATACAAAACGTCGTGCGCGTTGCTCATCAGCTGCGTCAACTCGAGATACGTCTGTACCAGCGATGCCAGGTCGTCCTGCACAAGGTCGCCGCGTTCTGGCGCAATTTCGCGAAGGAAAGGGAAGTTGCCTGGAGCAGCGGTCGGACCCGTCTGCGCCGACGCTGAGAAGCCCTGGAAGCACACGTTCGGGCCGCGCGACCAGAATGCCTTGCCCAGACGCAAGGAGACGCTGCTGTCAGCTAACACGAGCGTGGCACAGCTGCCACTCACTGCCGGTCAAATAGGTAGCAGTATGTCCACACCAGTCTCGCCCGCTCGACCTCGTACGTCCGCTCTTCCTCGGGCAGGATCTTCGTGGCGAGCTTGTCCAGACCGAGAGAGTATGCACTGCGAATCGCCATGCCGATCATCATCCACGCTTGACGGTTCTCAGCGCCGTGCACCTCCTCGCCGAATCCCTGGGCGTGTACTGGGTCAGGGACATCAGCCGGTGGCGGATCGCGAGGGAGGTTCTCGGCTAGCAACAGCAGCGCCTCGACGAGACCAACAGTTGGCGGCGCACCGAAACAGATGACCTCGCTGATCCATCCCCGCATCGTGCTCCACGCGCGGTCGTGGATGTGCCGCATGCCCGGCCCGCTGTCGTGCCTCGACGCAATGATCACCATGGCGCTGGTGAGGTACCGCTCGTTGCAGGCAAACTGAGCCAGCTGCTCTCGCGACTGGGGAATCCTCTCTGCGGAAACCATGGGCTGGGCGTCAGTTCAGCCAAAGTACAGGAACTTACGAAGAGGTGATGATAGTAGCGGAAGAAGGCGTTGACGAGTTTCCACACCTGCTCACCGTCGACGATGCCGAGCTTGACGAGTGCGAAATCTTCGATGCGCGCCGGCTGCTCACGGTTTCTCGCGGGAGTCACCGTGCCGCTGGAAAAGGTGGGCCGGCGCCTGCGGTCATCTGTGGCCGGGCGTCCGGCCGCGATGGCGAGGATATGAAGTGCGTCCGCCTCGTTCTGCATGCCAGCCTGCAGAATACTATTCGCGTCAGGCCGGTGCAGTTTCCTACGCTTGTCTAGCGAGGAGGAAGGGGACGCGGCTTCGTGCGACTTGCTCGAGCTGATCGAGGTTGCAGACGGCACGTCGTACCCGTAACTTGGTTGCCGGGGGTAGAACGACGACGGACCCGGGCTGGGTAGCCGAGCGGTGGTGGGCGAGGGGTCGGTGGAGGGAGCCCGGTTGTCGTACCACGGCGCAGAGGGGAGCTTGGGTGCGCCGTTCGTGTCTGGTTGAGAGCTGGATGACTCTTGCTCGTCTCGCCTGCGCTTGGCGTTGTTGCCCCCACGGCGTGACGGGGCAAACACACACTCACGCGACTCGCGGCGGCATCGCGCGCATGGCGGCGAGGAAGGCGCCGAGATGTCACCCTGTGCATGTCAGCTACAGCCATGGCTACCCCAGCTTACCAGATTACACCTTGCCTTTCTTGCGCGGCAATGGAGGCTGTTGGAGTCAGCGATCGGTGAAGATGGACGACGGGGGTGGGGGAAGGCGGCAGTAGCCGGTGGCCAGCGGCTCTGGACGGCGACTCACCATGCGCGATAACCGCGCCTTGCCTTCTCCTTGTCCTTCTTTGCGTCGTCGTCGCGGGGAGGTGACCCCGAGGAAGGCTTCACGTCCATGGCGAGAGTACCGCTGGAGCGGAGAGCAGGAGTGAACCTTGTCCGTGGATGAAGAGGATCAAGAAAGTGGATGGTGAGAGATCGGAACTGCCCCGCCCAGCCGCCCATGTGCCCCGGCTGAGGCAACTGCCCCGGCTCGGTGCACCATACCCACCATACGGGTTGCGGTCCCTCGGTCCGGTCGAACCGGCCCGGCCCAAAGGTGGCATCCCACCCAGGAATACAACCACGGTCCAACGGTAAGCGTGCCCATCCACAGTCCACAGCGCCCAGCGCCGCCCTTTGTTTGCCGGTGTCCCTGCATATACCACACCAAGAGTAGCCGAAGCCACAGATTTCTGTCCATCCATGCCGGGAACACCAGCGCCGATTCACTCGTCCCCGTGAAATGGTCATTATGCATAGCTCGTACCGTATCCCCCAGATCGTGGCTACTGGCTACATGACAACGCAATCCTCCCGAACCGACAGGGCATACATCGCCTGCGTGTTAGCTTGGATCAAGAATACAATGACAGCTGCTTACCTTGTCGACCGTCTTCTCGATCTTCTTCCAATCGGCTCGTCGCTGGATGAACTCATAGATGCTGATCGTCAGCTATAGAGCAGAACGAAATAGCTTCTTTACTCACTCTTCCGGTCTGAACTCGCCTCCGTAGCGCGTCACATCGCGCACAATCTGCGCCAGGTCCTTTGCATCAGACACGATGAACACGTGTCCCAGCATCTTGAGGTTGGCAAAGTCCTCAGTGATGCGCTGCTGCTTCAGGCTAGCGACAAATGCGTGGTACGCATTCAGGTCCGCGATGATCTGGAAGCCACCTTCGAGCGAGATGATCTGACGCTTCAGGTGGCGCTGCAGAATTGCCTGCAGACGGATACCGACTTCCTGGTAGAACACCTCGAGAACCTCCTTCGATGTGCTGCCCTTCAGGAGGTTGCAGTGCATCTCCAAGCACGCGATCGCCTCCCGGCACCCTAGCGTCGGCCCAAGCTCTAGGGGCACACCCGGCTCCGGGTAGTACTCCCGAGGGCCGGTTTTGGTCATGACAATGTGCTCGACCTGTCCTGTCAGCTAGAGTCGAAACCTTCTAGCTCACCTGATTCATGAGAACCTCAATGCCCGCATTCAGGCCTGCAGCAACGGCGTCATCCAGAACTCCTTCAAAGCGCTTCTTCTCACGCATCACGGGGTTCAGGAAGTCGGTCTTGTCAACGTACTGCGCGATCTCCTTGTCAAAGTACACCTGGACCATGCTCTGGATCGTGTCTCCGACGTGCACCAGCTCAAAGAATTGCAGCAACGGGGCAACGCTCGCAGTCTCGTCATGCTCGGCCGGCTTGTAGGTGAGCATCTGCTTGGTGGCGATGCGGAAACCTGGTGCGATGTGCCGATCACCGATAGCCTTAAGCAGCAGAATGAACAGCTCCTCGACCGTCTCGACAACCTTGGTGCCGCACTTGCCAGGATACTTGGCAAACGTCTCCGTTCGCTTCAGACTTTCACGATCACCGTGGATCAGCTCGAGCGCCGTGTCGAGCGAGACGAGCAGCTGCAGCCTCTCAAAGTCGGTGTTGCTCGCGTTGTTAGCGCTTGCAGTCGAACCGGGAGTCGTGGCTCCAGAGGCAGCCGCAGCAGGGGTGGGGACGGTGAGATTGTCGACCTCGTCTTCCTCGTCAGCGCCCTTTTCGTTGCCGTTGAGTTCGAGGTCATCAACCTTCTCCGTAACTATGTCGATCTTGTCCTTGTCGTCCTCCCAGTCAGGCCGGTCGACGCCTGTCGTGTCGAAGACGACCTCTCCGTTGACCATCTTCCCAGTCGTACCCTTAGTCTGACTGGTACTGGAGGTACTGGCTGTCCACTTTTGTGGATTCAGCATGGAGAGACCCGCGACGGCATGTGATCCACCTGCTACGATGGCGTTGACTCCGAAAGAGACGGTGCGCGGAACGATCGTAACGGGGAGCAGGAGCGCATCCTTGAAGCCGGCGAGCACGTTGCGCTTGACTTGGTCCGGGTTCTGGGACGTCAAGAACTGCGGTTGTCCTGATGTGGCGGCAGCGAACCGTGACTCGGCCGACCCGGAGATCGCTCCAGTCTTGGTACCCAGCTGCGCGTCCCAGGCGTTGCAGATGCCGTTGAGCGCGTTCTGCGTCCACTCGGTCTCGTCCTCAAGGTACTCGTCCATGTGCGGCTCAAACATGTCATATACCGACTTCTCGATCGCTGTCCGCTCTGCGTCCGACTTCTTGTCGCCGAGAAGTTCGAGGGTGGTATCAACGAGCTTCCACGACTGGATGAAGGAGGCGGCAGTCGCCTGCAGACTGAGTTCCTGCGACATGACACGAGTTTGGCTGAGCAGCGTTTGCACGTATTCTCCGATGACATCGGCAGCGACGCGGTCGCAGAGAGTGAGCACGACGCCCGCTGTCGGCGGAAACACCTTGATCGCCAACTCGCAGTCGAGCTTGAAGCTCTCTAGAACATGGGCCATGAACGCGTCCATTGGCGTGAAGTCGAGTTGTCGCACGAGCGCTGTTCCTGTCGGATCAGGCACCTTGCTGGAACGAGTTAGCGATACTGGCCGTTTGGACACTCACATGATGTTCTCGGCAGCGTCCCACTTCCCGGTCTCGTAGAAGACGTTGCGCTTCTCAATCCAGACCCGTCCACACTCCCACTCCTCTCTCCGTCCGCCGCCACTTTGCCAGACCTTCCAGCTCGCGTCCGCGGCGGCCTGCATCCCCTCTATGTCCTTCTTGCTGTCCGCCATCTCGAACGCGACGAGACATGTTGAGTCGAACCTGTCGGCCGCGGCTAACAGCGATTGCCTCAGGAAACCCCAGTCGTTAACTGGCTGGATCTCGGGCGAGAGGAACCTCAACAGTGCCAGCAGGAGATCCCCTTGTTCTGACAAGCTCGGGACCAGTGCTGTTTTCGGGTCAGGGGCGAACAGCAGCGACAGCGCTGTGGACGGCGAGGGCGAATTTCGAAGGTGCAGGCATTGCGGGAGCAGTCGAACGTGCCTCCGCTTGTACGTCTCGTACCACTCTCCTGGCTTCGTTCTTGGTCCGGGCGGCGGCGCTGATACCGCAAAGAACCCGTGGGTGCGTGTCCCAGCAGTTGGTCGTGACGGTAGCGGAACGGCGTCAAAGTCCATGAGGTTCTGCTCCTTTGATACTGCCGGCTTGGAGGGCGTCGCAAAATCCCCGAAGTCGACTTCCTCGAAGGCATCGTTGGCTTCGCCAAAATCACCGAAGTCGCCGAAGTCGTCGTCGTCTTGCGCCTGATTAAGCTTGCCGTTGATGCTCGCCATCTTCGAGGACTGCGGGCTCGGCGTCACCTGCTTTTTCGGACTCGGCACTCCTTCCGGAGGCTCTTTGCCTGGTCTAGTCAGTTGGCTCGGTACGTCGCAACTCACCTGTGTCGACCTCGGTGATTCCGAGCACTCGGCATCGGTGCTCCCATGTACTTTCCGTTCGTGCGATGCGCGCCAGTGCCCTGTTCGCACGGGCAAAGTTCGGAATGTCATGCACTGGCAGGTATCCGACGATCTTGACTAAGACGTCTTCCGGCCATCGTCCTACTCGCGGTCCACTTCGAGCCCGGGCGGCGGCATTGGTCGCAGCTCCGGCTTTGTTTGGTTTCAGGACGCCGAAGCTGAACATGCCTCCGGCGGAGCTGGGCCCGCCAGGCTTTGTAGGAGCCATGGGCGCCCACTTGTCCATGGTGGCGGGGTCGGAGGCGAGAGGTGGGGGCAAGAAACTGAAAGGGTAATGTTATTGACGGAACGAGATTATCAGATCAATGAACCTTGGTTCAGCGTCCAGCCGAGGCGCGTGGTGGCCCCAGATACGTGGATCCGAAACGCAACGCAATCACTTAAACTATCCTCCCGGTTAATCCTGAGATCTGTGCTGATGAGAGCAAGCGCCTCCCACCTTTGTCTGATGCAGGCCATCGGTGTGCAAGTGAGCAAGGCCAACAGGATCATCCTGCCAGGATAGATGTTGTGTTCAGACACATCACAGAGTGCAGTGGTGCGAGAGAAGATCTCTTTGCTAGGACCTGTACCTCATCTATGGAATCACCAGCAGCTCTACCATGGTGGTCGAGCGCGGAAGCAAATCTCTGACGAAGCTAAGGTCTCACTCATCTGCGCGTCCTCCTAAACAGCAGCTAAGTCTGGCAGCGGCTGCCGGTTTAGAAAACCAGCGTGAGCAACCAGATACTGCAGAGACGCGTAGAACACCGATGCATGAGTCTTGGTGTACATAGACCGAAATCGCGGTCGAGCAAGAATTTGCACCCGTACCTGCGTGACCGCCGCTGGCTAATCAGACCAAATCTAATGCACCCATTATGAATCGATCGATCCGCACTTGATCCGAGAACGATTTGATTTCATAGTGACTGGCCCTTCCCTCCATAGGTCCGGGGCCTCCACCCCATCACTTACATCTTCCTCATCATCTCAACCCCTCAATTCATCATCTTCCATCCACCATGAACGGGGGTGGAGGCGCCTCTGCCGGTCCCTCCGCGCATCCCGCGTCACCAAATGGCACCCCGCACCCCCAGCTCAACCCATTCCTCACCACATCAGCTCCGGCGTCCTTTCCACAAAAGTCCACTTCACCATCCACTCATCATGTCTCACCACCCAAGGCGACCACAGCCAGCAAGACCTATTCAGCCGAAGAGGTTTGGCTAATCGGTCGCGAGCGCCTGCGTCCGATCGCGAGATTGTGCGGAGTACGCGTCGGCGACGACACCTGCGACGCAGAATTAATAACCGATCACTTGCACTCCAAGGTGAGTTGAGCGCCTATCGCGAAAGCTCACAACCAGCACCTTCAAAAACACCTCGATAAGATCGAAGCTATGGTCGTGAGTGCTTCCCTGCAATATCTTCCTCTACTAACATGGCAGACCGAAAACCCTCACGCACCACTACCGCATGTTTGGCTTAGCGGCATTCGCGTACGTTGGGACAACTTTCAGGAGCTGCGGGACGCGTTCGACAACCATGCATATCGGAACTGTCTGTGCGCAGTTGAAAGTGAGTATCGCCCAGGTGGATGGAGTTCCGTCAGCTGACGACAGACTGCATACATCCGAACCTGATTCGGCCAGAAGCGCACTACAAGAACAACCACTCGCCTACTGAGTTCCGCGAGGACCAGCTCCGTCCACGCCTGGAGCTCACACCAGGCGTGCCGCCGCCGCTTCCGCCTCTCCCCGAGTACCTTCCCTCTTACGAGGTCACGACGCATGAAATACGTCCATTTTGCGACCGCCCGCTGCCGGCGATCCCAACACCCGGGCCACGGCTGCGCGAGCTGCGCGAGGACATCGTCGAGGTGCGCGACGTGGACGACGTTCCTTCGATGCATCCTGCAGCATTATGGGACAGCTCGGACTTCGTATCAATGGAGCTGGAAGACGACGACGAAGGCACCGTGATCGGGCAAGTCGACGGTGCGCCCGTGATCCGACTGTCCGCGCCCCCTCCGACACCTTTACAAGGCGGGCGCATGCGGAAGCGCGGCGAGCGCGCGGACTCGACATTCTCCGACGCGAGCTGGGCGCCGAGCGTTGCGCCATCTTCTCCGATTTCGGCGCGGACGGCACCTCCGCGTGCGAGTGCCAGTTCCTCCCAGCCAGTGATCAAGGAGGAAACCCCTTTCAACGTGAGAGGTGGGACGCCGACACCCTCGACGCCGTCAAAACGCTCTCTCCGCCAGACACCCAGTCTCGAGCAACCGATCCTCATTCCGCCCGCGCCGCGGAAACGAGCCAAGCCGATCTTCGCCAAGAACCAGATCCTTCTCACCACCGTTCCGCTCCCCGACGGCCCGCTGCCCATACCTAGCGCCAGCGCGCAGGGAGCGCAGCCCATGCGCCTCGTCAAAAAGAGCGGCCGGCCGAGGGAGATCCCGCAGCCGCTCGACTACATCCTCGCCCGCGCCGAGGCGGCGCACAAGGCGAAGGCGGCTACTGTTGCGGACGCCGCGGCCGTTGTCGACTACATCAAGCAGGAGATCTCGGCCCCAAGCACACCGGCGGCCCCCTCCTTACCGCCCTCTTCCCAGCTCACGGCGACCCAGACTTCATCGCAGGTCTCGCTTCCTGGTCCCTCCCAATCGTCGCAGGCGTCGCAAATGTTACCGCCGCCCACACTCCCGACGAACCCACGCCGCATGCCCGCGCGAGGGAAGAGGAAGGAGCCTTCGCGGGACGACGCAGAGGTCGTCAGCCGTGCGGCGGAAGAATGGGCCTACGCCAAAACCGGACGGTACTACGGCATCTCGTTCTGGGAGCACAAGATGGCGTTCGAGAAGGCTGCCGAAGAGCGGCGACTCGCAGCACTCGGCGGGGGACTCTTCGGACCCCCTCTTGCGACAGTGGCCCCTGCTTCTCAGCAACCAACCACCCAGTATCCGCCTCCTCCATATCCACCTCCTCAATACCCAGCCGCCAGTTCGCAATACCCAGTCATCACGCCCCGGCCACCCCTGTAATATATCTTTTGGCCATCATTTACACATCTGTATCAGCAAGCACATCATAGCCTTTAGGCTCCGAAGGCGAACGCACATCCACCAACATTGTAGTACATTTCATCAGCATCATCATGCACATTTTACCATTGCAGCCCTAGTGTACCTCAACGCGTTTCGTGGCGTTCGGAACTCGGCCACTGATATAAGCTCGAGACATGTGAGACAGCGGCGCAGCGGCGTGTGTGGCACACCGTGCTTGCTCGCCGGCGCGTGCTGCGCAACGACTACCAGGGATGCGGCGAGAAGTTCATAGTACACGGGGTGAGACACAGACATGCTGATGGTACAACGGCAGTATTACACAAGTTACACAAGGACGTAGACGCGGAAGCTTCCAGCGTTCAGCAAGCTACAGGCCTCGCAGTGATCGGGGTGGGCGGTGTGGGTGGTTTAGCCTGCCGCCCAACGTCCTGGGACCAGAGCACGATGCGGAGGACCTTGGGCGAGACGTCGCGCAGTCTGAGGCGCAGGGCCGTGTCTGTCATCAGCGCTGCTCTCCGGCCCTCTCCAATACCGCTGTGCCGGGCGCAGCGTCTTCTCCGAACAACCCTGCCTACATCCCTGCAAAACTTCTCAGGCAGGTCTTGGGCTGGTGAAAGATGGGATACTCACTGTGCTCTGCATGAACACCCTTCAGCCAGGCCCAGAGCGCCTCATCGCCGCTCCATGCGTATAGGTCGGACTCGAGTTGCGTCAGCTCGTCGAGTAACGCCGGACGAAGCGGGTAGGTCAGGGCTACGCGCTGCTCAAAGTGGAGCCGGAGCGTGGGATACTCGGAGGAGGTGAGGAGATGCCCCAGAGCTGGTGGGATGAGGTGCGGCTCCGAGGGGATCAGGAGGCGGATGTGGTGTTGTGGGAAGGGAGGGAGTGATGGCGGCAAAGCGTAGGGTGGTGGGCAGAGCGAGGCCATGGTGCGATGGGCTTTCTAGAGTTATGAAGTTTAGTTTCGAAGGTGCAACGAAGATGACAAGAAATGAGAAGGGAGACTGATGAGGAGCACAAGATGCAGCAGTGTATGACTTATAGCAGCCGGTCGCCGCCGCTGATGGGGAAGAGAGGGCACAATAACGTCGACTCACCCGGCCCCGCTGACCGGTTCCGGGTATCGAAGCATCGTTCGAGGCGATGGGAATTCGCCGAGCCGATTGCATTCCTGACACCGTGGTTTCACTCTGCGACAGGCGACGACAGGCGAAGCAATAGCTGGAACATGCATACAACATCTGCAGGCTGGACCCAACGGGCCCAGGTTTGTGGGCGTGAAGCTTCCTCGCGCATGGTTCCTTCATGGTCTCATCTGCGATGACGGAGCCTGGCTGGGCCAAGATAACACGAGGCACGACCGTCACGCCACCCCACAGTCTTGCACCTACGCCGTTGGACGAGGAACTCCCCACGGCGCCGCGACGCCACCACTCGCTCCAGCCCTCAACCTTATTCCCACCCTCGAGTCCTCATGTTCGCGTCCTCGTGTTCGGGCCTGGTTCACAATCGCGCACCTCCAGTTCCGTGACGCGCCGCAGCGGCAGCCGTTACTTCACTGCCCCACGTCCTTTGAGTGAATTGGTGGATAGCACGATGCAAGCGTACAAACTACGTGCCCCTGTTCATGATGTGATTTCGGAGTATTGAAGCATCAAACGATTGATTGTTTCGTTGCGGCTTAGAGGCCTCGCGGCCTTGTCTCTAACCCCTTACTCGGAGATCTTTTGTCGACATTGGCACCCCTGTTCGCATTTGAGACGGAGCCAGGGGTCCAACAGATCTGGAGTGAAAGCTCAAAGAAAGGCCGAGATATGCATGCGACGATTGTTCTGATTGTTTCGAGTGGTCATTCCTTGGTTGAAGGATATCGAAACGCGTTACTCCTTGCAGTGATTGGATCAGTCTGTAGATGAACGTGACACTCATGCACTGCTTGCGGTTGAGTGTGTGCGATGACCCATGCTCTTATCTAATTCGCCGATGAGTAACCGGAATTCGCCGAGGATGCGGGGAAGACACCACGCGATTAGAACCCAGCTCGTCGCTTTGCCGACGCATGTGTATCGCGGCTGGCATGCACACCGGAGAGCAGCTGTAGCTTTCTGTATTTCTGCCTACGACTGAAGCGCTGAGGCATGAGGTCGTGTGCGGATTGGGGCGTCGTGACTTCGGGTGACGCGTGCTGCGCCCCCGATGCGGGAGTAAATCTGGTCTGGCGATACTGGTTGACACGAAGGGAAGGGGTAGTTTTGTCTTCCCTCTGACTCTCCAAACCCCCATGTCTGTCTACTTCTGCTCGCCTGACAATTCAACACCTGTACTTCCTACAACATCCCACCTCCAACGGCCAAGATGACCACCGCGGAGAGCGTCGCCAGCGTCTCAACGGCCCGCACCGAGTTTTCAAGCCTCGTCACTGTCGAACTGAACGGCGATGAAGACACCCAGCTCACCCTTAAGGTTAGATCATCGACCACCATGAACGGCCTCCTCAAGGTGTAGAGTGCCTACGTTGAGAGCCAGAGCAGCAGTGTCGCTGTCAACCCCGCCAGGCTGAGGTAAGCTATGACAAGCTTTTTACCAGCTGATGGACAGGCTCGCCGGCGCTTGCGGTCCGATACCTGGTTCAGACACCGTGTCCCAGCTCCTGTTCGTGCCGTCCGACACAGCCGACGTCGTGCTCAAGGTGCAGCGCAAATCCTCGGACTCCAATGTCCCCAAAGGTTAGCTTCCTTATGCAGCTCTTGTTAGCTAACGGCAGACCTTGCACGTATCGCCATTCTCGATGAGGACAACAAGCGTACCCTGCTTCGCGCCCTCCCCAAAGCTGAAATCGTCGACGTGCGCACTTTCTGGGGCGAGCGGAGGGGACGCAACCCCAAACGCTGGAACATCCTGTACGACGAGCGCATCGTGCCCGACAACTTCCAGGTCGGTCAGATCCTCCCGCCGGGCAAGCACGAGGTCGTGCTCTTGATGCAAAGGAAGAAGCGCAAGTAGTTGAGAGCCCAGCTGGATGCATCCAAACTTGTCCCCCCGGAATCAGTAATCTAACCGTCCAAATCTACTTGCAGGACACCGATTAAGTCCACTTGCGTCTTTAAGCGCCTCTGGTCCTCTACTGTGTACCTAAGGGCAGTGCTCCTCAGGCTCAAGTTACATCCTTTTCGCTCATTTGAACTGTGACCTGTGGCGGCTGTGTGGTTTCTGTCCTCGCGGAGTCAGTTGAATGACAGACGTCTTACTCGTGTGTGATCGGCGCCGGCGATCAACAGCCTCATGTGACTCCGTACGCCGTCAGACTTTTGCCGCCCTACTCGCCTCCTCATTACTCTTCTCATCTTCCACAACCGCAAGCACACCATGTCCTCGCCCTCGCGTCCTCGACGGCCGCAAGCTTCCCAGCCCTCCCCTGCGTCGGACATGGACCTTACCTCCGACGACTCCACTCTGGTCGGCGACGAGTACCTTTACTCCCATGCGGAACTCGGTCGTACGCTTCGCACTGCGAGCTGGAGCTGATCCCAGTGCTTCGAGTTGAGCTGTGTGGTCCCGACTCCAGTGTTATCGTCGAAGCTACACCGTCGATGACTATCATGGAGCTTGGTGCGACATGGCAGCACCTGAACAAGGCCGAGTATGACCTGCGGTGTGTGTCCAGCTTCGACCAGTGCAGTATAGCTGACGAACCCAGTATCAGTACACCTTTCGGCGCCGTCGCGCCCGAAAGCACTCTCGCCAATATCATCATGACTCGTCGCGTTGATTTCGAGCCATGGGATGCGTCCTCAGATATCGTCCTGTCTGTCGCACCGGCCAACCATCCTTCCCCATCGGCTCTCAGTACTGGGCGCACGAGCGCGAACGGCAAGATCAGAATCGTCATTCGCAATGTGGACGGCAAGAGTGTCAGGTGTACGGTTACCGGACGCGCGAGGCTATTGCGCATTGCTGAGGGCTACGCTATGCAAGTGTCGGCCAGCGAAGAGAACGCGACATACCGGTAAGCTGCTTGGTCTTGCCCGTTAGCTGATCTCAGCCTCATCTATGCTGGGCGTCTGCTTGACCCCAGTTCGCGGGTTGCGGACATCGCTCCCGCCGGCATTGATCAGTTTGAGCTTCTCGCCGTCGTTGAGTCACCCATTCAGATCTCGGCACTGGGCACCGCATCTCCCTGACCAGTTCAGCAAGCTTCAGACACGCACCATGCATCCTTATCTTCATACAACCTTTTGCAGCCTGGAGCAGCTCAGAGCTTGCTTCCCTCCCACCTCGGCTTCCTCTTCTCCTTGAACGCAAGCAGGCCCTCCTTGATGTTCTTGCCGTTGTAGAGAGCGCGGACCTGGGGCGAGTCGGCGAAGAGCTTCTGCGCAATCGAGACGCTTCCAACCTCGCTCGCGATGCGGACGCCGTACATGAGCGAAACGACAGAGTCGGGCGAGTTCTCGGCAATCGCGCCCGCAATCTCGAGTGCCTTCTTCTCCACCTCGTCGTCGGGGACGACGGCGTTGATCATACCCATGCCGAGCGCTTCGCGGGCGGGGATGTTGCGGCCCGTCAGGACGCACTCCATGGCGCGCGCGTGGCCGACAAGACGGACGAAGCGGGGCACACCGCCAGCGAGAACAGAGACACCGCGCTTGACCTCGGGGAAACCGAAAGTAGCGGTCTCGCCAGCAACGACGAGGTCGAGGTTGACGGTCATCTCGGATCCTCCACCGAGAGCGTAGCCGTTGATGGCGCCGATGATGGGCTTCTTCGTGAAGCGCTCGGCGATACCACCGAAGCCGGCCTTGAGGATGTCGCCGGTAGACTTGCCCTTCTCCTGCTATGGAAACGTTAGCCAACTGTGCGCGTTCTCAACGGAGGTCACTTACCCAGGCGACGAGGTCCGCACCGGCGCACCACGCCTTCCTGTTCGTCGAGCCGAGAATGCACACGCGCAGCTCGGGCTCGCTCTCAAACCAGTCAAACGTCGCGTTCAGGGCCTGGTTCAGCTCAGCGTTCATGGCGTTAAGCGCCTTGGGGCGGTTCATGGCAACGTGCAGGACATGGGGGAGCGGGTACGAGAGGACGACGATGTCGTCCTTGATCTCGGGCGGGGTCGAGTACGGGTGGGCCGGCATTGTATCTCTTCTTCTCGATGGCGTTAGTGTAGTCGAGACGATGGAGTATGCTCGAGAGGGGAGGGATGGGTTGCACGAGTGAGAAGGATGTTATGTGCTATGAGCTAGCGCAGTGCGGAGAGGAGTGGGCACGACGACGCCCAGTGTACGGTGTCTTCGGCCATTGCCGACCTGGCACCGGCTATCTAACCCCGGCCACCCCCAAGAGATAGTGGGCGGCTGCGTGCGGGGCCGGTTTTCGGCGTCGTCCACCGACGCTTTTCTCCACTCTGTAATGTTACTCCGCAGCATACATCATGCTCGGGACCCAGCGCCCAGTGTGCTCGGCATTCTATCGCATGCACAATCATCGGCGCCCGGTCTCTTCTTACAGTGAGAACAGGCTGGGAACGATGGAGATGGCTCGGTGTCCGTTCCGGCGGAAAGGACGCACCTCGTGTTCACAACTAGCCTCCTAACCAGTTCACCGATCTCATGCGCAGAATGCCTGGCGCCCGAAAGGAGCAATAATTCGTGAGAGGTGACAGCCGAGGGGGAGTCATGTGTGAAGAAGAGTGCTTGGCTTTATATGGGATGAGTAAATGCAAAGTAGTCATCACCCATCCCCACACGTCCAGCAGACTGCTTTCCCGTTACGAGGCGGGAAATCAGTGCTGTCGAAGTGGAGTCATCTGCAGAAGGGGGAGATGGAACGAAGACGCGGCGTAAGACGGAGGATGTAAGACAGCAGAAAGCAAAGTCAAGAGGAAAGCTCAAAGAGTCGCTGTGTCGTTGATTCGATAGCCCATCCGACCTCATCCTATTCGCCCAATCACGAGGCACTCGAGAACAGCGGCCACGCCGACGGTACCGATCCCGACCCGCTTCCTACGACGAAACAGACAACTGACGAGACGAGGAATGCAGATGAGAGCGATAACAACACTCCACAGGGCCCCGTGGGTCACTCTGAATGCTCCTGCTTCTCGTCAACGAGATTGAATAGGCGAGGCCCCGCCTCACGTGCCGCATCTGTCGGCGCCTCCGCGGTGGTTCCAGCGAAACTCATCGCGCGGGCCGTGTGACATCGACATTGCGACGCACGCTCACAATCCAGAGAAGGGTGGAGAACAACCCGCCTCCGTTGGAAGTGTGAGAAACAGCTTTTCGAAGGTCCAGATCGCAACTTGGAACTGCAAGCCACATCTGCGATCGGTGACAACCCGAAACCACGGCATCACAACAGGTTACGTCTCCGCACCTTTCCACATGCCGCAGCCCTGCAGTCGCTCTAAGGTGCCGGGCTATCGCTGCGCTCCTGTTCGACGTCGTCGATGCCAAGACATCCGAAACCTCACGTGCACGCGTCGCGCCGTGGTGCCGCCGGCGCCTCCGCGGCATCTCCAGCGTGAGATCCGAGCAGGGATGACTGACCCTGTTTTGATCGCGTCTCCCTCCTGCTTCTGCGCCTGGCCAGCACTTAGAGCCCTTCGGCGCCCGCTGCATCCTGGTGCCCCAAGGAGCGCGGGAGCCCACTCACCACGTCAATCAAGGAGCGGTGAGCGGGCATGAAGTGGCTTGCGGAGCGAACACCGTGCGGGGCACACTTCACGTGAACAACACCATTATATAGCAATCCGGGATCCCCGTGGAGAATCCAGTCGCGGTGTCGGCGACTGCAATGTTTTCTAGCTCACATGAAACCGTTAAAGGCGCTACGGAAAGTACCTGCGGCGTTCTCTTGGTCACGAGGACTGTTTGTGCCGACACCGGCGCCTCAAGTGTCCCGTGGGGCTCGTTGATCGAGCACGCTGGGCATGCGCGACGTGGAGCAGCACACTGACGAGCTTGGCATGACCTAGCGATGAGTCCAAGGGTGCCGGTCGGCGCTCCCACCGCTGCACACTTGCTGTTCTGGGTAAAGGCTGGAGAGAGGCTGGGCGGCACAGACCCCAGCTGCAGGGGCGGACCAACCAGACGCCGTCAGAGGCAGCTCGCGCCAGGGTGATGCACTGCTCTTTGCCTCAGTTTCGTGTTGCAGCAGTCCGGCTGGAACTAGACGTCGTCGTGGCGAGCGTAGCGTCGCTTCGCTCGGAGGAGGCCGAGACGCCGATATCGGAGTGCGGGCAGCGTGCGCAGCATCACTGCTGCCAAGCGGGTGGAAAGGTGACAGGTGAGAAGCTTAATGCTGCCGGGGCGGCATCGCACACACCGACCTGCACCCACTCGTCCACATCACGCGCATCGTAGCTTTGTTCGATCTCCAGGAACGCGGCCAGGGCAATCGCCCCTCTTCGGCCGCAGCCCCGGTCCGCAAACCCAAGAGGATGAGAGGGCAATCTGTTCGGTGGGGAGTATCACGAAAATGAGGTGTGGCCTTTTCAGCTGGAGAACATGCGGGGCCCTAACGCGCATGGAGCAATGAGAGACCGGCTTTAAGCATGTCCGACAGGATTCTCCGCTGCCCGCACAGGCAGAGAGGGGGAGGGGAGGGCACGAGGGGCAGGGGACGCGAGGGCCGCGCTTGTCTGGGCGTGGGTGCCTGCCTCGCCTTGCGGCTCGCTTTTCTGCGCATTGCTGTCGACTCGCCTGCCATCCCATCAACGCTAGCTGTTATCTCGCACTAGTCTTATACGCACCCCTCCAGCGCCTCATGTCTCCCTCCCCCATCAACCAAACTAGCACATCAGACAACGTGAGTCACCTCAGCCACCGGCTCATCGCTGGGCCACGCTCGACGCCTCCTGCTCGAGCTCAGCTCAGCGGAGCACCCTCTCTCCGGCCATCGCTGACGAACAGATGACGAAGCAGGACATCACGCTCGGCCCCATGCCCGACGCCGAGGGCTACTTCGGCCAGTACGGCGGCTCGCACATCCCCCCTGACCTCAAGGCGGCCATGGACGACATTGCCAAGGCCTACGAGGAGATCACCAAGCGTCAGGACTTCCAGGATGAGCTCCAGCTCCTCCAGCAGACCTACACCGGCCGCCCCTCGCCTGTCTTCCACGCCCGCCGCCTGTCCGACAAGCTCGGTGGTGCCCAGATCTACCTCAAGCGTGAGGACCTGAACCACACCGGTGCGCACAAGATCAACCACTGTCTCGGTGAGGCGCTCCTTGCCAAGTTCATGGGCAAGAAGAAGGTTATCGCCGAGACTGGTGCTGGCCAGCACGGTGTCGCTCTCGCGACTGCTTGCGCTCTCGTCGGCATCCCTTGTGAGATCCACATGGGCCAGGTCGACATTGAGAAGGAGCACCCCAACGTCACCAAGATTCGCCTCCTCGGTGCCAAGCTCGTCCCCGTCACCTTCGGCCAGGCCACCCTCAAGGAGGCCGTCGACTCGGCCTTCCAGGAGTACCTCAAGAACCCCACCGACTACATCTACGCCATCGGCTCCGTCGTCGGCCCCGCCCCCTTCCCCGCCATGGTCCGTGACTTCCAGTCTGTTGTCGGTCGCGAGGCCCGCGAGCAGTTCCAGAAGGCGTACGGCAAGCTCCCCGACCACGTCGTTGCTTGTGTCGGCGGTGGCTCCAACGCCATGGGTATCTTCAGCGCTTTCCTCGAGGACCGCGAGGTCGACCTCGTCGGAGTCGAGCCCGCTGGTCACGGTGTCGACGTCCCGGAGAAGCACGCGGCTACGCTCACCAAGGGCAAGCCTGGTGTCCTCCACGGCATGGCCTGCTACGTTCTCGAGGACGACAAGGGAGAGCCGTCTGCCGTCCACTCCATCGCCTCTGGTCTCGACTACCCGGGTGTCGGACCCCAGCACTCCTACCTCAAGGACATCGGCCGCGTCAACTACGAGTCGGCTACCGACAAGGAGACGGTCGACGCGTTCCTGAAGCTCACCCGCCTCGAGGGTATCATCCCCGCGCTCGAGTCCTCCCACGCCGTTGCCTGGGCTATCCGCAACGCTCCCAACATGCCCAAGGACGAGACTATCCTTGTCAACCTCTCCGGTCGCGGAGACAAAGACACTGATTATATTGTAAATGAGTTCCCGCACGTTCTGGAGTTCGAGCAGGCTCTCTAGAGCTCAGAAAACGCAACGAAACAGCTGGACGACAAGAAGAGAAGCGGATAATGGGTTTTTTCATCAGTATTCTTTCACGAGGCGCCACAGTGTGTAGATAATAGTAGCTTAGCATGCAGTATGACGTGCATATCCCCCTTGGTCTGCCTCCGAACCCACTTGTTGCGCTGTTGTGTCGGTGTGGAAGCGCGGAAGGCAAACAGCGAGGTCGGAAGGGCCGTCAACCGGAGCTCGGGTCGGCAGCTCAGGTTCACGATTTTGGTTTGGGCCGTCGGCAAAACCACGCTTAATTGAAGTGGGGGCGGGCAGGTCACATGACCTGCCTCCACCTTGTTGGGCCACCAAGAGCGACGGGGCTGCTCCCTACGAGTTCAACATCACACATCTCGCCATCAGAAAGATCAAGACGCTGAGAGCACCAGTTATCAGGAATTGGCCGAGTGACCGGCGCCTCAGCTAGATAGGCGCTGATAGCAACTAGCGCGGTCTCACGATTGCGCCCTTGCGCCCCTCTTCGCGAACGTCACCGCCCTGGTCGCGGCCTGCGCCCTCACGCTAGCTTGTGCCGTTGTGCTCGAAGCCGGCCGGCCTGGACTCCCGGATCCAGGCACCACTGACGCCGGACGAGTTTTCGACAAGTTTTGGACTTTCAAAAACTGCCCGGGCTCGGAGGACGCCTCCGCTAGTTTCACCAATTCCCACGGTCAACCCTTCGCTCGATGGGCGAGTCACACTGTCTTGCTCGTCGGCACTGTTGGCACTGACGCTGCTGAACGCTAACGAAATGATTCTGGAAACATCTGTTATGTTGACCAGTCCTTCACATGAGAATTCTCTCTCGCGCACGAGTGCATCAGCGGAACAGCGTTGTTGTCCGAGCTCGGGCGGTCGAAGGATGAAAGGCTTGTGGAGCATCGATGAAGAGCACACCTTAAGGCTGCGACCGTACCAGAGCATGGGTATCCTGCACTCCAGCTCGGAGGAAGCTCTTTGACACCATCCTCTACTGTGCTCACTCGGAACAGTCACTGACTTCTGGGCTCGGTCAACATTCGCATTGGAGTCCTGGTTTCCGCCGTATCGTTGGAATCATGCAGGCTCTACGGATTGCCATGCGTTTCTCTCGACAGTACTGACCATGCAGCGGCACTCCAGCTTTCCACTCACTCTACCATTTAGTGTCGCTCACGCCACTATCGCACCCTTCTGTATCGAAGCAGCTTCAGGATTTGAGTCATGGGCGCTCGCAACAGATCGTACACTTTGTCCGCTCTGGACCTGCATGTGTCTATAACGTTTGCACTGCGTGCATTGTGCGACTCTGAGTGTGGAGGTCGCCTACTGGGTGTCTTTTGAGGTAATATTGAACAAGGGTTTCGATTGGAATGTCGGCGGGTCATTGGTGTTGTCAACTGCGACGAGCCTTCGCCCTCTTCGGCTTGTCTACGTCTGACTCGTAATCTGAGAAAGGATTATACTCGGGGTCATCGCTGCTCTTGGCATAGAAGCAGGTGAAATGGAAGTGACGCTCGACAATGGAGCCCAAGCGTGTCTCTGGAAGGTATTTCTTTCCAAAGGTGTCGTGGAAGCTGCATTGTTAGTTACAGCCACATTCTGGAGTTGTACCTCAACGTTTCAGCGTTCAGCCCTTTCTTATCTGCATATCGTTGGATGAGTTCTCCAATGCGGGTAGTGCGCTCGGCTTTGAGCTCGGTGGGAGAATTCTGGTAATCGCGGACGACGACCTCCACGGCCACGTGTTGCATGGCGGTGGCCCTGGAAGCAGACGGGGTGGAAAGAATACTGGTAACGGCCTGGCGCTTCACAGTCTTACGACCGGAAGTAGTTCGGTCGGCAGGAGCGTTGTGGTCGGCGGGGGGCTGGGAGACTGAAAATGTAGGGGTCGGAAGACTTGGACGCAAGTTTGGGACGAGGGGGCGGGCCGGGCTGGCGGGCACATGGGGAGCCAGAGGGTGCATATTGACCGCATGAGGTCTGGCTTCGTCTTCTTCATTGACAATGTGGATACTGCACTGTCAGTCAAGCTTGGCGGCAGGAAAGACTCGCTGGGCCTTGCAGGCTCACTGAAAAGGAGGAATGCACTCACCGAAGCTTACCGCATTTGACCGTAAGACCACTGGCCGTGGACGAGACAAAGGTGAAGCTATCATTGTTGGACGGAGTAGAGTGGGTGATCGTGATGACGCGTTCAGCCGCGTTGTTGTCCTTGAAGTCGATCCTCATGTCGGGAGTGCCGGGGATGGTGGTGGCAGGAGTATCATCTTCACGCTCACGCTTGACCCTTTTGGACGGGGGGCCAGCAGCGCTCATGATGATTGATGCTTGAGAAGAGTCGTGAGAGGGTTGATGCGTAGTTGTGGTAGAGAGTGAAGGTTGAAGCGGAGAATCGAAGGGCGCAGGTGACAGCGAGATTTGCCACCGTCGCGACGCATCAGTGAAGGGATCGAAGGGATCAGCGCAGCCCAGTGCCACGGCGGCCAGTCCCAGATTTGTACGGGCGAGTGACCGCAGACTGTTCTGCACAGTACATGCATGCGTCAACGGTTTCCTCCGACTATATGCTACAGAGTGTGTGCGAGGTATCATCATGAACAGAGGACCTAGGCGTCCGAATCGTAGTCCGACTAGGGGTTTGCGTCAGGGAGATTGTCGGCGTCAACAACTTGGAAGCTGTGAGTCCGAATGTAGCGTTTGACTATGGTGCCAAGACGAGTATCAAGAGACACAGCCTCGCCGGAGTGGTTCACGACGCTGAGGCTGTCGTAGTTCAATCCCTTGGTCTCGGCGTAACGTTGGAGGACATCTGCAACGCGGTCGGAGCGCTTAGCCTTGATATGCTCCGACTGGAATTTGTAGTCTTGCATGATGACCGTGATCTTAGACTCCCCAGCTTGTTCTCGCTGGTACTCTTGGAAGCAGAGCCTCCAATGGCGAGAGCCTTGGGGCTGACCCGAGAGCTGGTGGAAAGGGCGGCGGGACGCTGAGCTGAGACGTGGGAAGGGGCTCCCGAGGTGGCGATATCGGACTGGTGATCGCTGGGGAAAGTCGCAGATGAAATGTCAAAAGAGTTCACAGAGTTGTTGCGGGAACCGACGCTCTTCGTCAAGAGGATGCTAGAAGTTAGCTTACAGACTACGGGACAGTTTGGACAGCAGAACATCTTGAGGTTCAGCTGAGCAACACGTCACTAACTGCAAAGCACCGCAGGTAACTTGAGCGTCGCTGTCGGTTGACGCGTTGAGGGAAACCGTAGACTTGCTTCCGGTGGAGGTGTAGTGAGTGACAGTAATCACACGCTCAGACAGCTCGTTGTCCTTGAGAATGATCTCAATGTCGGGTCGATTATTGCTGTCAACTGCGCTAAGACCTCCGATAGACCCATCGGGAGGAGACGAGGGCTCCTGCTTGACCATGGCGAATGAAAGGTGATGAAGGAGTTGCGCAGAAGCAAAGAAGAGAAGAGAAAGAGAAAGGGCGAGTTCAAGCTTGCGATGTTGTGTGTGTGTGTACTGTACGTGTGCGCGACGGGACCAGGTGTGATCGCCACCACTAGCGCCCTTCTCGCCCCAACTGACATCGACATCGCCCAAACACTCCACGGACCAACACGCACTGCCGCTTCTCCCCTTTCTTGAACCAATAAGCATCGATTTCCAACATGAACCAGGATGCATCTATGGGCAATCATCAATGGCCGGCAATAAACCATGCTGCGAACGTTTACTGGCCCCTTGCGAGGTCTTGCCAAGAGTGCACTTGATGTGGAAAAGCTCCCCAAGGACCTCGGAGCGGGAAGAAGATGGCAGAGAAGGTGAACTCAGAGCTCTATCGTCTGCCGGTGATGTCTTGGGATTGCCGGAAGAACCTGCCACACGTGGGAGGGGGAGATTGGGGACGAGAAACGGTGAGTCGGGTGAGTCGCTGGTGGCCACCGAGCCAACTTTGCACTGGGACGTGGAAGTGGGGCAGCTGTCTTGGAGAGACTGCAAGAAGGCCTTCGCTGTGCTAGAAGACCATACCTCCGATTTGCTGCGTCGTAGTCGCTGAGGTGCTCCTTGGACGTCTGAAGACGTGCTTGCCCATCTGGGAGGTCGCGGTGTGTCAGGTCTGTTAGGTTGGGGTCGCTCGTAGGGACGACAAATCTTGCGGGAAGAGATAGGGACCCGCAGCTTACGCTCAGAGTGATGAGTAGTTTTGGCTGACTTGGAAATCTTCGTTTGAGGACGCGACTTGTCCATGTTGTTGGTGGCTGTAGGGGCGTGTGTTGGTTCGATTGTGAATGTTTGGGAGCAACGAAGGAAATGAAGTCTGGAAGAAGAGTGTAAGCAATGGATCTCTGCTCTCTTAAGCTTTCCACCGAGAGTCTCCTCAACGCAGTAGTCTGCTTGTCCATGCAGGTTAATCGCAGCCGCATCGGAACATAACCCCAGGCGGGAACTGGAGGACAGCCGCGGTGAGTAACACATCGATAGAAAGGGTTGAGGGTGGTATGGACTGGGGGTCGATCTGGCGCTAACTTCGCGCCAAGCACATTTCGCAGTCGTCCAGGTCCACCTTGGGTGGACGTTCAGGCCAGGAGTCGTTAAAGCTCGCGTGCCGGAAGGGAAGGGCAAGGGTTCGTGGGAATCATACAGACAGGCATATCAGTGCGGAAGTTTTCCGGCTATGAGGAGGGAACTTTGTGTCGGCGGGGATGTCACCTAGTTTCCATCGCAATAGTCAGACTGAGGACCTCGCCCAGGCGATGCAAAGATGGTTCGCCTTTTTGTCGGGCTCTATCTGTGGGTGGCCTACATGTAGGTGTCTTGAGGGGCCTCGCTGGCCTGCGCAACGGGAATTCCAAGCCCACGATATAGGTGGAGTTTCGGAGCTCGGAGGCGAGCGGTTAGTCACCTTTCGTGAGGTACTGCGGCAGGCAGATCGAAGAGCCGTCCGTCCCTTAACCCTGCAAAGCTAGGACGACACGATGACGCTGCATTCGTAGCGTAGCACTCTGGTGAGTTGCTTCTCTGCCCACGATAAGCTCAGCTTCCGACGCAGCTCCCGTATCCGATGGCACAGAGTTGCACGGTCAGGCTCAAAATAGGGTGGGCGCTGCGGGCGCATGAGGAACTCAAGTGGGCGGTCAGCATTACATGTTTTTCTGCGATCCCTCCGCGTGTTTACGCATAGGATCGCCTCGTCCAGCCTAACGATTCATTTCCGTGTAGCAAGCCACCCTGAGGCATCTTGCACTCATGCAGGGACACCGACATCCTTTGCAAAAGCTTGCCAAAGTGGTGCAGCGGGACAGCCATGACGCGGGCCACGACGCGGCCGTAATGGAGTTGGGAATGACCGACAAATCCGAGGCTGGCTGAGCTGCCTGCCAGCCTTCTGCGCTCCACTCCTACCCCATAGCCGTAGCACTTTAGAGGGATAAGGATGGCTCGTGCTCTGTGTCACGACCCTCATAGAGAATGGGGACGCTCACGAGCGAAGAGCGGTGCGACGTCGTGAGTACCACGGGCTTTGGCTCCCACGTGTGATGACTGGTGGGTGCTCTTCCCCGCCTCCCCTAAGGGACGAACCTAGCCCGTGCAGAAAGTGGACTGCTATTGTGGTCAATGGGAACTCCAATCAAATTGGTGAGTCGAAGGAGAAGATGAGAGCGGCTGCGTAAGGCTTGGGAAGGGCGGAGAGGGAGCCAGTACTGCGTGCAGAGGACGGCAAGAGATCGGAGTAAGGATTCGAGGATATTAGCGCCATCAAAGTGGGCTGTCTCGTGTCCCTACGCGATGACCCTCTATCACCTGAGGCTGCAAGGCGCGGATCACTGCTGTAAGAGACTCTTGCTTTGTCCCGCCCGAGCTGGTGCCGCCGGAGTCGAAGAGCTGAAGTGAGGAGTCAGCCGAAGGGGCTGGATGAACATGCAAGAAGAATGTCCTGGACTTTGCTGAAGAGAAGCTAATGCTCAAACGACAGGCGAGGACAGGAGGAAGTGATTCGCAACTAAGATCTTGATCAGACTCGGGGACGAACCAAACGTGACGATGGATGTAAGTTGTACGTTTAGCGCCCTAGCGCCTGTTCATCCTGTCGATCGTGAGAACAGTGCATACTCAAAGCTCACGAGGGATTAGTTGCAGCTCAACGTCGTCGCGCCGATGTTGAGTTTGGTTGTCTCAGTGGCAGTGCCTGACGTGAACCTCAAAGCACTCCTTCTGTCAGCGGCACCCGATCATCCTGCGCATATCCAACTCGGTCAACTCCTCAATCAATCGACCAAACATGAGTTCACCGCTTGTGCTCGCTTCCGTCGACCATGTTGTCGGCCATGCTTGCTGCTTGATAAGATGTTGGGGAAGTGTTAACGTTTGGGGTGTCGGTGATCCCCATGGCAGTCCCCAACCTGTGCTCATAGCAGTTGCTGGTCAGCGGCTCCCGGTATTCCGATGCACTTCCAACTCGGTCAGCAGATTAGTTCGTTGAATCCCAGCATGTCCTTACACAAAGCCAAGCTCGCAGCAAGCTCGCCTCCGTCAACGGGCCTCAAACCGGAGACGCTCTCACCCTCGTGAGTCGTTTGAGGCCGACGGGCAGTCCGGTGACATCGGACTGTGTTACCCCGCAATCTCATCGGTTCTCCACACCGATGCACAACGCCGATATCCAACGTACCCAAGGCCGATGAACAAGCCACCTGATTCCCATGATGCAGAGTTCCACTCCACAATGCGAGGCGCGCGGGCGTGCGGGTTTGCGCCAACGCATTCCGCGCGCTATTCAGGCGCCACCGGCAGTCACTCGCATCCGGCAGCGACAGCCGGCTGCGGGGCAACTTGCGGCCACTACGACATCCTTGCGCATGCCGAGCGCGCCTGCGTGCCGGGGTCAACCTGGGGTAAGCGGGGGCGTGCCGGAGATGCGCGGGGGCGCCGGATTTCGGTGTCAGCCCCCACGCAGCAATATCGATAGCGCAACGCGATGGTGTCGACGAAACATGGGGTAGTGGACCGAACCCGGGGCCCGGTGAGCTGAGCTATATTGGTGTGACACTGGTGTGGATCATCGAGATTCCGGTGGAACGGTGCTAGCGCCTAGTTGACGTTGCCACGCTGCCCAGCATACTGGCCGGTCATGCTTCGAACCGCGGCGAGGTACGATCTCGGTGCAGTGGAGTAATGAAAGATTGGCGCGGATGCGTGTTTTCGAATTTCGCAACGAGGCCAACTTCTGGCGCATCTTCTAGGCACTTCGCACAGTGCAAACGATAGTCGGTGACCTGCATGGAGTGACAGACCTCTCCCCGAGCAACAACACTGCCATCGGTTCCGGTGCACGAATCGCACGTACTCCATAGTTGTGCACCGATGTAATATTGGGGCAGTACCGAGAGTTTCTTGGGAGGTACCACTCTCTTGGCTAAGAGGCTTTCCAACTACGGGGACGTCTGCTGCCGCAGGGGCTGCTACCCAGGGGTAGATGGTGCCGGCATGCAGTATTCCGAAGATTGTTCTGAATTGGCGCGCAGAATGAGTTTCTCAGATTCCGGGTGGCCACCCCTGGACCCTCAGGTCACCCCGCACTATACGGGCTTCTCCGCGACGTTGGCGCGTGAGCATACAAGCAGGCTTCTAGCCGTCGGCCAGCGAGTAGATCGACTGTAGCGGCTTCGAGCAGCCGTGTCTTGTGCACCAACGTCTATTTTCCAAGCCTCCGGAACGCAGTGAAGTGGCCCGACAGCTTGGCCGGCACACAGCACGAGATTTAATAGCCATGTGAGCCTTGGTCCCGATTGCGGGCGGAGCGCTGACGGATCATGAACCGCTGGATGCAATTAACAGCCCGAGTTATCGGCCCCCACCTCTTGTGCTCGCGATACTCGCCAGACTGGCAGTAAGCTCTCGGACGTGCCTTGCCCAGTTCGCTGGCATCGACGGCCGGTACCTTGCACTCGCCGGGCAAATGCTTCTCCCGTCTCGGAGACGGGCCTGACGGGGACGCACAGCAAGCATGATTGCTTGCGTGTCTGAAAAAAAGTCGCTCACCCACAACATCGCAAAAACACGACTAGCTTTAACCTTAATGCAATATACTCCTTGGCCCGGACCTGGATGCACCTGGCGTGCACCTGGCGAGCACCTGGCCACAACCCCAGCTGGAGACCTGGCTGGGGAAACTGGAGACAGAACCTGGGGTACAGGCCCTGGATTCCTGACCTAATGTCCGTCCTGCCCTGGCCCCCAACACCGGTCCCAGCACCAGATAGCCAGGTCCAGCAAGTCGCCGCCGAGACGTACTCGCGATCGCTGGAGTGCGACGCTGCAATGTGACTGCTTTGCTCGTGCACAGGTCGACGCGAAGATCAGATTGAATGTGCTGCGTGAACTTTGCGTACGGCCGAGAAGCACTCTGAAACCTGCAATCGGATCGGAAGGTTAGTCGCTCCTTGAGAGCCCGGTGACGAGAAGTTTTTGCATTTTCACGAAGTTGGTAGGTGACCGACACCCCACAGGTGTGCACTGTCGCGATGTTGGGGCTGAACGTGCTCGGCGTCGTCCAAAAGGTGGAGGAGGCTGGTACTTAATCCCATGAGGGGTCATGGGATATGCACGTACACTGGTTCGCTGTTACACTGGTGTGCTGCTGCACAGTTGCCCGCATCCTGCATCCACCAAATAGCCCACACGCCATGGCAGGTGTACGCCGCTGAAATGTCCGTGTCGGTGACGCCCGAGGACGATGGCCGAGTAAGAGTTGCCTTAGTGTCATGCCTGGCTGCTTCGAAATTCGAAACATGGCTGACTTTCAATAAAGCCAACGTTTTAGTTGCCGCGAGGCGCGAGGAGCGACTAAACCAAAGGCTGCAAGCTTGTGCCGGACACGCCGACCGGATCCCGGCCTCCTCGATCTAACGCGTTGCAGGTTGTAGTGCTTTGTGCAAACTCTTAGTTGCCGTAGCAGTTTCTGGGACGGAAGCTGGAGGGCTTACAGCGGAGATCGCCCGTTGCCTGTACCGTCGGCAACTTAAGGTTTGCCGAGTAATTGGGCACTGTCCTGATCTCCTGATGAAAAGAGCAGCAGAAAGTGGGGTTTGATCGGGGTTCGGGCGGTGAGGAATGCGTTGCTCGGCCATGGGCCAGCGGTCTGCCTTCGCTGGAGCGTGAGCATGCGATGATCGTCAGCACGATAGTCATCAGCAGGACTGCCAGGGCTAGGAACCAAGGAACCACCGGGCAGCCATGGCTGGGCCATGACGAGAGCAAGCACGCCGCCGTAGGAGTAGCCCGACGCACAGACATTCTTACGCAGACACCTCCAATCGCACCCCGCGAATGTTATATCCGACCTGTCCTGGCCACCTCCCTCATTGCCTGCCCTCCTTTGTCTCGATCCCCTCATATCTCGACGCTTCTCTCCCTCTCATTCTGTTGTTCGTGACAGACCGACACGACTGTTAACTCTCATCTCATTTCTTGTCTGACAACATTCTCTTACTCTCGTCAGCAATCGCCCCCCGTCCACCGCAGATCTCTTCGCCTCCACTACAACCTCGCCTGACCCGTGCCTGAATACCCTCGACCGCGGCCGTCACCGAAGACTTTATGACCATGGCCGATGTCTCTGCCATGGTGTCGCCGCCGTCGGCGCAAGATTTGCAGGCGCTGATGTCGCTTGACCGCAAGAAGGACGATGAGGAAGCCCTCCCGCCTAACCACCGTGGCATCGTCCCATGGCCGCGGCCACCCTACTACCCCATCATCGGCAACCTTCTCGACATCGACTCGACGCAGATCCAGGACTCGATTCGAGTACTGGTGAACAAGATGGGACCGGCGTTTGAGATGAACGTTCTCGGAAACCAGACATTTGTTGTTGCGAGCCAGGAGATGTGCGACTTCATCTGTAATGAGGCCAAGTTTGAGAAGTACATCTCGAAGGCGCTCCAGGATGTCCGCAACTATGCAGGCGACGGACTCTTCACCGCCTTCTCGTGGGAGAACAACTGGGACATCGCCCACCGCATTCTGGTCCCTGCCTTTGGTCCGATTCCCATTAGAAAAATGCAGGCCGGCATGCTCGACATCGCCTCCCAGATGTTGATCTACTGGGAGTGCCATGCCGGACAGCCGTTCGAGGCTGCTAACCACTTCACCCGCCTGACGTTCGACACCATCGGATGGTGCTCCTTCAAGTACAGGTTCAACTCGTTCCACTCTGACACGCTCCACCCGTTCGTGGAGGGCATGTTCGAGCTTCTGCGCGGCTCCGGGCACCGCGCATTCCGCCCGGCGTTCCTGAACAAGCTGTTTTACAAGGAGAACGCCCGCTACTGGGACACGATCCATAAGCTCTGGGCGACCTGCGACGAGGTTGTTGCGCACCGTCGTGCGAACCCCGACCCGGATGCGAACGATCTTCTGAACAACATGATCAACGACCGTGACCCTAAGACTGGCGAGGCGCTCTCGGATGAGAACATCCGCTACCAGATGGTCACCTTCTTGATCGCCGGCCACGAGACGACGTCGAGTACGCTAGCCTTCGCGCTCTACTACATGCTCAAGCAGCCCCGCATCTACCAAAAGGCGCGCGAGGAGTCGGACGCGGCCATCGCCGCCGTGGGAGGAAACTACCTCAAGCTGAACCCTTCCCAGTTCCCCTACATTGACGCCATTCTGAAGGAGGCCCTCCGCCTTCACTCGCCCGTCCCCGCGTTTAGCGTCAAGCCGAAGAACCCGAACGGCGAGATTCTACCTGGCGGCTACTACGTTCCTCACGGCAAGCAGATCAGCTGTGTCGTCGAGAACGTCCACCAGGACATTGCCTCGTGGGGCGAGGACGCGGCCGACTTCCGTCCGGAGCGTTTCTTCGAAGGCTTCCCCAAGAAGCCCAACGCGTGGAAGGCATTCGGCAACGGCGCGCGTGCTTGCGTCGGACGCATCTTCGCCATCCAGGAGGCGATCCTCGCGCTTGCGCTTATCACGGCTCGCTTCGACGTCGAGCTCGCCGACCCGTCGTACACCCTCAAGGTGAAGCAGGCTCTCGCGCTCAAGCCGGACAACTTCAACATCAAGGCATACCCCCGCAAGGGCAGGCATCAAAACCTGCTCAACGAGTTCCTGCTCGGCTCGGCGGCGATCACCAAGGAGGAGGCTGCGACGGCGAACGGTACCAAAACCCCACCGGTGTCGCGCCGCGGCAAGCTCTACGTCCTGTACGGGTCCAACTCGGGGACTTGCGAGGAGTTTGCGCAGGAGGTCGCGGCCGAAGGTCAGGCGAGCGGATTCGAGATCAACATCGGTGCCCTGGACGACGTCGTCCCTGATGCCAAGCTGCCGACGGATGCGCCGGTCATCATCTGCACGACGTCGTACGAGGGCCAGCCGACCGACAACGCGCGCGAGTTCATTCAGTCCCTCCGCGGCCTGAACCCGGAGGACAAGCCGATGGCCGGCGTGCGCTACATCATCATGGGCGCGGGCCACCGCGACTGGAGCGAGACGTTCCACCGCATTCCTCTTCTCGTCGACAAGCGTCTCGAGGAGCTCGGCGGTGAGCGTCTTCTCGAGCTCTCCCTCGCCGATGCCGGCGACGACCTTCTCGGCGACTTTGAGAAGTTCAAGGGCCGCCTTTGGGACCACTTTGGCACGACCGAAGACGCCAAGGACGTCAAGTCCACGACCGCCGACAAGCCCAGCATCAAGGTCCTCCCCGCGACTGCCAACTCGGCGTCGGGCACCTTCGCCGACATGTCGACTGGCACCGTTGTGTCGCAGCGTGTCATCGGCCCCGCTGAGCGCGACCTCCCCGAGACGCGCTACATTACGATTCGCCTTCCGGACGGTCAGAGCTTCCAGGCCGGCGACTACCTGAACATCCTGCCGAAAAACCCGAATAGCACTGTCGACCGCGTGCTGAAGCACTTCCGTCTCGACGGCAACGCGATCATCAGCTTCGACAAGGCGATGCCGTTCATCGGCGCCAACACGCCTGTGCGCGCCGCAGACCTGTTCGGTTCGTATGTCGAGCTCTCTCTGCCGGTCGCGAAGCGCATTCTGCCCCAGCTTGCGTCGATGTGCAGCGACGCCAAGGACAAGGCGAAGATCGACGCCCTCGACGCCGACTACACGCACAGCGTGACGGAGAAGAAGCTCTCGCTGCTCGAGCTCCTCGAGTCGGTCCCCAGCTGCCGTGCCGAGCTCGACTTCTTCCTCGGCAACCTCGCCAAGCTCAAGATCAGGCAGTACAGCATCTCGTCCTCGCCGCTCGAGAGCAAGACCGAGGCGACGTTGACGTACACTGTCCACAAGCCTGCGTCCAAGAGCGGAAACGGAACGTACCTCGGCGTATGCTCCAACTACCTTGCGGGCCTGAGCGAGGGCGACGAGCTCTTCTGCGTCGTCAAGTCCAGCGGCGACTTCCACCTCCCTGAGCCCAGCACGCCGGTCGTCCTCTTTGCGGCCGGAAGCGGTATCGCGCCCTTCCGTGGCTTCATCGCTGAGCGTGCGGCGCAGAAGGCCGCAGGCGAGCCCGTCGCCGGAACCCACCTCTACTTCGGGTGCCGTGACGAGACGTCGTTCCTGCACGGTGCCGAGCTGGGCGAGTGGGTCAAGTCTGGTGTTCTTGTCCTCCACCCCGTGCTGTCGCGCAGCCAGCAGGCGTCCTTCAAGAAGGGCGGGCTGAAGGGAACCGCTCTTCCGCCAGCGAAGAAGTACATTCAGGACCTGGTGTATGAGGACCGCGAGGCGCTTAGGGATCTTTACAAGGCTGGAGCGCGGTTCTACACCTGTGGCTCTGGAGCCAAGATGGCTGCCGACCTCCGCAAGACGGCGGTCCGCATTATCAGCGAGCTCAAGGGTGTTAGCGCCGAGGTGGCGGAGGAGAAGATGGAGGAGATCTCGAGGGAGAAGTACAAGACGGATGTGTTCCTTTGAGAAGAAGAAGGGAGAGACGGCGTTGTAAAAGGCTAGGACACTGATATATGTACCATAGAACAGCCATAATGAGATGTCACGAACTGCACGTATCCTGAAGCTGTTGAGGGAGAGGTGGTGGGGGCGCAGTGATCGGCGTGAGGTGTCTCGTGCAGCTGAGTCAACTCGTCCTCCCAACTTCATCCCCTCTCCTTCACGCATTTCTCGTCCGGCACTTCTTGCAAAACATCGACAAGGGTCAGTTACTCGAGTTACTTCGCCATTTCATCTCAAGCTGGTTGACGGCCTCAGCTCTGTGAACTGCGCGTCCTTCGTTCAGCTTACCGAGTTGCCAGGCGTTGACAGGGGCCCGTCACGGTAAGCTATCTTGAGCTGTTCGAATGTCACTGGAGGGTCTGGCTTTACCGATGGAGACGGAAGGTTGGAATGCCCGGCTAACATTGATTTCAGTTGCCCACAGGTTTTTGTAACCAACTGACAAGCAGTAGCCAGAACCCCGGTGTGGTTATAACTCTGTCGATGACGGAGAATCCCCAAAGATACCTCATCTGGTGGGTCCATATGCCCTCTTGCGGGAGTCGGATGGAGTCACTGACTCGCCTGGTAGGTATAGTCAGGATCGTGGAAGACAGCAAAAGCACACCTACACCGCAAGGAACATCTATGCACCTGAGATCTTCCGTGCGTGACCCCCCTTCGGCGGCGGCGTACGCGCTGCCCGCATCGAACCAGCCACCGACGTTTGCGCGGCGCCGATAGGCTGCGATCTGACGCCGCGGCCATGTTAATTACGCGAGGCTTATCCGACTCGCCGATCAACACGTGAGCCTTTGTTATTATCGTCCCATCTGAACCGCTTTCCCTGCGTCCCTTGCACCGGCTCCTTGCGGCTGGGCACCGCTGCTGCTGTCAGTCTCAAGTCTTGGCTGTAACGTTCCTCCTCTCTACCACCACATCATCACCCTCACCCACCATGTCGTCCCCCTCAACACCAGTGGCGACACCAATGCTCAAGCACCTTCCCCCGCGGTTGACCGTCCCGCCCCTTCCTCCACAGCTGCACAGGCGACTGCGGGTACGAGCCATCGACGATGGTCTTCTCCTCTACCCTGGCACCAACTCTGAGCCGGAGGACGCCGTCCTTATCCGGTACGGTATCAAGGCAAAGGTCGAGGCTTTCGCCGTTCCGCCAGCAGACGAGTCGCTGGAGGGCGAGGTCGAGCTCGGAGGCGTTGTCGGTATTGTCCGCCTGTGGGATGGTGAGTTCAGCAGCTCGGGCCAAGCTGACCTCAGCCGCGTATCTCGTTGTCTTCTTGCCCGCGAAGAAGCCGCCGACAAGCATCTTTCCTGGAGATAACGGTATCACGCCGACCGATGTCACGCACGAGGTCAACACGCTCACCGATGTTTACGCTATTCCATTGATCAAGGAACGGGCCGAGAGGCACCTCGGTCAGATGTCACGCATCCTTGTGAGTTGTCTGGATCCAGTATCAACTGACCCCAGGCCAAGCGTGTGCCCAAAGCACCGAAGTCGAAGGCTAAGACTTCGCCAAAGCCCAAGCAGAAGCCTCCAGCACTCAACCTGAAGTGGCCGTGGCAGGCTGGAGCGTCGTCGGCCACGTCCGACGATGACGGCAGCAGCTCAGACGCAGAGTCGAGCTCAGAAGACGATGAATCCGACATCGAGGCTCGGCGACGGCGGTCTTCGTCTGTTGCACCTGAAGCCGACGAGGACCTGCCGACACTGCCGCCAGCTGTCGACGATTCGGCGGAGAGCCGCATGAAGAAGCGCTTCTCCTTAGGATGGGGCAAATTTACTCCCAAATTGGGCAAGGCGAAGCCGAAAGACAAGATCCCGCCAGCGAAGGAGTCGGCAACAGAAGTGAGGGAGGAGCAGCCCGAAGACCCTGTTGGTGACGTCGAGCCTGAGGACGTGGCGGACGCACACGACGACGAGGGCGGTATCGAGATGACGTCCCCTGGGCTCAAGGTCCCAAAGACCGACAGCGCTGCCCCAAGTTCGGCACCCAGCCGAGCAACGACGCCAGTACCGAAGCCCGCTCTCGACGTGCCTGCCCGCCTCGAGCTCGAGTCCAAGATCATGAAGCAGATCACGCGTGAGCTTGGCTCTGGCGAGTTCTACTACTCTTACGACTTCGATCTGTCTCACACTCTGCAGGACAAGCGGAAGCGACTTGCTCGCGGGCAGAAGAGCGGCGCACTTCTCGAGGGTCTGCTGTCAAGCGCGAATCCGACGTCCGAGTTCTTCGACAACACACCGTCGGAGACTGATCGGAAGCTCCACAGCGACCCGCCATCCCCCGGAGGCTCTGTGAAGTCTGCCAAGTCGACGAGAACGACCGGCTCGGAGATCATTGAACCCGACATCCATGTGCCGCTCTGGCGGAGGACGGACCGGCGGTTCTTCTGGAACGAGAGCCTCGCTCGCGACTTCATCGAGCTCGGCCTGCACGGCTACGTCCTTCCCATCTTGCAGGGTTATGTGCAAGCATCGCAGTTCACTGTCCCAATCCCGCCATCGCCTGTCGACGAGGCGAAGCTGCTCGAGCCGCCCGCGCCGGTGCCCGTCGACATCGTGCTGATCTCTCGGAGAAGCAAAGACCGCGCCGGTCTGCGTTACCAGCGTCGCGGTATCGACGATGAGGGGCATGTTGCCAACTTTGTTGAGACGGAGATGCTCGTCCGTGCCAAGGTCGGAGGCAAGGTGTCAATGTTCAGCTTCGTGCAGATCCGCGGATCGATTCCTTTGAAGTGGAGCCAGACACCGTGGTCCATGAAGCCGCCGCCCGTGCTCGACCAGCCAGTTGACCAGACATACTCAGTTGCAAACCTGCACTTTGATGACCTTCGCAAGCGGTACGGTCCAGTTGTGAGTTTCTTGGCGTTGCATTGTGAACTGACATTCAGACGATCGTCAACTTATCTGAGCAGACGGGCAAGGAGGCGCCGGTGACAAACGGCTACGGCGAGCTCGTGGATAGCCTCGAGCGCCCCGACCTCACCTACGTCCCCTTCGACTTCCACGCCAAGTGCCATGGGATGAAGTGGGAGCACATCTCGGAGCTTGTCAATGAACTCGACTTCACTGACATGGGCTACCTCTGGCTCCTGCAGGGCGATGAGGTGCGCGACCAGACTGGCGTGTTCCGAACAAAGTAAGCTAGTTTGACGGTCTCTAGCTGACGTCCAGCTGCATCGACTGCTTGGACCGAACAAATGTTGTACAGTCTGCACTTGCACGACACGTCCTGAAGCAGATGCTGCTGCAACTGGGCATCACGGTTGACCCGAAGACTTGTGATGTCGAGTCGGTTTTCAACGACAGTGAGTTGCGTATAAGTCATCCAACTGACGCCAGTCTGGGCGAACAATGGCGACATGATTAGCCTCTGTTATGCGCACACATCAGCTCTGAAGGGAGACTTTGTGCGCACCGGCAAGCGTGACCTGCAGGGCATGGTGAGTTGTAGTTCGCTCGACCCAAACTGACTTCAGCTCCACGACGGCGTCAGCTCGCTCAGTCGTATGTTCTACGGCGCCGTGTCCGACTTCTTCGCGCAGGCCGTCATCTCCTTCATGCTCGGACAGCGAAATTTGGGAGTGTTCAACGAGTTCTTGGAGAATCTTGAGAGCACCGACCACTCCGCGCTCATGCAGCAGTCCCGCGTCAGGGCCGCAGCAAGTGAGTTGCCAATTGCTTGCACCAACTAACGGCAGTCGAAACCAGCTCCGCCCGTGTGCTCGATAACGGCGAGCAGCGAATCGGTGGCTGGACCCTGCTCTCGCCCGCTGAGCGGAACACAAAGCTGAGTCCGAAGCTGGAGGAGAAGGTGCTCCTTCTGGTGAGTTTAAGCAGCTCGCGTGGAAACTGACACGCAGACAAAGCTGGCGTTGTACGTGGTGTCGTTCAACTACTCGCTCGAGAAGGTCAACGAGTTCACGCGCATCCCGCTCAAGTCGATAACGTCGCTGCAGAAGGGCGCGTATATCCTTTCGGCGTTGCAGGAGGCGGGACGTGACCCGACCGAGAACGCGGGCTTCGTCGTGACTTTCGCGGCTGCCGACGAGTCGACGCGGTACAGCACATACTCGCTCGACAACACGGTCGCGACGCCCCCGACGCCAACATCCACCATCTCCCAAGCTTCCACGACAACAGGAACCGATCCCTTAAAGTCCGAGACGAAGCGCAACCGTGCGCGTACTCTGAGCTTCAAGCGCAAGTCGATCATGAAGCTCGCGGACGTGGACCCCGACACCTCTGAGTTCTTCGCGTTCAAGGCGCTGCCGCGCGAGTTCGTCGCCCAGCCACACCCCGAGGACGACGAGGACGAAGAGTTCACCCTGGAGCAGAACGAGACGTGCATGGCCACGGTCGATCGCATCGTGAAGCGTATCCGCGAGCAGTGCGCAAAGGTGCACAAGGTGCCTGACGACTTCGTCGTCGATAAGGACGTTGTCAGCGTCGCGGACGCTGAGAACGCCACGTCCCTCCTTGCCCGCATGGACTATGCTGTGAAGCGGTTCCTGTGGCTGTAGACTAGCATGATGAACAGTATAATCTTGTCGTGAGTGGGTGTTGACTGACGGGCATGAGACGACGCTTCACGGAGGTGGGCCGCTGAAAGAAGCGTCACGAGTGTTCCGTAGTGGTTTCACTGACTGCTATTCTCGTAAGGGCGTGGAGGGGCGTACTCGGTGCCCCTTGCCCAGGCTCACCACAGGGGAGGGGAGACGATGCTGCCCTTTCCATCACCGATCATGTGCCAGGCCTAGGAGCTGCGCCCGTGGAGGCTCGAGAAGGGGAAGACAGATCACGAGGGGTTGCCCCTCGGTAGAGCATGCCAACCTTCTCGGATCGATCGCGCTCTTCTCGATCTTCCAGACCCCGATCGATCAACTTAGCCAGGCTATTCCTGTCCATCGCGACAACTTCTGCGATTCGACTCGGAAGAACGAACGTCGCAAGCGCATTCCACCTGCTCACGACTCAGCGTACATAACCGGCCCCTCTCGCCCACTCGGATATCCCATCATCGCCCACGACTTTGCCGCCATGTCCTTCCACGATCTCGGCCGCTCTCCTCTCAGCCCCCCGCGCTCTGTGGGCACCACCTCCAGCGGCTCGCAGCGGAGCAACCCCTCGCCCACCCGCGGCCGTGCCGGCTCGGTCGACCCCTCGAGCTCTCCCTCGCGCGCCCCACAGCCTACCCGCGGCAAGCTGAGCCCCACACAGCGCGCCCAGCTGTACTACATGCGCATCAACGAGCAGTCAATCTACGAGGGCGGCGTCCTGCGCGCGTTCCAGTGGAAGATCCTGCACCCCGACGAGCCCGAGGCGAAGGAGCTCTTCCTCCAGTTCCGCAAGATGATCTCGGCCGACGTGCCCTACAAGGACAGGGACAGCGAGGTCGAGAAGCGCGAGGCGGGCGAGATGTGGGCTGAGCTCACGAGGATTATCGCGGCCGAGGTCGAGGAGAGGGAGAGAAAGAAGAATGTGGGTTGAGAGCGGAGCTGGGGGAGCGAATCAGGAGCCCGTAGCTGATGACCAGAATTCGATCTTCAAGTGGGGAAGGCGCAAGTCGTAGCGCTGCTCAAGACGTGAGGCTTGAAGAGTCAGGTGACCAAGCTGACTAGCAGTCGTGCTGGACGTCGACCGCGAACCTAATGCTTGTCTCCGATGTCTCTTAGTATCACACCCGTACACTCGAATGTAGGCGTAACTGTGCTCTGCACTGCACCATCGCGCTGCGACAACCGCAGCTTGCGCTCTTGCACCCGCACCAGGGTGGAGGACCATAGACCAAATTGACGTCCTGGATCATCGATCGCAGCCGTCGCAGAGAGGTCATGGTCGACACGCTAATGACGCATCCTCCTGTCAACGTCGATGAAGCGAGGAGCGTCGGTGCCGGCGACCCCTTGACCCTGCCCATCTTGCATGGCATCTCACTGTTCTCAGCGACCGAACTACGCCCAGATCTGGCTTAGCTCCGTGCTCCGCATGTTCAAACGCACCTCTGTGTTCACTCCTGGCGATCAAGCACCGCCTACTGCCCATTGCGAGCACCATCGCAGTCTAGATCGGCATGATCAGCGCCGCGACACGCTGGCACTAGCGTGGTCGCCCCTTGCCGTCTCAATCTCATAAGGAAGACACTCACGATCTTACTGACGTTCTCATCACCTTCTCACCTTGTCTACACCACAGCCCGGCCTCGTTACAATGGAGGAGAAACCCACTGCACGTCAGTTAATCGGCGCCAAAGACACGATGAACTGACATCCAGCCGCGAACCAGCCTGCCGCTGAGCAGAACAAGAAGGCCGTCGAGTTCGATGGTGAGCACTTCATCCTCCCTCCATCTTCACTACGTCTGCATACTGCTTTCACGACCTTCCTCGAACAGCTGGCTGAAGTCCTTCTGTTGACGCCTGCCCGTCCTCGCCGCCCGTGCTATCTGCCATGGCCGCCTCGCTCGGTTCGCCAGGCTCTCCGTGCTCGTCGCCGCCACCCACCACTGACATCAGGCGAACCTAACCCCGACTGCCAGCGCTACGGACACGACACGCGCATCGGTGTCTGCGCCGCGCTCGCCGTCGCGTGCTGCCTGCCGTGCAGTGTCATCTGGTGCGTGTCCCCGGCGCAGCTGGCGTGCTTCCATGAGTGAACCGAGAATCGGGCGCTGATGCGCAGGCTCTTCGCCCGCAAGGAGGTCACCTGCAGGCGCTGCAAGACCAAGATGCCCCCTCAGGGAATCATCAACTAGGCGGTCGGTTCGGCGCCGCCATGAGCCGCCTTCGAACCGCCATCGACCCCCGAGAATGCGCCGAAGTTTCAACCTGCAGTACCAAGCCTGTTTGTTCAATGTAGTCGACCGTAGTGATGCAGAGTTGTTTTCCTGTGACTGTCCCCAGTTTATGTTTCGGACAGAGAACGAGCAAAGGAGAGGGTGAAGGTGGTGCAGCCAATGGACGGTCAGTGGCGCTGAGTGGTGCCATTGAGTGCTCGACGCCGGGTGCTGCGCACGGACCGTTCATGGCTTAGGAGTCACGATCCCTCTGCTATTCCCGGCCTTGCTTCCAATGCATCACAGCGATGGACTCCGGGTCGGACGGTCGTCCAGGCTCGCAACGCACAGACGCCCGACCCCACCCATGCAACCCAGAGACCACCTTCCTACTTCACCCTGTTCCCCTTGCTGCTGTGCAAGTTGCCCGGTGTACCTGCGGCTCGCGCTCAGCGCGAGTGAAGATTGTTGTCATGACTGGACTCCTCTCACTCACTACTGACAACTGACAACTGGCTTGTTTGTTTTCTCATCGCGTCCTCTCTTTACCCCGACACGCTTACTCCTAATACCATCTAATCTCTGCCTCCACGACAGCTCACGCTACGACGTCCCTACGATTTCACGCCCTCCACGACTTCGACCAACGACTGGACACACCTAGCTTTTCGACTGTAATCTTTGCCGCTCCTGCACCTAACTCTCCTCCGCACCCTACCTCCAGCCTCTGACAGTAGTTTCCAGTACAGTCACGCAGGATGCCCGCCCTCCTGCACGTGACGCTGTACTCGTTCTGTCTGGGCGTCTCGCTCATCCATCTCATCTTCGCGGCCTGGTCGGCCGAGAAGGGCCGGCAAGACTGGTCGCGCATGATGTCCGGTGGAAAGCAGTACTCGCTCGTATTGATCGAAGACGGCCGTGAGTCTCTCCGTCCCACCTTGCGGCCCATGTGGACGCCTTCCGCCGTTCCCGAACTGACGACGCAGCGGCGTACGAGAAAGCATACCGTTTCGCCATCTTCCGCGCCGTCGTTGCGGCTGTCTCGGCGGCATACTTCTGCTCGCACCTCATCGTCCGGCGCATCTGGAAGGAGACATGGTTCATCTGGTGCTCCGTCGACTTTGTCATCATCGCCATCATCGCGGGGCTGTCAGTGGCGTCCCAGCTGACAGGGATGTACTTCGCCTCAGCCCCCGCCGTGCTCGACGTCATCGCGTTCTTCCTCCTCGCCATCTTCTACGTGATTCTGTTGATCAGTATCCTAATCGTGTTTGGGCGCGGTGCGCGCCGAGAAGGAGTCAGGATAGCCTTGTCCTCCTCGGTCGACAGGCTGAAGCATGTCCGACGACACGGCGCGCCGGATCCGCCCGTCCACGCCGTTGCGGGACAGCACATGGCGCCCATCACGCCCGAGATCCGCGTTACACAGGTGTAGTCGATGTTGGTCTCTCGGCGTCGCGGCGCCGGTTAGTCGTTAGTCCCATCCCCACACCCCCAAAACCTCCATTCGCTCCTTCCAACCCGCCACTCGTTTCGTTCCCTTCGCTCTCGCTCTCCCGCTCTCATAGGACATTCTGGTACTTCACATCGTTATACTCGTGCCCGCTCTGCATGCTGTAAGCTACTCTGGACTTCTGATTCCGTTGCAAGGTTAAATGTGGAGGTTGAGATTTAGGCGTTCTTGACCTCAGCGGTCTTGATGATCGTGCCAAAGGCGTCGCCCAGTTCGGCGCAAACCGTCTGTTTCCCAGTCAGCACTTGCCCCCAGACTTCGCACAGCGCTGCTCTGCACCTCTGCAATGCCTATGAACCCCGCAAAAGACGGAAGCAATACGTACCTGGACCAGCTGCTCCGCCGAGGCGCCGGGGACGTCCCTGTCGCCAATCGCGTCCTCGACAACGAGAACATCGTATCCACGCTGCGCTGCCTGACGAGCAGTCGTGCTTACACACACGTGACTCATGTACCCGACCAAAACAAGCCGCTTAATTCCGCCCTTCTGAAGCAGAGAGTCGAGATTGGTCTCCGCGAACGATCCGGGGTGGATTTTCTTGACTACAGCCTCGTTGCCGGTCGGCTTGAGCTCGGCAAACTCCTCTGCAAGCTCGGTGCCGGGAGTGAACACGGGAGTACCTTCGGGGACCTGCGCATCAGTCTGTGTACTCTTGGAAGCTGCAGAGGAGGCTGGATGGTGGAGAAAACGAGAATGGAAGAAGGGGGGTCCGAAGGGCATGGTGGAGGTTGCGATGGTGGATCGGCGGGTGAAGGTGCCACTGCTCACCATGGCCGCAGCGATCCGCAGCTAGACTCACCTGGTGCACGACGTGGATGACCTGTCCGCCATCCTTGCGGTACTTCTCGAGGAGGTCCTCGATGTTCTTGCGCGAGGCCTCGACGTTCTTAATCTTGAGCGCGCCCTGGGCGTACTCGTTCTGGGCGTCGATGATGACCAGAACCGAATCCTTGGTGCTGGCCGTGGAGGGCGGGACACCGGCGAGCTGGCGGAACGACTTGGCCTCGGACATGGTATTCACAGTGGGGAGGAGGTGAATGAGATGGGACAGCGCAAGGGGGATGAGGTATATGTACAAACAAGGGAAGGCGTCAGCGTTAAGCGAGAGCTCGGTGGGAACGACACGGGTCCTCCATGCACGGAATACTCGGAAGTGGGGGCGGCGCTCTCGATCGCTCTCCCACTTGCCTACTTGGCACCCGCCGTCGGCTTGTCCGAACCTTGATGAATCAGCAGGTTAATAACCGACATTCCGGATGGCCCTTAGATTGCCGGCGGTAATTAAGGCCCAGTATCCCGACCGCGGTGACCAATGCGTGTCACTATCATTAATCATCCTCGATGCAGACGCCGGAGGTCGATGACGACGGCAGGCCGACGGTGACCAAGGGCAAGCGAACTCGCACCAGGAAGATCGGCAATGGCTTGTGGCACCCGACTGGGAGAACAAACAGAAAAGTGGTCTGTTGTCGCCCCATCAATGGACGCAGGCGATGCAGGCTCTGTGGCAGGATTTTCGTGCTGTTATTGTTGTGGCCTACCCGGCACCGCTTCACCAGTTCATCATCGACATCCTGCCCATCACAAAGCATGAAGTGCATCAATGAGCATCTCTCTCACTCTTGTTGTCTTCAGACAGCGGTGACGAAGCGGTGTGCAGCGATGAACAACCTGTCGTCGCTGTGAAGAACAGCAACCTCGCCCTTCGATGGGTACTTAAGGCGCGCCAAACACCAGACCTGGGCTCGATTCTTAAGAAACGAACCACTTTACCTACACAGGAACCGCAAACCGCATAGCAGCGACACGGATGAGCGCCCATCCCACAGGGGGCATACCCTCAGGTTACCCCTTCGACGACCATTACGTTGATCCCGTCAGCGAGAATGGAACTTGGAGTGACGAAGACGAGGAGCGCAAAGCCTCGTCAATCGGCCATGATGATCATGCGGACATGGAGTCGCTTTTCGGTGGCTACGACGAGGATGAGCCAAGCCCAGGTCTGCACATGGACAGCCCCTTCACCCAGGCTATCGACGTTGCCATACGCGAACAGTTGGCCGAGCCTCCGATCTATGCAGACAGCCCAGGATATGCCAACGCCCCAACTCCGGTTACTCCCACTCGCTGCGGTCATGTGAACGATGAAGAGGAGATTCGACAGGATAGCGACAGCTTGAACAGCGAGTACAATTCCGCAAATGACAACTGGGTTACTGCCCCTACGCCCGAGACGCCTTGCCCATCCCGTTCTTCACGGCCTTCCCGCCAGGTCCAGAAGAAGGTGTACTCGGAGGTTCTCGAAGACCTCACTGAAGAGGGTGACGAGGACTCTGATGAAGAGGATGAGGAGGATGAGGAGGGAGCCGAGGAGGACGAGGATGGCGACGATGGCGAGGCAGATGAACACGACAACACGCACGAGGTCGGTGGGGAAGCTGAGGAGGACGACATGGACGCCGAAGAAGAAGATGACCCCGATTATGTTCCACCGGTCGCCCCCTCCCCAGCCCTCACTGCCGCTACGTCCAACCCCGACATCGATGCCTGGCGTGCTGGTTGCCGCTCGGGCCCATCGACCGAGGAGGCGTCCAACAACATCCGCTCTCCTATCGTGCGGTCTCGTCGAAGCTCCGCGAGTCGCGATGCTCTTGAGAGCCATATCGAGAGCTCGCGCGCACATCTCCGCAGGGAGAGGAGGAGGTTTGAGCGGGCTGAGTCTTGCGTCTCCGGCTTTAGCGACGATGAGGACGATGAGGACGACTTGATCCCCAGGCAATCCGCCTTGAACGCGGTCGGGGTCGCCATCGCCAACATCTCGCGCCATGTCTTTCGCCGTCCCAAGACCAAGAAATTCGACAAGGAGCCTGAAAACCGTCGCCCCGACACTCCTTCCGGCTCTCGGGGTCCTCGGAACCGAAGCGACTCTGTGGTCAGCGGTTTCCCCCTCCCCGCGCCTGGCAGCCTGGCTGCTTCCACTTCCAAACGCCGATCATCCAGCCCTGTCGTCAGCAGCCGCCGGCGCCTCACCATTAATACGTCTTCGGCTAACCACGACGTCAGTCTGCCCCCGGGTTCGGCCATTTTCTTGCCTGGCGGACCTGCCAGCTCACCTGCGGGCGGAGCTATGGTGCCCTGGCAGCAAGCTGCAACTGGAATCTCGCCAATGAACACGGCGCTGAATAGCCTTCAGCAAAGTCTGAACTCCCTGGGTGTGGGCACCCCGACCATTCCCACTTTCGGTCTAACTGCCACCTCGGCTCCTATCGTTAACATCTCGATCCAGAACAACTTCCACCTCGCTGCCTCTCCAATCCAACCAGTGCCGCCTCCGGACCCGTTCTTGACGGGTGCTCAGGACGCGCTGGCGCCGTTCAACCCCCTGCAGCCCAGCGCCGAAAGGGCGGGGGATGAGCACGTCATTGGCGCTCAAGGGGAGGATATGCGCGTGCCCGCGCACTACAACCCCAGCTCACAGAACTGCGTCTGTCTTCCATGCTCTGTTCGTCGGGCAATCCTGGCCAACCCCGACAGCGCCATGCACCTGCGAGACGCGAGGCAGGAGCACCACCTCATGCTCCGGACGTCGCCTGCGGGGAGGACGGACTGGCGTGCCTTCGCCAACCGTGCTTCAGGAGAGCGCACTTTGGGCACCTGGCAGAGCTTCATTTCGGGTCTGCCTCCGCACGACGCCATCATTTTGGACTAGAATAGAACTAGATATGGACATCTGAGATTAACATTGTAAATGACAAGAAATTCCGGAAATGTATGTTGTACAGAGGAGAGACGACATTGGAGCAGGAGACAGGTGCAGGGCATATCAGCAGAACACCAGCTAGTGACTCACGCCACTGCAGTTATGTGTTGATCAAGAGGGGTGCGCGCGACGAGGACCTCAGTCCGCCACTTTCCACCTACTCCGCGCTGATCCCAGTAACTTTCGGAGAACACGATCAAGCAATGCGTGGGGCCCTGGATGGGGGTGGTGACGGCGGTACCTGGCGCTTCAGTGAGGGACTAATTAGCCCTGCTGCAGGGGAAGGCGACCGTGAGCAGTGGTGACGGAATGGGTGTGGCACGCAGCACGCAACTCTCGCCTCCCCGCCGCACCAGTCCATCACTCGCCGTCACTGTTCCTTATGCCTCACGCTCGCACTCTGTGCACCTTCCCAGACAGCTCTGTACATCAGTCCATGCAGGTCCAGTCAACATAAAGACGGGATGTATGCTTGTCTCTTCCACCATCAACAAGTCCTCTTTCGTCGCAAGACGATCCTCGTCATGGGTCAACGATTCTCGCGTCCCACGCGGGACACCGCAATCGACGCTGACTGTGACTTGCAACTCCTTACAGCACTTGCCATCTACTCCCAGATCATGTCCTACACCGAGTCTATGGTCGGCGAAGGGGGCTCGACAACGAATGGCCGCTCGCGTGTCGGTCAAGCTACCGAGTACCCACCTGCACCTGGTCGGCACCTTCAAGGAGCAGACTTGCCCGAAGCACCCCCGGCGAAGGTGTCAAGCACAGACAACCGTCCCACTATCCATGCCCCTCGACCCATCTACGGTTTCCACGGTAAAGGCTCCTCCCTTGCCTTGGGGACGGAGAACCCCCGCCATCTTCAGCTCGCCGTCGCCAAATTCCAAGACACCAATCATGAAGGCTCAGGCAGCGGCCACACTCCGTCTGCAGCTGATGCAGCGACGAACATAGCCGCTCAGCAGCCGAGCCGTCACTTTTCTAGTGACCGCGGTGTCCCCCGCGTCCTTCCGTTCGGCACCCACAATGCGGTCTTGGCAGCGACGCTCTTCACCTTCCGCCCCGGTCTTCTGCAAACCGCGGCCTCTCCTCACAACCCGGTCAGCAATGACAGTTCCTCATCTTCCACGCCGGTGTATGTCACGTCTGAGGACTCTGATGAGGAGCCAGACAACGGCAGCGACGCGGGATTATGGGTCAAAATCGACGCTCTCGACGTCAATGCCAACGAACATGAAGGCATCCCGATTGGTAGCGACAATGAGCACACCGATGGAGGCGAGAGTGATTCCGCCTACAGCAGCGCTGCCTCGAGCCAGTCACCCCGTCTCACTGTCAATAATCTCCAAGAAGCGCTCGCCTTGCACAGGCTAATCCTCAGGGGGCGCGACGAGATGGCGGCCCTGCGCAGCGCCCGCCCCCTCTCTCCCTGCAACTGGCAGTCTGCTGACGAGTCCCACCAATTCCGCGGATTCCGCCCCGCGCTCATTGCAAGACTGCAGCAGCTCGGCCTCGGCCCCCTGTTGGTCGACATGGAGGCGCTCATCGCCGCGGAGCCCCTCGACGACGACCCCGAGTTCAGCGTCGACGAGGACGACGACGGCGAACTCGACTACCTGGCCTGTAACAGCCTCACGTCGCACGTCGAGCTTGCCGCCGCTGCCAAGCTGGTTTCCAAGTATCACCGCTTCATGGCCGGGTGGTGGTCGCGCCGGCGCAATCGGATCGGACCCTCGGGCCCTGACAGTCAGAAGGGCAAGGAGAGGAAGCGGAGCGCGGCTTATCTCGAATTTGCAGCCTTCGCACGGGCTCATCGTACCGTCTCGCGGCGGGAGTGGGAGGCGGAAGACTCCGACGAGGACTACGAGGAGGTTGGGCCCGAGGATATTTGGCCCATCGAGGGCACCGGACGTCATGACCTGGACACGCCGCTGGGACCGCACAGTTGGATCGTCCGGCCGGACGAGATGTCTGACTATGAGTCGCAAGAGATGCTGTCCACCGATGATGACGAGTCGTCGGACGGGGACTGGTACAGCTCGGTCGTTGGGGTCGCGAGCGAGGACGGCCCGAACTCTGGCTGGTAGTGTGAGATGGGTTAGCCATGGCTTCGGGAGGGGGAGATGGTTTCAGCAGGATGTAGATAGATAGTCATGCAGAACTGTGCAGTCTACTAGGCCAGCAGCAGCACAGCATCCAGTGACTCAGCCATGAATAGCAGCTGCATCAGAAGCGCAGGTAGTCGACGCCCTGCAATCTTTCAAAGCACTTGTCACGTCTTACAGTACCACTGGGAGGATTTTGAGACGTAAGGTCGGGAGAGGGAGGCGAGAGAAACGGAGTGCGAGGCGCGATGATAGCTTTGCTGACCAGCTCAGCCAGCTGAAGCTCTATTTGTCTGCTTCTTGGCCCTCGTCGTATCGTTGTACTACCATGCACTGCCTATGTGAGCACGCGAGAAGAGGTCTGTGGTGGGGACCGGGCACGAGTCTCAGTCAAGAGCTTCGTGCGGCAGCGCTCGGCGTCACCTTGCGTCAGCTGGTTCACATCAGTCAGAAGGTGTCAGATGGATCCTGCCCGGGGGCGTCAGTACTATGCTTTGCTGAACGCCTCACTCGTCTCAGTGAGTGCAGAGCTAGCGTCGCGCATCCAACAAGCCGCTCACTAGAAACTCTAGGTGATGAGAAACAGCGGGCAAGCTCGTCCCGGGCCCCCACACGACCGATTCCGATTGCACAAGCAATCGCCGATCTCCTCCTCTCTTTCAGACACCGTTTCCTGGAGTCTTGCGTCCTGGATCCAGACGAGCAGACACCGTTTCTCCCCCCCAACTTCAACAGACACCGAGCACAGCAGGCAGACACCGAGACTCTCCAGCGAGTGGGAGTGAGTAGGGCCAGTGACGTCGAGAAGGTTCATGTTCGACCGACCGAGAGTCAAATCACGAGACACATCTCGTCAAGACTGAGGTTCGGCGAGCACGGCCGAAATGTCTTGGCACCAGGTGCTTGGCCCAGTGACCGAAGTAGATACCGAAGTGGCACCGCGTTGTTTCTTCGACAAATGAAGCGTCATGCATGAGCGACAAGGGAGCGCCATGCGAGGCGCCAGCGAGACGCCAGTCATAATTGCGCCAGGCAAAGCGCCGGGAACGTCATAGATCTGCGTTCAGCTTTTTGGGTGTTTCATTATTACAGACTGCGCGATTTTTGTTCAGTTCCTTGCAAGGCATATTCCTGGGCGCCGGCGCGGGGCTCAGAGCTCGCTTGGATGTTGCAACTACCAGCCCACCTTACCTCGCTCCGCCTCCGACCCAGGAAAGTCAGATAGGAGCGAGAGGTTGTGGAGCCAGAACGAAGCCCACCAAATTCGCCAGGCTGTCGATCCCGATTGCATTGCGATTCGGCCGGCGCCCCACGTTCGTCTGCAGGAGTACAGGGGGGAGCATGACGTCCCGCCAAGAGCGAGCCGGAGAAACAGCGTGCCTTTGCTTCATTTCCTGCAATCCTCTCCCTATCACTCCCTCTGCCATACGCTGCTGGGGGTGCTGTGGTAGGATGGGGAAAGGTGCAAAGGAGCAGAGGAGAAAGGTGCATAGGGACAGGAACGGCCTGTCACCTCGTCACGGGACGTACTCGCCAGGCTCACCGGGCGTAGGGGATAGGGGCTCGCACAAGTCGCCGTTGTGCGAACGGTATCTCGGTACGTGGCCTATTCACGGCGTACCTTGTACTTTATGCGAAGGGTACCTTGCCCAGTATTTGCAGCGAGCGCGTGAGCGCTGGGGTTGCTATGGAGTAGACGCCAGGCGGAGGGGAGATTCCCGATTGCCGCGAGTAGGACATGCCGTGGAGTGCTAATTCCGGCGTACACCTGCTGCGCTCTGTCCTCTGGCTCAAATCATGCCTCATGGCAGTCCCAGGCTCAAGTAATGATATCACACCAGTTGTCCCTGCGAGCGGGCGCCCACCCTTCGTGTTCTAGCGCAGTTGAGCTCGGCGCAGCACACGGCGCTGCTTCGGCACTGATGATATTTGCGGTGGGGCTGGTCGCGGAGTCTCCTTATGTTCTGGGGGCTGGAGCTGGCGTGTGATTTTGCGTCCTTCATGTGATGGATGCCCCGGATGTGCCTTGCACTTCTGCTCCTGCGATTCGCCAATGATACCGATATGCCAGAGACAGGCTCCATCGGTCGTCAAGTGGTGGGACCAACAAGCTCGCCAGCCGGCGAGAGCCTGCCTCTACTCTGCTTTACGCACGCTCGCTGGAGCATAAATGTGAGATCAACTGCAGAGATTATGACGTCGGTGCACCTTATGCTTGTCGCACCTTGTGGAGGAGCGCAGATCCGTCATGTGACACTGCTGACCCGAGATCTCGGCGGTGACCCCGCGCCCCGCCCCGCGTTGCTGGTGCGCAGCCAATCACAGCCCAGAAACGCCGCGTCAGCGTACCGCCCTGCGCAGCGACCTTTGCTAGGGAAAAATGGGCCGGAATTAAGTTTGCGATTTTATGTAATGTGATCCGTCTGGGTGTCACTTGTTCGTCGGTGACCCTCGTGCAACACCGGACATCCACATCCAGAGTGCTGCACAGGTCGTATCGCCCTGCGTATCGCCTGGCCGCATGGCCGTCTGGCCGGTGGCCGAAAGCCTCGCGGGCTCACGGGTCTGGAAGAGCGCCATGTCTAACTGGTTGTCTGAGATGGACGACGCAGATCATAGACATACATTACGCGCAGCCGTTCGCGCATTCCACCGTGTCGGCGCCCGTCTGCCCCAGCACCCCAGGCATGTAAAGCATGCGAGGCATGCATAAGGGGGGCCGGGAATTGTGGCGTAGAAGAAACACGGATGCGAGGGAACACTGCCACCTAACTGCCTCACTGTGCAAGGTGTGAGAAAACGTAAACTGCGGTTGGCTGGCTCGGTCGAAAATAGGATGCGGCCGACGGTCAATCCGTCTCCCCCAAGAGCCCAAGAGGTCAGGACGCGCCGGGAAATGCGTGCCAGGACGCGCGACATGATCCTGTAGGCCTGTACTGCGATATGACATTGTGATGCAGGGCGAGGCAGCGACGCGAGGTGGGGGAGAGCCCGACCGTTGTGACACTGAGGAGCTCTCCGTTCCACAATGCTGCCATCAGGCAAAGACTACCACACGCGTCAGTTGGAAAAAAAAGAGCGATAGCGCAGGGCCCCAGGCCATCCAGGAGCCGGTCAGAGACATGCCGGCTCTAGCGCACAGGGCTATTCAGATCCGTTCCTGTTTTTGGTGCTGGGTCCAGCTGGCCAGCTGGACTGGGTACTGGGTCCAACCAAGTTGCCATTTTCTCGGCGAAAGCGGCAAGGGAGCAGAGGCAGAGGCAGCGCTCGGTGTTCGCAATCGGGGTTGCAGGCCCAGGATAGGCAGGATCGCAGGATTGCTTGCAGGATATGCAGGCATGCAGGAGCGAATTGAGCGCGAAATTAAGGATAAGGATTGAACCGCAGCGACTATGATTAGGAGCTTGCGATGCGTTCGCTCCTCGCCGCCAGCCCTGCCAGCCGGCGCCCCTGCCGCCTGCCGCTGCAGCCGCCCGCTATCGCGCGCTAACAGATGCGATATGCCGCCAGATGAAAAATCTGATTCGCCGGCGAAGTGCACGCCAGCGCTCGCGACCGGTAGCGCTGTCGCCAGCGTATGGCTGAACTCAAGTACGAGCGCTGGGTCATGTCAGATAATCCCGTGGGGTTTCAGGGGGCGCTCAGGGCCGCCCCAGGGCTCTGCACAGTGGAGGGCGTGGAGGCGCTGTTAAGTGTCCAATAGCGGGCGTCGCTCGTGTTTGAGAACCCCTAGTATTAGCCGGTGACTTTTGTATTCAACCATTAGGAACCGGATCGCGGTATTCAACACTCAGTCAAGTCACAGTTTTTGCCACCGCTAATCGTAATCGGGCCCGGAGGACGCACTGGTGCTTTTACTGGCTGGGGGGTGGGGCGGGCACGGCACCCAAAGGAGGGGCTCAGGAAGGGTCCGGGGGGCTTGGAATATTTACCTCGTGCGCACCCGGCGCACTGGCCGTCTGCTGGCCGGAGGGCATCTGGGCACTGACCGCAGGCTCAAGGCTTGGCCCAGGGCAGGGGGGCAGGGAGCCCATACAGCCTCATGCAGCCGCAGCGGCACTCGCCCGGTGCACAAGCTCCGCTCTCGCCAGACTGTTGGCTTGTAACACCTTTCCTTTCACAAGCTCAGCTCCTCTCCGATCCTCCCCCTCCATCCCACCCCTCATCCTCGGTTCTCCCGCCTCTTCTCCTCTGTAGATCTGTCTCTCTCTCTGTAGCATAGCACATAGTCCATACTCCGGTACGCCGTGCGCCTCACGCCTCACGCCCACACTCCTGACCCTCGCCAGAGCCAGGGCTCGCTCGCCTGCCTGCCTGCCTGCCTGCCTGCCTGCCTGCCCAGCCAAGCACACACTAGCCATGCTGCACCGCAATCACAATGCCCATCCCAAACCACCACCTAGAGACTCCTCCTCCATGCCTTCTCTTTCTCTGAAACACACTTCACCAGCGTCTGTCGTCGACTGCTCCATCTCCGACGACAGCCCCGCTTTATCAAGGACAGCAAAGCTATCCCTCGCCGCCCTGTCTCCCTCACCAAACCGCCCCGCCCCCTCCTCCTCCTCCGCCCACAACTCCCGCACCGCCGCTCGTTCCTCATCCGTCTCCCTCCAGCCAGACGAGCAACCCGACCAGTCTAGTCTGCACCCGAGGCGCTCCTCTCTGTCCCTCACACGTTCGACATCGACAGACCCCGCCTCCCCAACTTTTGCATCCTCATCATCATCGTCATCCTTCACGAACCCGTCTTTCCTGTCCGTCAACTCACATCATCATCACGGCCCCGATAAGCACCACCTGTCGCCGATCCCAGGTAGCCCACTCCCATTGAAACGCAACTTGTCCGACCTCTCGACCGGGTACATCAGCGACACATACTCTGCCGAGCCGCAAAGCATAGACGACGTCTCGGACACGGCCTCCAACCCCTACTTCAACAGCTTTCCCTCCTCTTCCACCACCCCTTCTAACCGCTCCTCCTCCCCCACGCGCAAACGCGCATTCTCCGACCTCTCCCGTCGCCCGATGTCTCTCGCGCCACCGCGCATGCGCTCCCCCGCGGGCAAGTCTTCGTCTTCGCGCAGTCGACGAGTGATCCTTATCGCTGTTGTCCTCCTTGGACTTATCGTCCTCGGTACCTTCATCGTTCTCTCATCGGTGTCGTACGCCCTCTACATTCCGGCGTCGGCATTCCTGACGGAAGCTGAAGTCCCCTGGAAGGAGTCGGATGTTATCAGGAAGCTCCACGATGGGTCGAACGACACCAAGGTCGCCGACATGGTCGAGGCCTCGGCGGCCAAGCACATGATCAACTCGGACGACGCCGAGGACGACAGCGAGACCTACTCCGTCACTGCAGTTGACGGCGACAACAAGGACTCGGTCTGGGGCGTCGACGGCATGGGCACTGGTGGCTACTGGATGCGTGAAGACTGGGACGGCACGGTCCACAACACGACCTCGTGGGACCGTCTGTACGACGTGAAGCTCAGGGATGGTGAGAAGATTCCGCGCATCATTCACCAAACTTGGAAGTCGGACGTGCTGCCGGAGAAGTGGCGCACGGCCTGGCGAGAATGCCGCGAGGGCATGGCCGACTACGAGTACATGCTTTGGACCGACGAGCTGTCACGCAAGTTTATCGCCGAGCACTACCCCGAGGAGCTTGCCATGTTCGACGAGTACCGCTACCCGATCCAGCGCGCCGACGCGATTCGCTACTTCATCCTGCACCACTTTGGTGGCGTCTACATGGACCTCGACATAGGGTGTCGCCGTCGTATGGACCCGCTGCTGCAGGGCGAGTGGGACACGGTCCTCGCTCTCACCAAGCCCGTCGGTGTGTCGAACGACCTGATCTTCTCTGCTCGCAACGCGCCGTTCATGTCTCAGACGATCAAGGGCCTCAAGAACTTTAACCACGAGTGGGTCATCAGCTACCCGACGGTCATGTTCTCCACGGGCCCCATGTTCCTGTCTGCCGAGTACTCGTTCTGGCAGTCTGCGCACCCGATCGCTTCTGATCAGCCGCGGGCCGTCCGCGTCCTCCCCAAGTCGCTGTACGGTAAGAACGCTCCGCAGGACACTGTCCCGCACTCGTTCTTCAGCCACTTCTACGGCTCGAGCTGGCACGCCGACGACGCTGGCTTCATCACCTTCCTCGGTACCTGGGGCAAGGGCCTGCTCTACGTCGGTGTCGCTGTTCTCATCCTTGGCGTCATCCGCCTCATCTGGAGCAAGTTCTTCAGCACAGGCAGTCTCCGCATTGCACTCCCGTCCAACAACGACTACCAGGTGCTTCCTGTGTCCACCCCAGTAGACGGGCTCAGCGGCATGAACTCGCCGACGCATACACCGCTCGGCCCGCTCAGCCCGACGGGCGAGGTACCGTCGTGGCTGCGCCTGTTCAGCGGCAACGCCAATCGCCCGTCCCCGCGCACGCCCGGCGGCTCCAGCAGCTGGTTCCCGTGGGTGAAGGACGCAAAGCGCAACCGCCGCGGGTCCGACGCCGCCCTCCCGCGCGAGAGCAAGCGCGACGAGGTCGACGAGGAGAAGGAGCTCATGAATGACTGGTAGTTCTTGGTGTATTTGTAGGTTACGATTGCGATGCATATTAATAGAGTTCATGTACAATCGATCGGCGAGCAACGAGCGAAGCGAGTTGTGAGTCGCGAGTGCAGTTATTGACAGTGAGCATACATTGGCTCTGGGTGGCAAGTTTTCTCTGGTCGTGTGAGGAGGCAGACAGTGGTTCTCTGCCCGAAAGCGTAGCCCGACGGCGATCAGCGGTCGCGGTCAGGTCAGAGCGGGGTGGCAAAGCTCCGCCAGACATTCAGCGTGACAGAAGTCAGAGTGCAGATCTGCGCACTGGTAGTTAGGTGAGGTACGAAGGAACAAAGCCATCGTGCTATCTCTCGGCCCCGAGCCGGCGGGGATTCCAGTGATCTGCATCCAAGCCGGCGGCACATGCGGCCCAGCGAGGGTTAATCTAGCGCGGTATGCATCATGGAACGCGTATACTCGACGCGGACGCGTCGGCGCAGGACGCGGACAAAAGAAGGGAGGGATACGCAGGCCGCAATGTTGTATCTTATCGGCCGCCGAGCGCAGCAGAAGTTGGAGGTGTGTCCAGTCGCAGAGTTGGGCGGAGAGGGGGTGATGTCCGGCCCACCAGCCAACAGGCCCACGTTTTGCCATTTGCCACCTTACTACACTCTGGCCTCCACCCTGGTACCCCGGTGGAGGTTGCGAAAGTTGGTGACTCTGGTGACGCTCGACAATGTGAGAGCAGGGAAGACAGCATCCACAACTTGACTGGTCACGAACGGACAGGAACGGACACGAATTAAGGACCATGCCCAGCTTCACTCGACGGGCTCCTACGAATACGGCTGGTACTGGCAATGCGGCCAGCGCGGCGGGTACGGCTCGGATACAGCGTGAGTTTCCACCTACTTCCACTGCAACACAACGCGACGTTGGGCTCGGTCTGGGATCGATTCGAAACTCGTCACCATCTAGACGACTGGGGTGCACTCGGCGAAGTGCTGCTGCTCTTGCAACCAGATCTACATTGGTGTGCTCGAATGGACAGAGGTCTGGACGTCGTTGGGAGATCACGTACGGTTGTGTGCCGTTGGGCCACGACTCATCCGGTTGAAGCCACGATCCTTTCCCGCCCAGAACGCAATCAGATCACAGGAGATTTCAGCCCGGAATACAGAGTACAGATCATGCAGCCCCACTGCTTTGCAGGTGTTCCTTTCCCAGAGATCCCCCTTTCCCCCTCCTTCATCCCCCTCCCTTCCCCCCTTTCCCCCTTGCCCCGTCCTTCTCCCTCACCCACCCTCCCCCGACATCGCTGATGCCAGCCAAACCAACAGGTATCGGGTCGCTCGACGAGCTGCTCTCCGGCGGTCTCGTCGGATCCACGCTCCTCCTGCACTCCGACCCGCACACGCAGTGGGGCCGTTTGGTCGCGCGGCACGTGCTCTCGAAGGGTCTACTTGCCCGCGAGTCCGTCGTGCTGATCGCCGACGACTATTCAGACTGGACGCGCTCCTTGCCCTGGGTCGAGGAATCGTCTTTGCAGACTCCGGGAAGAAAGACGGGGGACGAGAGCGAGTCCGAGGGCGAGCTGGACGGCAACGAAAGGCAAGGGGATTCGCGGATTGCGTGGCGGTACGAGAATCTGCCCAAATTCAAGACGACGAGCGGGCAGACGTCCCTCTCCACTGCTATCTCGATGCCCCCCGACACACAGAGGGGATATGAGAAGGCTGGCGCGCTGCAATACCTCGATCCGGCGCCTTATGTCGGCAAGGGCGTCGAGGGCCTTCTGAGGAAGATTGAGGAGATGGCGCCGGCTCGTTTGATTCTGGAGATGGGCGACTGGAGCTTAGGTCTGACGGGGGACGAGATCCGCCGTCTCCTCCTGGGCCTGAAGACGCTGAGTCGCGGCCGGGTTTCGTTGACAGTCATGCCAACGACGCCGCCGATGCCGCCGATGTCCACCGCCTCGACCTCGTCAGCAAGCTACTCCTCATACACCCCCGACGCCTCTTCCGAATCCTCCTGGCTCGCCAGTCTGCCGGGACTCACAGACGCCACCCTCCTCCTCGAAGGCTTCGGGACGGACCCGACCCTCCTCCAGGCCTATCACCCACTGCACGGCTTCCTCCGCCCCATCCTCCTCCCCGCGGTCGGATCCCTGCTCGCACCGAGTTATCGCAAGTCGGAGCTCCTAGGCTTGCAGGCGGGCGAGAACAATCTCGGCTTCAGGCTCAAGCGCAAGCGCTTCGTGGTCGAGACGGTGCACCTTGGCATTGAGGGGGGGAGTAATGAGCGCCGCACAGGGCCGGTGGAGAAGAGGGTCGTGGCGACGGAGGAGATTGGCCCGGGCCCCAGTCTCGCAGAGACTGAAGGGATCGAGGGAACCGAGGGCACCGAGGGGTCCTCGAGGACGGAGGGGATCGAGCGGGCCGTCGCCGAAGCGCCCGTGGAGATCTCGGGCGGTATCGACAGCCCACGACGGGCTGGCACCGAGGGAGAAGGAGACGGAGTGGGCAAGAGCGCCCTCGCTGGAGCGCCCGGGGCTAAGGCGAAGAAGAAGAAGGTCTCGGTGCGGTTTGGAGGCGACGATAACGAACCGCCCGTTAAACACAGACATACCCCGCGGGTCGAGATTCGGCATGATAAGCCCGAGTTGTTCGAGTTCTGAGGCTCGCGCTGGATGCCATCATGATTTCTGGTGCCATGTTCTCGCCCGGCAACACTCAGGACTGAAGGAAATGGCTAATGCTAAGAGCGGGGGCAAGACCTATCGAGTCACTGGCTGACCTACTGACAGGAAAGACTGACACACGATACAGGCAGAGCACTCATATACGCCTAGGCTTCGTTTGGGAGAAGACAGGGTGACGATCCGCAGCCTGCAGATCTCTACAGATCCGGACTCCACGACCTGCCCGCTAAGTGATGCCTGAGGGTCGTGCTGCACGAGCTTGGCGCAGACTCACTCGACACTGTCGCTAGTTTGTGCATCCTCGTGTACGCACAAGCTGATTCGGCTCGGGTTAGTGTCGCCAGAGGCGATGACAATCTGCGACAAGCGGGGTTCATACTGTATAGGCGTTGCACAGCCATCACGTTTCAGCGCACGCAAAGTTGCCAGTTGCTGACGTTTGATGCTAGATGTTTGACGCTTGGGAACTCTAACACACAGGTCGCACATCGGCTGGGAAGCGCAGACGTTGTACTTTGTTTAGCTGAGCGATACTGGTTCGGGCTAGCAACAGGTCGCATGAAGCGGCGAAGGAAGAGCAGCGTTGTGACAGAGCCACACCCACCAATCCAGGCTAGGGGAAGACTACCTCCCATCGCTCCAGCCCACAAGAAACATATTCCGTCTCCTTGATGCTTGCATAGTAACACGTATAGAAACGTAAAGAACGCATGCAGAGTGTCTTTGTATCCAAAGATCGAATGCATAGCATGCATAGCAGAGACATACTGGCGCTGCTTGCCACCCGGGGCCCAACCAGACAGCGCGTGGTGCGGAACCAAATACGCGCTTGACGGCAACACGCGACGCGTCTGTAATGTTGACTTTTGGGCCGCGCGAACGTCACTCGTCACCAGCTCAACAGCTCACTTGTCCGACAGCAGAGCACGAGCACGATGAGCCAGCAGTTCGAGCTCGACTTCGACTTTGGCTCGCCCGAGCCGGCGCCGCCATCGCCGCCTGCCCCAGCTGCTCACTCGCCAGCTCGCTCGCCAGCTCGCTCACCAGCCCGCTCACCAGCCGCCCAGGCGCTCAACGGGTTCTCGAAACCGGCCCCAGTACCCATGGAGGAAGACGACGTGCCGGACGAGGACGAGCTGCTCGCCATGATGGAGCAGGACGTGCGGGAGAACATGGCGCGCGACGTTGAGAACCTCGAGGTGCTGAAGCGTAGGGAGGACGAGCAGAAGGCTGCTGCGGCACGGAGAAGGGCGGCGATCATGGCTGCGCTTGGTGGCGAGCCGCTGCAGGACATTACGAACACATCGACCGAGACGCAGACTACGCACAAGGGGTCAAGCACGCAACCGACATATACCCAGGCCACGCAGAAGAACGGCGAGAGCAGCAGGTTCGAGGCCGACTTTGACTTTGGCGAGCCGGCGGCTGCTTCTTGTGAGTCTTCCTCGCCTTCCTCCACCTGCTTTCGTGTCTTCTTCGACACCCCGACTATAACTACGCTCACACCTCCGTCTCCTGGCCGCTTTGCTTCGTCCTCAAAGAGCCAAGCTAACATCAGCGTCGCGGATCGAGATTACACCACCGCGCGAGATCGAACCCATCAAGCATGTGTACGACGAGTTGGGCCGTCTTCTCCCGCCGCTTGCCGCTGAGACAGCTGACGGGCGCACCATCTTCTTCGAGCGCAGGACGAGGCCGGACATCGGCGACATCTCGGTAAGTTGTCGTGCTGCGAAAGAACTGACACCCAGGTGCCGAATCCCAAGGGCAAGCTTAACCTCCTGTCCACGCCGCTTCACCACCTCCTGCAGGAGGTTGAGGAGATGAAGGATAGGGAGAAGGCGCAGCAGTGAGCTGAGAAAAGGGCCCGACAGCTGACGCCAGAATCGACCGCGAAATCAACGTCGACCCCCGCGCCAAGGGCAAGGGCGTTGCGCAGACGATGTGGGTCGACAAGTACAGACCAAAGCAGTTTGCAGACCTGCTTGGAGAAGATGTGAGCTAGCTTCTCCCTGGGGAATAGCTAACAACAGCGTGTACACCGCGAGGTCATGGCGTGGTTGAAGGAGTGGGACAAGTGCGTGTTCAAGCGTGTACCACCCAAGAAGCGCAAGGTCGTAGAGGGAGAATGGGTCAACGTAAGCTTATCGACGGTTGGGGCTTAGCTGACGGCAGAACGACCCTCTTGGACGACCACGAGAACGCATCCTCTTGCTGTCTGGACCGCCAGGATACGGCAAGACCACCCTGGCCCATGTTGTTGCCAAGCATGCGGGCTACCGGACACTCGAGATCAATGCCTCGGACGACCGATCAGCCGCAACTGTCTCTGTCCGCATTCAGAATGCGATCGACGCTGGATCAGGACTGGGCTCCGAGGGAAGACCAACAGCCGTTGTAATCGATGAGATCGACGGAGCCAGCGGAGGAGGTGACACTGTGCGTAGCAGCTAGGAGGGATGGTTGCATAGCTGACCGCCCAGAGCTTTGTCCGAAGCCTCATCAAGCTCATCCAAGACGTGCCCGCAAAGAAGAAGGGGAACCAGCCGGCCAAGCCGCTCCGACGCCCAATCATCTGCATTTGTAACGACCTGTACGCACCAGCATTGCGTCCGCTGCGACAGTTCGCGCGCATCGTCCGCTTCCGCAAGCCGCCAACTCAGTTCATTGTGGCCCGCCTGCGCGAGATCTGCGACAGAGAGAAGCTGTCCGCCGATACCAGGGTACTCACCACGCTCGTCGAACTGACGGGAGGTGATGTGCGAAGCTGTTTGAACACACTTCAAGTGAGTCATATCAGGAGGGCGACCACTTATCGATCAGTTCATCAAGTCCAAATCGGACGTAGTCACAAATGACGCGATCAAATCAACCTCCGTCGGGGCAAAAGATTCGGGAACAACCTTGCAGGCGACCTGGAACACGCTATTCGTGCCGATGGCGGCCAAACAGCGCCGCAAGGTCATTGGTATCGATGACGGACGATACGTCGATCGTATCACGTCAATAGTGCAGACTTGCGGGGAGTACGACCGCCTCGTTCAAGGGTGTTTCGAGCACTACCCCAACCTGAAACCTCTGGATGCCAGCTTCGCCAACGTCTGCCGCCAGCTCGATTGGGTGGCCTACTTTGACAGGCTGAACGGGAAGATCAGCCAGACGATGGAGTTTGAGCTGTACCCATACCTCCCGTACGCGGTTACTGCTTGGTATTCACATTTCGCGGCACCAGGAAACGCAACTCGGCCCGCTGAATGGCCTAAAGCAGACTATGAGGTAAGTGCAAAGGGCACTATGCCCGACTCGTTCATCAGTTTCGGACAATCGTAGCTCACCCTTCAGGCTTACCAGACGCGGATCGCTAACGAGGAGATAGCGCGCAATTTCATGGCGTCTGAACAGCCCATCCTCCGCTCGCTATTCAGCGCGAGCGCGACAATGACGGAGTTGCTGCCGCTTCTTATGCGGATCATCTCACCTCCGCTGAAACCAGTGAGTTTGCCATGCGAAAGTGGGGTCAGCGAGTGTCGACGACCAAACTGTAGAGTTGGCGGAAGCTATGTTCCAGGAACACCCCTTGCAATGCAAGCGAAGAGGGCAGTCCCAAGACGTAGTTGGAGAGGCACCCTTTTCCCTAATGCGGAAGTTGATCTCCATTGGACGTGGGACTTTAACCTTTTGTGGTAGATTCGGACGTCCCATGGTTCTCGTTATCTGAGCTTAATCGCAGAACGCTGACGCCAATCACTCAGGTCAATGCAAACATTGTCAAGTCAAGCGAGAAGGCTGTACTCGCTCGGCTCGTCGAGCTCATGATCCCTCTCGGCCTCAGGTTCTGGCAGGAGAAGAACGAGGATGGGCAACCCATGATGCGTCTGGAACCGTGAGTAGGGTGACACGTCCTCGATTGCGCGCGATTGCACGTTTCCTAACACCCGCAGGGCGATTGACGTATTCATCCACTACGAGGGTAAGCGGGCGGGTGACATTGCGGCATCCCGTTTCGCTGTGCGGCAACTGGTTGCGCAAGCGGTGAGTCCTGGGCTGCCTTTTCCCGTTTTCCACTATCCAGGTACCCACTCTTAAGATCTACGGGTCACGGGGCCCTACCGGCCGAAGACTGCTCCGCAGACCTAATTTGCTGAGTTTCCTGACCCGGACCGCTTCCCGCCACGTGTCGGAAGGATGGAACTGACCGCACACAGATCGAAGCCGAAATCGCACGGCGACGCGGGACCGCGTCCACTGAGGATGGCAAGACAACGTCCTCGTCGGCCGCTCACTTTGTCGAGCAGTACGCGGCCGCGAAGGGCGCTCAGGCGGGCCAGCAGTTGAACACCGACGCCACAAGTGCCGCTGCCACAGTCGACTTCTTTGGCCGTGCGATCAGCGTGCCGAATCCGGCACCTGCGGATGGCGCCACAGCAGGAGGTGAGTCAATGCGCTGGTCTGGATTTCGAAGGGGGTCTCTATTACTTCTGCACATCGTCGGTCATAGAGCCGAGGACGTAATGGCGTTGGACTGCTGCTGGTACTGCGCTAGTGAGCGAAGTAACGAGAAAGTGGGAGAGATTGAGGGTCATGGCAGACGGATTGTCCGCTTCCCCCCTTGATCTAGGACGCAAGACTCCGGCTTCCAAGGACCCCAGATGTTCGATGGGACGACCAATTGTGGTCTTGTGACTATTAGAATGGGATGCTGACGCTCGATTCTTCCTTTGTGACTTGCGGTTGCGTTATCTGAATTGCTTGGACCTCTCATCTCATACCTCCGCGTCGAATTCGACGAACACACGGAAAACCCGATGGCCTTTGAAATCGGGTCTTGAAACGACAACGTCAACATCTGCATTTGAACCTTTGGGTCAATGGACAGACTGCCAAGAGTCTCTCGGAGCGGCGGACCGGGATCCCCGAGAGAGGAAGAAGTTCCGGTTGGTGTACGTTTACAATGAGGGATCGTCGTCGGCTGTGCGTAAGAACGTCAAGATGAGTACGCTCATGTAGGTCAGATGTCCGGTTTGTACTTTGACGGGACTGGAGATGAATTACACTTTGTGACAATGGGAGTATCGAGCTCACAGTCAAACGCAATGAGTAGATGCCACCATCTAGTGAGGACGTGGTGACAGCTATCGGGGATTGCACCATTTAGCAGAATCAGTGGAAGGGAAGGTGCGCCAGGGATGCAGGAGTGCAGGCCAGGAAATGCCAGGGATCGAGCGAGGGAAGGGATAAACCTCGGATGTCTGCCATGGGAACTCGTCGTGCTCCTTGGACGAAGGTCAGGTGATTCGCCAACTGGAATGGAGATGATCGATGCAGTCATCGATTGGAAATGGTGGGGTCAGAGAGTTCCTCGCCCGCAGGTACGTCCTCCCCGCGTCCTCTCGCTATTCGATATACACTGAGGAGTCGGGCAGTTCGGGCTGTTCGGCGAGAATACCTCCGTCTCTCCTCCGCACCTCGCCTCCGAGGTTTAACCCAGACGCGGATGGACAAAGGAGAGCTGGACGGCAGCGCACGCAGCGCACGACGTCCGCGTAACGGCGCCCGGGTGCAGGACATCAGGCCAGTGACGTGCAGAGCACGGCCTTCGCTAGCCCTTGCCTCGACGATGTCATCAGTTACGACTCCAGTCTTGGCCCGTCGAGTCTGCCCGCTGTGCCGATGTGCCATTACCTCTCTCAGCCCACTTCTCAGCTGACCTTGCAACCTGGCCTGTGACAGACGTGTCATCTTGGGCTGCTCGGCAGCAGGTAGGCGGCGTCTGGGCGTTCTTGGTGGCTTGGACTGGAAGTTCTTGTCCTCTCCGAATGGCACTCCATGTTCGATAGAAGGCAGAGCGGAACTGGCCCGCAGCCCCCACCCATCCACTCCGCACCGAAGGCATCGGAGAACGGAGGATCAGCCGCTACGCGCTACGGCGCTACGGCTCTACGGCACGTAGAGTACGGCAGCGGCGGCAGCGGGGCAAGCGATCTAGGCGAGCCGCCGTGCCGACGTCCGCTTGTCCGCCGGCGAGTCCGCGGCCTCCGGCCAACAGCAGTCCAGCCAGCAGTCACCGCCATAACTCGGGCAGGCAGCAAGATGCGAGACACGGTACATACTCGCTGCGACACTTGACTGGCCTCGCCTCACCTTGTCCTTGACGAATGGACGCCTCCGTACTCAGTGCTGGTTGCGCCATGGCGGTCACTGAGCCGCACATCAGTTTCTCCCGCAGAAGACGCAGAACAGGAAAAGCCAGGGCGACCAGGAGCAGTCCAATTCAGGCGAGCGACGCCGAATGTCTGGCATTCCCTTGTTTCCTCTTGAAACCCTGGAATCCCTTTTTTCTCCTGTCCTGAGTTGCTGCAGACAATCCTGGGGCCTTGAGCTTGTTCCCCGCGACTTCTTCCTTCCTTCCTCTGGCCTTCAGTCGCTGTGCCTTCCCCACTCCCTACGCCTGACGTTTACCCTTACTCAACCAACCCTTAGGCTTTGGGCTCTGAGCTTTGGGCGCCAAGCGTTCGAGCAGAGCCAAAGGGGAGGAATAGGGTATTTGGTTATTTGATTCCACTGAGCTAACGTCTGCCAGATCTCACTTGCCGCTTACGCCCCTGGCCAGATACGCTCTCCGCCCTGGACCTGGGGCCTCAACCCCCTTCACCCCCCCCCCCCAGGATCACCCATTCACTCTTCGAGCCCTCCGGACCCCGACGCCCCCTTGCAATCTGGCAGCGCCCGCCAACGCCATCCCTCCCCCCTTGTCAATCCTCGGGCCCGGTGCCCTTCCCCGTATCTCCCCCACATCCTCCACCCAACGAACTCACCTCTGCTCTGGTGCGTGCGTGTATCGCCCTATCTGGCCTCTGACCGCCCGGAGCAGGGAAACAGGTCAATCCTTCCTTCGTTTCTGCCCCTGTCAGTCCTCATCGACTCAGTCGCCCTCTCCCTTCTGCTGCTCTG